TCTGATTCTTTGACACAATACACAGCTGAAGGTATCCTACTCTTAGTGTCCTGCTGATGATAAAGATTCTACATCCTACATGCCTCCTCTTGACCCATTCACTATTGAACCCACTCTATGCCAATGCATCAAACATTTTCTCATATGCTTATGCCTGACTCAGCATCAAGGAACTCCTTCCATGTGGTCAGTAAGAAATATGAATGGGATAGTCGATTCAGGGTATTCCTTGACAATCCATCTCCCTATTGCTTCATAATTCTCATTGTACTGTGAGTGATATGTTTATGTGGTAATTACATCGTGACTGCCTGTTATCAATAGCTTTCAAGGACATCAATAAGTGATATTCCATGTGTCCGTCACAGGCTGTGTCTAATATGAACATACTCTTCGATGTTTCTCATGATCCTGTATCCCATCAACTTCGTGTCAGAGCAAGCTCTGAGTTGAGTGTATGCCCCGTTCCAGCTGGCCAGTGTAACGTCCACAGCATACTGACAGTCCACTCACTCTCCTCTCCGACATTGTGGTTGTAAAACCTCAAAGTTTCAGAGTTACAGCCGCCATAACCCCGCAATGGGAACTCGCCGGCACTCATTCAAGTGGTATACAAAAGTCTCCTGATCGAAGCGAGTTGGCATTCATGAGCCTTGAATCACAATGCGGTACAACCGACAAAGTCGTGGCCCTCAGCAACGCCAAAAAGCAACAAGCAATGATGCACAGAGCAGCTCAAGAACATTTTCTTCACTCACATTCAGAACCCTCGGGAAACAATGCCATATTATATATGAGTGTCCATCATTCGTTGCTTCGTTCCTTTGTCGATAGAACAAGAAAACCAGTAGAACCCAAAGTCAGCATATCTCGACGCAGCGCCCCTGCAATAAGGCTCAAGAGAGAAAGAGCTTTCACGCCCTCGATCAGCGAGTCTATAAGCCGTGGCTTGTCGATCTTCACCAGCATGTGTTTCATCATCGTTACTCGATGCCCTGTATGCTATGGAACCATGGCCTGCAACGTAGTCTCCTGCAAGAAGGTCCTGATCGCCCACCAGACATGTGGGGATCGTCACCAGGGCCCCGACAACATCTCGGACGTGATGTGCAAGCACTGTTACCAGAAGACGCAGGTCCAAGTCCCTGAGCCTACCCTGAAGGACAAGGCAAAGTACTACGCCAGAAAGCTCAATCCCTCGGGCGGTTCCTCATCAAAGGTGCGTCCCTATACGGCCACGCCAGTGCCTCTGCTCGACGACCAAGTTGTACAGGAGCTGTCGGAGATTGCAAATAAGAAGCGCCGAAGCTCTCAGGGCCCTTCTTCCAGTCGATAAAGAGAATGGTGTGCTAAACTGAGCTTCAGTAGGTACCTAGTTCCCTTCGAGGCCTGCGTCAGGGACGTACTACCTGCTGATGCTCTTTCACAGTAGAGGCTGAGCTCATCGATGGCCTTTCAAATGCCCGCAACGGTGAGGCGGAATACTCTTCGAGATACCCGAGAGCAGTAACGACTTTATGAAAAGGAATGGAATGACATAGATCTGGCTGAACTGGAGCGAGATTGGGTTCTGAGCTCTCTTCACCTGGGCGCTTGAGACAACATAAAGATTCGACGTCGGTAGATAAAAAAGGAAGTGGGGGAGGGGGAAAACTGGTGCAACGGAATGCTGAAAGGGTCGAGCAATGGCGTCTACCTCAGTTTCTGTCTTGAAGAGGGAGGGATTCAAGAATTTATTGAAGCATTCGAAGCATGAATTGATGAATCGATGTGCAAAAAATGAAACAAACGGCAAAAGTAATGTCCTCAGTGAGGCTCGAACTCACGACCTTCAGATGGCCCAAACTAATGTTTGGATCATATTGGAAATATGAGACTGACGCGCTAGCCAACTGCGCCATGAAGACATTGAAGCTTGTTGCTTGATACAGAACTTACCTAATTAGGTATATAGAGCTTTTACTATCCAGCAGAGTTGGCTGATGCTCCTGATCTGGTTCATCACTTCTCTCTCAACATATGGCAGGCTATTGCAGGCCCTCATCAGTGATGCTATCTTTTTAGATAGAGTCGTGAAGTTTACTTCGCTTGCTACGCCAGCATCTCAGTCCTGCAAGAACGACGCATGCATACAGAAACACCGAACCTACCCTTCATTCAACTCATTGCCATAGCCACGCTGTCATGAAATGGAGCGGGATCGAGCTGAATGATGAATTGACATTGAGACAGAAATCCATCGTACACTGTTCCTCTTGGCGTCGATAGGATGTAAGTAAGAAACTGTCTTAGAGGTCCGCATACCTACCTATGAAAAGGTCGGCCTTGAATGAAACTCAAGTCAGCCACCCATTTACATACGTACTCGGCACGACTTCTATAGGCATACTGCGGCATGTCATTTGCTAACCCTGAAGACCAAGCCGCCACTTTTGCCGGTATCATCTCCCTTCTAAGACCGCATCTCGAAGAGTATTTGGTCAGCCTATGGCAAATATTCCTACCGCGCGAGTTCTTATGGATCGCTGTAAAGCCTTCAAGCAGGCAGAAGCCGTTGAGAGCTCTGAGAGCGCCGAGTAAATCTTGGCTGTCTAGTGGTGTCCTTGTCAATTACTCAACATGCTGGCACAGTATGCAACACGACCAGGTCTTGGTCGAAGCCCTCAGCGTTTCAGTCACTTACAGTTCCGTCGACATGTCTCGTACCTCTAATTAGGCGACGAGACTTTGGGCATCCTCGCGGTCAGAGACTACAAACACCGAGGAAACCGGCTGTCAAAACGAGCCCACATGCACTCTATTGGATGCTGAATCTGGCAAGTCTTGCCATTCGTGAATCCCTAGATAGACCCTAGGTACGGACATTCTCCTAGAGGTAGACAGCCCACGTCCTCTATCCGCGTTTCTGGATCAAGTTGAGCCGGCTGAGCTTTATGATCAAGAGTTTGTATCCTTTCTCCTCTGTAAAGATAAGGCAGTAATTCCGAACCCACCTCGTGTTGCGACTCGAGGACCAACAGCATCTCCAGAGAATCGGTGTCTTTGACGGTGCTAACCCCAAAGCACAGGCGATTCTTGGTGCCGTCGGACCGAGCGAACCTACCTTGGTGAACAGTTTCTCTTGTTATCATTGGTCTTTCTCTTAGCCCCAAAGACATCCTGGCATCTTGTTGGTTATATCAACACTTGTCAATGAAGCCATCGTGGTACTAGCAGCAAGTACTGATACCTTGAGGGTTAGGGGTGATACATGTTCATGCATGTAGAGCAAGAGCCAGCCATGCGGCTGAGAAAAGTTTCCGGGACTCTGCTGAGGAGTAGAGGCTTATGTATATAGTCCATACAACATTCACTACGTCCCCATGAGGCTCTTTGATTCCTGAGGGTAGCGCATAGAAGCAATTCCCTGGCATCTATTTGACCATGTCATTCATGGCGGTTATTACCATCCACGTATCAAGCTGGCATTTTGTGTGATGGTGATTCCACACTCATCTGTATGAGACAATTGACAAACAACTAGGCCATCTCAGCGCCCTAGAGCACCTTGCTAGCCATTATCCGAGTCACCAACAATAGCATCCTATTCAACGAACCCTCATCTCGCGAACTGAGCCATTCAGCCGCTCAGACTCAGCTAGATCCCAGCCCCGAAACTAATACCTAGCCTAAAGCCGGCTCACTCGGGAGAAGCCTCCCGAAATCTCCCAGGCGCCACATCCTTCAGTACCATAGCCGAGGACCTGGGAGACAGAGTCTTATCTCAAGTTTGCCGTGTCCCGCCACCAAGGAACCAACAACATATAAAAACCCTCCGTTAGTTTCTGATTCCGAGTTACCAGTAACACAAGGGCCCAACAGCAATCAACATTGGGCCAGAATGCGGGTCTCGCTTTGACATGCCGAAGAATTGCATGAAGTAGCGCCCTGACACGGCACGGCCCCCCATTAAGTGCGCGTTGTTGGACGTTCGTCTGGTTTTAAGTAGCGATAGTCAAAGCTCCGTTACCAGGCACCAGCTCAGTCGCCTTTTGCATCCCACAGCTTCATGTCTCTCATTGGCATATGTTCTTTGTGCAAAAAGAACTCAGCAGTCTCCTTGAGAGTCGTCTGCATTCATCTCATACGCAGTTTCAGAACTCGCCCATGTCACAATGATCGTCTCGTAAAACCACCTTGTCACCACCTTGAGACGTTCTCACGATGCATGCCGTGCTATGGCCCCCAAGCGCAAACCCGCACGAGATATCAGAAGCCAGCAAGATGCATCAAGATCCACATCCTATTCCATGTGGCTGAGAAAGACGAAGCACACCATATGCATATGAAAGCACTGATCCCCGGATAAAGCACGTTCAACCAATCATTAAGCGAGTAAAACAGAGTTCTAGAAGCATTGAGCCTCAGCTTCATAACATCTCCAATCTCCTGGGGCTGATATATCCACATTCCCCTGACAATGAGCGATGAGGGACCAACAACAATGGCCGCCGATCTTCAGATGTGAATTGCATCGTATCTTGATTGCCCATGGGGTTTTGTGAATTGCCTATTGACAAACTCGTGGCAATTCGACACCAATGCTTGGAAAGTGGCACTTTTGATACCGCTTCAATGGAACTTAACTTGACAGGGGTTCGTATTGTGTATGTATACGGTAGTGTGAGGAGAAGAGACGCCAATTGACGAGGTACGAAGTCTTTGAGCAGCAAATCGTAATACACGTATATTGGACCAGGTGTGGATAGATACCGGTACACCAATACACCTGGAAACTTGCATTGTGTCAAGCGTCAATCACCGTCAACTGAGCAAGAAGATATCATGAAATGTTCATGATTGCTTGGATTGATAACTGAGACATACAGGATGATACGAAGCACACAAAACAAAATATCATCATTCATGCTTGTTAGCTGCCATACCCATGCCACTTTTGCCCTCAACAAAGTCAAAGAAAAGGAATCTCGTAGAAACAAAAATAAAATCTGCACACAGAATCATGCAGTCAACTCCTCTCGGAACCGAAACTGCAACATCGGGCCCTTCTGGGAACTGACAAACCTGTCATACAGCTGGAACTCATTCCTGCATCCCCGACCCTCCAAGTCATCTCCCACTCCCTCGCCCAAGTTACTGCTAGGATCCAGGCGAATATCGAACAACCAGAGCATGCGAGCCAAAACGATGGACATTTCCTGGTAAGCCAGGTACTTGCCGATACAGCTGCTACGGCCAGCACCAAAGGGAGTAAATCCGTCCGTGTGTCCCGCCGCGGCCTTCATAGTAGCAGGCTCCTTGCCAGACACGGGCACGGAGCCGTCCTCGGCCCCCCTCTTGCGCTCCTCGGGGATCCAGCGCTCAGGCGCGTACTTCAGGGGCTCAGCAAAGTTGTCTCCGCTGTGGTGCATTGAGTAGTGCGGAATCCCCAGGTTGACGCCGGGCGGGAAGTATTCGCCATCGACCATGAGCCCGTCAGGGCCGACTTCGCGCGGCAGGATGCTTGCCACGGGAGGCGAAAGGCGCATGGCCTCGTCGATGCAAGCAGTCAAGTACTCAATCGCCTGAAGCTCGGCAGAGGCAAAACGTATGGGACACTTGACGTCCAAGCCCTTCTTGCCAATGTCCTCGGCCTTGAGGGGATAAGCCTCCCGGATCTCACGCGTCACACGCTCGAGGGTACGGGGATTGTGCGTGAGGTAAAAGAGAGTCGCGGTCGTGGAAGTGATCATGCCGTCTGTGCCACCAATGATGAAGAGACTCGCCTCCGAGATGAGCTCTTCAGTAGTAAATTTCCTGCCAGTCTTGGGCTCGCGCGCTGCAAGAAGAGCTGCCCAAATATCTCTGTTCGGCATGGACTCTTGCTCGAGGCGCCACAGGGCAAAGGATCTGCTGACCTTCATCAAGTTCCCCACACCGGTAATGAGCTCCTTGAACAACAACTTATGCAGGTTGCCGAAGAAGAGAGATTGCATGTGGCCAACCTGAAGAACCAAAGTCAATCAGTAAGCGGCATGGTGGCTCAGAGTAAGAGACTTGTTGTCTTTGGCTCAGCTTCAACTTACCAGATGGATACCAGCAACACCATTGGGCAAGTCCTTGATAAAGTGTCGAAACTGGGGGTCCCTCTGGGCGTTCCATGTTCGGCCGAATGTCACAGAGCCCATGATATCCGCAAGGCAGAAGGCGACGGCGTAAGACATATCCTTACCGAAGCTCCATCCCTCTTCGCCTTGTGATTTGCTGCCTGCGCCCTCCGCAATGATGTCGATGAAATCATCAACGTGAGGCGTCACCTGGCCCTCGAACTCTTTCACGGCGGCAGGCGTAATGGCAGCTTGGTTGACCGCCCTCCTGAACGTGTGCTCCTTATGGTCCACCGTAGTAAGAGACATTTCAGCCCCAAAGAATCGTTTGAAGGAAGCATACGCGTCGGCCTTGTTTGTCTTCTTGCGGACATCGTGCAGGTCTTTCGATGCCTGTGCGGAGTTGATGGAGAGACGGTTGGGCCCAAATCGAACATGTTTTCCTGAGATAGAGGTTAGTTGATTATAGGTAACGTCACCACCAGGTAGGTAGCCAAAACAACGGTATCATCCAATCTCGAGCTACGATAATCTGTGTAGGTTGTGTCCCCCGTCCTGTTTCAAGCCACACTGTGCTGACGAGGAAAGAGGAGCACGGCAGATCAAAGGGTTGAGTTGAGAAACGGAATAAAGCTCACCATAACGCTTGTGCTGCTTGTCAAGCTCAAGATGGCGGCCCCCATCATAGATCCAGTAAACAGTATACCAGTCCGTGAAAGCTGCGACCAAAGGCCCTGGGTACTTGGCGAGAGGATGGAAGGCCAATCTATAAACACAGCATCCGAAGAGCTACGGAGAATGGAAGGTTAGCTCACACGGACATCTAGGGCTCCAAGCGGGTGATTCGACAGTATGTGATGCGTAAAGGCAATCCAGTCAACTGCAGAGGTCGAGATTGAACCATTGCCCAACGGTGCGCGCAGCAATACGCAACAGAAAGTTGCTGAGCGTTCACCATCCTGTCACATTTGCGACCATCGCTCCGCGTTGCCGTTGCGCGAGTAATTGGCATAAAATAGCCTCTTGAGTGACTTAGACGGAGGACATAAATAGGTCGTAATTGGGACCTCGCTTGAGGTCTCGCTTGAGACAAGACAACGTTGAAATAAAGCGTGATTCACATACCCCTGTAGAGAGACCAAAGAACACCAATTGCGCCCACCAAACAGCGTCGAGAAGCTGGAAATGTTTTAGGTGTGAGTACGACAGCGCGGCCAGCCCCAGACAGCCGATTGCGAAGCCGCAAGCAGGGATGGCGTGAAAGACCTTCATGGGTGCCATTATCTCAATGCAACGAGGCGGGGGGTTTCCTGACAAAGCCTTCGCTCCCCGTGTGAAAAAGAAGTTGATCCTCTGCTGAGATCGGCCGGTGTCGTTCCAGGGTCCAAGTACTGTAGGATCGACGTGAACGGCGAACACAGAGAAGTGAAAGAGTCCGGGGGTGGAAGGTCGGAGGTGGGCTAATTTCTTATAGTATTACCAGTTACCTTATACGAGGAACGATCTGAGGTGTGCGTCCGAACGGTTTAGGCAGGCCGGGACCCTTGCCGTTGTTCTATGTACATCGTACAGCATCGTGAAGGGCTGAAGGTGCACGGCTCATCGTCAGTGTCGAGAGATGTTCACCGCATGAGGGGTGTGAGCTCTACCAACAGTTGCTGGTTGCGAGGCTCTTGATTGATGTGGCAACTGACTATTGCATTTCCAAGTCGGCTCCTGATCCGACTTCGTCTGAAGTCCCACTCCACGTCCATTGTGGAGTGAGAACTGCATTCGAATGCTACCTCAGCCGAGAGGCACCAGACTAGTGATCCACAGCTTTGGGAGAGCTTGGATCATCAAGCATATGGTTGTTGGTCGTTGTCAACCCTCTCTAACAAAGATATCGCATGTAGTGTGTACAGCACCACTTCTTGCATGTACTTACAGCACAGACCCAGGGTGCCGGACCGCGAGTCTGGGTCAAAGACTATGGGCCCCAGTCGTGGTAGAGTCCGGGCCATGTTGTGAAGTACTGCAATGTCCTCTTCGGTGTCCGTGGTCTGGCTTTGCTCGGAATGAGCGAGTGTAGAGAGCCAACATGCGCCGGGAATGAGTACTACATATAGCCACTCCAGATCCGCTTCTCCTGATCACATTGTAACTGCTTCGTCTTGACAGGCAATCGTCATCTTCCCCCGTCATTGGCTTTTCAGTCTGGGCAAGCCACGCCAACTTCCTCTTCAAGATGCAGACAATGGGATCATACGTGCTGTTGGAGAAGGCTGTCACAACCCCTGATACGGACATCGTTGGCAGTGGCGATGTAGAAGAGCAAATCCTTGATGCTCCCGTAAGTAGGATTCGATTCGGAGCCGGCATATGCCCTTTGTCTGCTAGCCGGGGCTCGGAGGGCAGCTGCTGACCTTTGCAACGCTACTACAGAAACGGTCACCATTTTATCAGCTCAAAACCCTTTTCCTCTTCACCAAAAGCGACTTCAAGACCGTCATTGTCCCACAGAGCATCTTCGCTGCTACAGCAGCATTGTCAAAGACACAGCTGACGACAGCAAGCTGTGATGGGAACGAAGTCACAGATGGATGGGGTGTAGTCTCCCGCATGCCATTGATGCTTGCGTGGATCTGGCTAAACCTCCTAGTCGAAGACATTGCCAACCAACGACTCGAAGGAGCCATTGTAGAAGACACAGTCAACAAGCCATGGAGGCCACTACCGTCACGTCGACTGACACCGGAGCAAGCTCGAGACTGGCTCGTCATCGCCATCATGGCCACCGTCGGCTTCAGTCTTCTCTTTGGCGGCTACAGCGCGAGCATAACCTTGATGGTCTTCATCTGGATATACAACGACCTGGAAGGAAGCAGCAGCGGCATCTGGATTCGAAACGCCCTCAACGCTGGGGGCCTCATGTGCTTTAGCTGGGGCGCCCTGGCCACGCTATCCGGCGGCGAGCTGCTGCCACGCGGCTTCGCTTGGATCCTGGCGACGGGGGCCATCATCATGACAACGGTCCACGCGCAGGACCTGCCGGACATTGAGGGCGACATGGCTCGCGGGCGGCTCACGATGCCCCTGACGTACGGCGAGACCGCGGCACGGGCATCGCTGGCGGTCATGGTCATGTTCTGGTCGGTAGCGTGTCCGTTCTTCTGGGATGCGACGCTGTGGGGATGGGCGGCATCGACAGGCATCGGAAGCACCATGTCGGTGCTCGCGCTGCAGAAGCGAGGCCAGCGGTGGGACGAAGTGGTGTGGAAACTGTGGTGTCTGTGGATAACGGTGCTGTATATGCTGCCAGCAATGGAGAAATAAAGCAGTGATAGACGTTGTAGTAGTATCCATTTTTTCGAGCCAGTTCATCCAATGTCTGCGTCCCTGTATGCGTCTTGAAAGGATATGAGGAGTATGTAGTGATGCTTGTCGTAGCATCAGTGATGAACGAGAGCGAGGAAAGATTTAACCCATGTACTACTCTGTTGTGGCTAAAATGAAGCATGTATGTATGAGTGGATAGGCCAGAAGGGGGGGCCCTGGTACCAAATGCAACCTCACGACGTCTGCCGTGAGAAACATTTACTCCATCGGTCTCCCTGCGGTCATGCAGCCACTGGCGTCGCTGTATGTACATGTATGTGCTTGCATGAAGGATCCCGAGCCGTTGTATCAAGACGCAGCGAACACGCCAATTGGTTTCCAACTGGACCTGTTCCTGCATGACCATACTCCAGTCAGCTCACATGTCGTTACCGAATTTGCACAAGCCATGTGCAGGAGGATCCAGACTCTTTACTCTCCATCCTTTTTGCGGAGAAGATTGATAGCAGTATTTGTACAGTACTACTACTGAGACTCCAACGGATTGCTCGGGTGTGGTTCGTCTGACATTCCGGTGAACATGTCTATGCATGCCCGGGTTGGTGTTACGGGGCGACTTGCATGTTCGGTAACCCAAGAGCAGCACTCCGTATTGGAAGCCAGCATGAAGTCTCGAGAAGGGATGGAGGACCAACAGCACCGCGGAACAGAGCTCACTTACACTGGCCGACTCGTCATTATCTTTGTAGGCGTTCGTTCGACGGGCGATTTGAGCCGCGCCTCATACATAGGCCGTACCGATGGGGTACAGCAGGAGCGCGGCAATTGATGATTCCTACAGAGCGACAACTTGCCCGACTTGAGGATCAGGTCGGCTGGGAGAGTTGTCTGTCTGAGGCTTGGCCGATTTCTTCCATGATGTTGCCCGTCTCAGCACTTGCTCTGGCCTCCTGGGTGTCTCAGCGGCCTCGGCAAACTTCGTCGCAGCAGTCAGTACTTCTGCGTTCTTTGTACTCTCGAAACATATCTGGTTACTTGCTTGCCTCCGTGATGTCGCCTCCAACAAAGTGAGTGGAGCTCCGCGTACATCAAGTTGCATAGCTTGAGTCGTCATGGTGCATTACAATACTCGTATGCCGGGACACCTTGGCCTATCATAACCGGCTCGACGTCTCGTCGCCTTCAACTGCATGCATCCCGCCACGGCGGCTTGGGAAACCGGCCGCATATATTGGTAATATGCCAGCGCATAACCCCGCTGTCAAAGAGTGTTGGTGACCGGGTTCGCGGAGCAGCTCGGATTCGTCTCAGCATCTGAGCGGACCGTCATGGTACGACATGCTCGACCGCCGATTTCAGTCACAATGCTCGCACTTTAAGGCTTTAGACACAATGCTCACAGCTCCAGACTTGATAGAAACACAGATCGAACTGGCGCCGAGCCTGCAATAGAGACCACGCCCGTGTCAGTGCTGGTACGCAAATCGTCTTGCCTCGCGCTCAAGAGCTCACAATTTAAACAGTGTCATCTGCAAGTCAGCCCGGTCGGGAATATATCCACGGACTCTAAACAAATTGCTAACACCGATGAATATGCCGCAGGAAGTCCGCTCTCCGCCCTTGTTCCTGGCCTCCCTCTCGGCCAACCTGCAGCTGCATCGGCGAAATCTCCAAACGCAGAAGTCAGAGACAAATCGAGCGTCGGTCGTTGCCCTTGTTGAGACATGACGGGATTGCTTCTCGCAGGAAACGAGAAAAATGACAACTGACCCCATGCATGCCGGATGGGGCCTTTCACGTAAGTTGCATGTCTATACTCCGTAGGTACGACGGGATTACGAATTGGGTTGGCATAACCCTTGGCTTGCTGCAATGGGAACCGCCTTTAATGCCAATACCAAGGGGGGCTATATCGAGTTACGCATATGTCAGAGGAATGAACCTTTCTTAAGCTAAATACAGTCCATAGTGGTCTTACCTGAGCTTGATTCCTTCGACTCGGTCGTTTTCCACTATGCGGGATTTGTACTAAGCTCGCCTCGTCTAAACCCTTGTCACTGCAGCAGCAGCAAAACACCACCTACACATTCAAGCATCACATGCGGCTCGTTAGCCGTTGTTCGCTTGTCAGTTTGATCTGCAGACTTAGTCTCCAGAAGCTGTCTGAAACGGATGGAGGAGCTCTGCGGCCGACCCATCGCCCCGTTACCGGGTCCCTCCCCCCCTGAACGGCCCGTTTGGGCGGCTTGCCTAGCACGCTGCAAGCACGGAGATGCCCGTACCTGGTAAATGCCCTTGTATACCCAGAAAAGCTCTGGAAACATGGAAAGACGTGTCTATGTGCAGAAAGCACTAATATTAGGCGTGTGTCATTATAGTTTTTATTCGTCCGTACGAGCTCGGGAAAGGTAGGTAAATTGTAAGTGTTATGTAAAGCTTTCTGGTGTCCAATTTGGACGCAATGTCTCTACTAGATAAACATCTTACATATACTAGACAGGTCAAGTTCAGGACGTCTACTCCGTACAACAGGATGAGAGATGGTTGGGAAGCGACCATCGGTGAGGACGATCCCCATCCCGCGGATTCACATAATGCCCGAGGTCCTCCATCAGCTCACGAGTACCTAGGTATGAAGCAACGGCGTCAGGAATACTACCCGTGTTTCTACCATGCGGATATGCATTCTTAGCTTCAGTTGCTGGTTCCATGCGGCCGACTACTCATAATCCGTACACAACGCACTCAAGAGCCATTATCCGCGGGCTGTTCCACGTCAGAGAGAAAAGATTCTCTTGTTCACACACGCGTGCAGCTACTACTATGGTACGTGCTGCAATGTAGCAAACGCCCGCGCACACACTACCATGCGCGTGTCATGTAACATAGCCTGCATCTGCATCTCACTTATCCGGTGTGGCCTGCATGCGAGCGGACCGGCGCACTTGTAAGAACCGCTCCAGTGGAAGCCCCGAGTTGGCTGTAACAGTGGCCTTCCTCCCTGAGGTAACTTTCTTTCCACATGGGATGCTCATCGAGATCTCGGCGCGGCACACAACTTTCAAGCATGAGTAAGTTCATGTACGAGTAATGCGTATGGCGTGAGCAACGCACCTTGGCCGCACCGTGGCCTCTCCAACTCAACAATATGTGTACCGCAACAGAACAACAGCTTGCTCTCTACAGGGAGAGAGATATCATGCACGTCCACTTGCTCAGATACTCAGCTTTTTGTTCACAACTGGCCGGGCCGCCGCATGAGCGTCGTTTCTGGATCCTTCCATTATTCATAGACATCATGAGGCTCTTCAAGGAGCGTACAAATACGCGTTGGTTACCGGTAGGCACGGCTTCAACAAGGGCATGCTCAAATAGGCAAGACGGCACATCCTCCTGCATCCCCTAGCCTCAACCCCCCCGGACATGCCACGCAGCTCTAGGTCCCTGTGAGGGTTCGAAACAAGGGGCGGGGAAAAAACAAAAGGACTCGGCAGAAGAGCAGGCATGGCACGGCTTCCGCGGAATATTGCTTCTAGAAATCCTTTTTCTTCACTGGGGTTGCAATTACTCACTCACTGACGAAACAATTGTAACATCAGAGCTTGGCAATTGGTAACTCCAGCCTTTGCGAAATGTTCTTCAATTCCCCTTTAATACTACAAACAACGCCCGATATTGCTTCAGTAATGCCGAAAGCTTTGTGGTGGTCTGCGAGCATCCAGAATCTCTGGGTCTGAAGCTCTCCTCTTTCTATCTTCTGTCACAACCCATTTTTTCTTCGTAGCAAATCACACCACTGTGGGTGAACCCGCCCTTTGCATCATTTGAGATGCTCTTATAAGCCAATGCACAGATACGCAAACTAATGCAGCTACGTTACTGCATACACGGAGTCAATGCCAAAGGCGTAGCCAGAGCCCAGATAGAGGGAGAAGTGCCAACGACATTGGACATCGGCCAATGTCATCGGGGAACTTGCAAGAGAAACTGGTGTTACTACGTCATTGATCTATTAGTCTTCTTTCTTCGCCAATGCTTTGCAATCCGGAACTGCCCGCTCCAGATGCACGTAAGGCTTTACTTGACACTCGTCTTCATCCAAGTGAGCTACTAGATACACGATGAACGGACTATGCACATAGACGATGAATAGACACAGCAATGAATAGAGTACATTGTGGAAGAACGGACTGCAGTAAGTGGTATCTCCAATTGTTGTTATAACTCAAATTTGTTCAGCGCCTCTTGAATCCTCCCTCAAAGGAGTTACTTGCACTCAAGTAAGAGTCGCCGGATGCAGCAATCGCATATACTGAGAAAAGACAAGCCCTGCAGTTGAACATCGACATCAAATTGTCGTACTCAGCAATTGCAGTGCCTGAGCTAACATGATTCCGTGAGAGTGCATGCTTCAATCTCATTGGTAGGACGGGTATGGTTCGTAAAGAACATAGTCGATGGATGAGTGAATGTCCCGCCTCCAAAAGCCACGCAATGTACATGTAGCTTGGAAGCAACGATTGATCTACTGCATCAGTGAATTCGAGCGGGCTTTACCAAAGACCGATACTCAACGCCCGAGATTTTGCATGGAGTCATGCCCATGGTTGGTTGAGCATGTGGGCGTCGTTTAGCAGCATGCGTCACTACCTTATATATACAATCTCTCGTCTAGTTATACCAGTAGCATGAGAAGGATATTTATGTGCTGGGTGCTGGATAGCCGCTCCCTATCAATATCTGATGCCCGGTCGCTTATAGACTAAGACTCAGCTTGCCAGCCACTTCGTTTGAGTTCACCTCAGCCAATCAGCCATTAAGGAACCTTGCTCAATTTTAGTTGTAAACGCCCTAATCTTGTTAATTTGGTGCTAGAGTACATTATCCTATATCATCACTATTCATTCCCAGCCGGAGACTTGTGAGAGTGAAGCACCGATTGCGGTACACGTCTTCACCTACTTACACAAGTAACAAGAAACTCAAAGCCGAGCATCAGATATTATCAGGGAGAGACAAGAGCCCAAAACAGTCGATGCAGATACACCTGTGCTTCATCAAGCTCCAGCCAACCGCTTATCGACCTGGCTTAAACAAGAGCTCGTATATGCTCCGTAAATGTCATCAAAACGCCAAGTTTCCGAACCCCAATCCATCCAGCCCTACGCTCCGCGGTAAAAGGTGTTGAGCTACAGGGTGACCCAAGACTGATCCGACCACATCGGATGTTGTGGTTCACAAGTATATAAGGTGTCATGTTTCCCGATCCTGTATAAATAGTAGTCTAAGATCTTCACCTAGTATTGATACACATACAACATCACCTCTCCTGCCTTTTACACAAGGGTCTATCGAGCTGAATGACCAACTCATATAACGCTAGAATTCTGAGGGGAAAACATTCCTCGTCGCACACAATACCGTGCAAGTTCACCATTCATGAGCCAACAGAGAAAGTGCCAAGTCGACAATAAAGACTTCTGCCAACCGACTCAAGCGTGGAGTATATCAGTTCAGCAGCTCCTACAGGTGGTGCAAATCAAACTATGCTCTGTGTTACGCCATAATATGTATTCATGTATTTATTGTTGCTGCTCTGTCGTTCCTATACCGACTGAGAGAGAAATTCCAATTCTTGACGCGCTTTTCGATATCGACGAAGAGAAATCGGCAAGCGAAGCAAACAATGTCATAGATACATAGTTCATAATCGCAAAACTATCACAAGTTTCTAAAAAAAGCTTCGAATGTAACAAATAACCATTTCGATGAATATGAGAAAAATGCAGTGACGCAAAAGCAACGTATCAGCAAGACCGTGCTCACGAACCGCAGAGATGCTTTTTCATCCTCGAAGCTATATCATTTCAAGCCCGATACTTATACCAATAAAGACTGCCCGGCATCTCATCATCATCCCCCATTGTAATCTCCCTCCGAAACGACAGAATCAATCCTCACTCCCGGGTAACCACCGCCTCCCCCGAACTATTCTCAGAATAACACACAACACACCTGGATAGGTTCCCATAACCTGCATATATCAGGAAACCAGGAGCAAAATCCCCAAGCAACCAGTAACCCAGACCCCAAGATACACAACAATAAACCTTTGCGCAACGCAATCAGTCCGCTTCCAACCAACTCATCCCATCTCAGCGGGGCCGTCCCCCGATCCGGCCACGGAGCACGGCAATCCGGTATCCACTTCTTCCCGTTGAGAGTCCGCCTTCACCCGTCCGGCAGGCATTTTGTCTCAGTGATGCTCTGTTTTACGGCAATACCTACATTCCGCCACAAGCATTCTCGAAAGGAAAGCCAGCTTGAGCTGTGCTAGATATCTGTCTTTTCTATTGGCAAGATTGTATGTTCTCGTAGATGAACAGTTCGTTTGAATGACCTATCGTGGCACAAGTCTTGCCTTGTTTTATAGACCTCGCCCGCCTTGCTTCATCATCTGTAGCATATACCGGCGAGCTTGACTGAGCAATAGCTCGGAGACTCTTCAGAAGCATACGCTGTCTCATCAGGAAGAACTCCTGCTATCTCGTGATATAGTGAAGAATATCGCTGAACCCGTCCCTCACGGTTGTCTTCCCTTGAGTACGGTGTTCAAAGATGACCGTCCAAATACGCATCTTCCTCTCTCCAAGTCAAATCATTGACAGCCCATCCTCTCAAACTTGCAGCCATCTAAAGTTCATACACTACCAATGTGTCTATCCAGTCAAGTACGCAATCCACACTGAGAAAGAGTTTCTCCCACCTCCCACGATCACGATCAAACCCAACAGCATCTCCACATCGTCCGCGAAGATCATCCATCCTGCCGTATCACACCAGAGACATCGTAGGTCATTCATGTGAGAAAATTTTAAACTGGAGAGTGATTCAGAATTAGAGAATGGCATACATGTCACATGAGTGCGGCCTCCATGCGCACTCCTCACAAATCTTCCGTTTCCACTGGCGGCGGCAACGAGACCAAATATCCCGGCATCCTTTGGCCCATCATCGCACACCCCCACGACCACTCCTCGCGATTCATCATCCTCAACACTCCATCATCTCGGGAACAACCAACTACCCTGGTTCCCTCACCGGATCAATGGCTCCTCGCATCGAACAAGAGGCGTTCGGACACTTGTGACGCGTTTCGGAATCCCGCAACACGTAAAAAGTTCCCTCATATAACACCCTTTCTCATCTTCAAACCTCCACGCTCACCCTCCCCCCCAACACATGGCCAGTATAGGATATTCCCATTACAAAAGTGATCCACCACATGCAACCAGAGCGGGCGTTGCAAGGGAAAGAAGGAAAAACCTCGACAGGTATCACCTCCTTACTCCATGTAAGCAAAACGGTTGTTGGGCAGAACTGCTTCTTTAGCGCCGCCTTCTGTTCCGATTTGCACTCACAAGTCAGGGCTTCTCCTCACTTCATACCAACCGCGCCAGAGAGTGGCCGAGAGGTTGCATCCCAAGCGAGTGGACTCACCGCCAGCCACGGCACGAGGGCAGTCCGTTCTCTGTGAGGGGCATACACATCGACGGTGCGTAAGATCGTGCCTGCAGACAAAGTAGCCGTTTGCAGGCAACAGAGATGCCTCGTGTCACCTCCAATTCGCAAAGTATGCCTATCAAATTCGTCATTAGGACGCTCGAGGGTGCTTTACTGCAAGCCCACCACGGCGGACTCGAATCCAAGCTCAAGGCTGCAACGTCTGTCAACATCCTCCGTCCCAGATAATCATTAGCAACCTCTTAGACAGAAGCAGCCAGAAAGAAGCGTCCTATCAAGCTCGTACTTGGGCATCAAAGGCCACTGTGTCCGTAGGCAGCACACGGATTGTCATCCGAAAGGTTCCTGCAGCGTTAGCAAGCCCCTTACTCCGACTCATTCACGCAGTCATGTGCCAGTCCGACTGGAGACTCCGTCAACGAGGGCATTGGCACACTGGCTGTGCTGCAGCACTTGATGCAACCGTATTTGACATCCCAGTAGGATCCAAGCCGGAGGTGAGGTCCGGTCGTAGAAGCGTAAAGCGAGCCAGCCTGCCCGTCAACAGCTAAGGGCACGTCTTCTCACAGGGTCAGTGGGGCATGAACGACACCAAACTGAAACGCGGTATACATGCCGAATCAATGTGATGGAAAAGAGGCCAGATATGACATGAAAATGTGATTCCCTGGGGAGAAACGATGAAGTTCTCCATCAGGTCATCAGCCCGAGTCCGCTTGCCACTCGGCCTTTTGATAATCCCTGACCCCGGATCAGTCTGGCCGTCATGAGGTAGCCCAGGAGAGAGCATTCCATGACGAGAGGTTAACGTGAAAGGCGAGGCTTCCCGCTTGTTCTCATCCACAAGGGGTCTTGGGGCCGTTGCTGAAGGGGTCACGCTTTGACGGCAAAGATGGCATGAAAGCAGATCAGTCCGCATCGTAAGATGAATTCAAACCCTTCGTCTTCAAGCAGTTTTCCCATCCGATGTGAATAGCACTGCCATTGCGTCCATTGAGTTCTAGAATATGGCCACGATGAGGCCATGATAAACTCGTGGCAACGAACGAACCCTTAGCCACGTATAAGCCTCGAGAGCAGCTCGAGCGAGAGACCCACCTCACACGCCGTCCTTTGAAGCCAGGCCGAGTCGACACGAGTGCCTGGCAAAACCTTATTTGAATAGCTCTAACAAAGCATCTCGGTCCGTAGCTGATATCCCACGTTCCGCATGCCAGACTCGCGCTTCGCGTCCATCCATCCGGTCCGGTCGTGATGAGGCCGTCTCAGTCCAGGCTCGGCCTTAGGTAATCAGCGTCGACCCTGGCGTTGAAAATCGTCAGTAGCCGGCGAAAAAGTTTTTCCCCTTTGCGTCCAAGCCCTTGCAGGCAAGGAGCAATTCCTCCGGGCGCCCAGAGATCCGTCTCAGACGCGCGCATTGATGCGAGATCGAACGAGACCCGGTTCACCGCCAGCCGGCGACCGTCTCCGCCCTCCAACGGGGGAACGGGGGAAGAAGGTAAAATTTTGTCAGCCGCGCAAACGGGAAGCTCGACGATGGCTTCTTCTGCCTGAGGGGCGTCTGCTGGCTGATATGGTGACCGGTGAGAAGGATGTCGCCGCAAGCATGTGGTCGCAAAGCCACCGCAAGCTGAACAAGGGAGAAGCCGCACATGTGGCGACCGTGTAAATTTTTCTGATAGTGCCCACGGTGGCAAGCGGGCGCCACTGTCGATCGCTTCTTAAAGGCCGCCGATAGAGCTTATGACAGCATCTCATTGGGCGGACGGAGGCATGTCAATGGCATCGGAACCGTATTATACTGTGCAGCGTCGAGCTGGTGAGATGGTAATCTGCAAGCTATTATCAAGCAAGCACGGAGCTGGACTGACAATGCGCGGACATTTCGATCGCAGCCCCGTGGATCCGTCTCTGTGATCAGGCAGGCTCACCGAGCGCATGCCGTCCGCGATGAGACACCACAAGCAAAGGGCCGAGATGCAGGGCAATCTCATCAGCTCGCTCACTGATTGGCTCCGATCGGACCACTCAGACGCAGCGCCGTGGCCAAGTCGAGCTTTGTTGGGTTGCCCTGCAAGGGTCCGACGGCATGCCGTGGCAGGCAAGGGACTCTGTGCTCGGTATTCGCACGGAAACCCATGGGCAAATTGTGCCTTAGGTTGAAATCGCATTGCTTTCTGTCCCGAAGCATCGGGACAATGGACGCTATTGTTAAATGCTCCGTTGCACGGCAATGGAAAATAGCAGCCGATTCGAGACTCCGCTTGGCTGGAAGTCGGGAAGTCCCTGGATGGATCTAGCATCGAGTAGATCAACATGGAAAATGGGCGTCCGGCTCGGCGCCACATGTGGCTGACATTGGCCCACGCCCCCTACTCAGGTATTGATGAGCTGTTGAGTCCTGTGCAGCTTCGTCCTTGATCTTCCTGTTGGCGTCATCGCGCTGGTGAGCGGCCTTCGACCGAGTTCTAGACAGGGTCGATTCCTTTGCCGCTCTAGGCAATATCTGCGAAAACTGATATCAGTTCTGTCTGCACATACGGCACTGCATGGGATCCTTCTTGTGCTCATCTGCTGCTGATGCCTGTTGTCGCAATGGCCTTCCCCGCCGCTGTGGCTGAAGCATGTGAACATATCACAACACCCTGCCAAGCCATGCTGCAACTGATCATCACATCTGTAGCCCAATGAAAGCTGGCCTGAATGCCAGTGCGGAGATGGCTGTCGAGAGAAAGAGCAACATATGCGAGCCATACGTGGTATATACTTTGATAGAGGTAAGATCGTCAGCAGCCACTCGTCATACATACTTACACGCACGACGGTGATACTATGCCCTCACTCCACATTGAGGCCACGGGTCAGATCTGCGAGCGATTGCAGGAGAACAATTGATCATATGGATGTCACGGCTACCGTTTGGGAACGGATAATGAGCCGTAGCAGCTTTTCAAACGGACTTCAAACACACCGGAGTGGGGGCCATACACGGCTGTGAGTGCAACACCGCCGTCCACGTATCGCACATTGTAGGCGGTATATCTCCACACAACGCCACCCCGTGGCGCCTTGAATTCCATGGCTTGGGCCGTGTGGGGTTGTTCACCCTGGCCAAGGAAGCAGCTTGGTTTGTAGCTACCAAGCGCCATGCTTTTTCTCGACAGCCACACGAGGCTTTGCAGGGCACGCACCGAAGCACGTCCCAGATCCAACCTGAGCCCGTTTCAAGCAGGGTCCTCGACCTGCCTGGGCCATCTGGGCGTCTCTCACCAGCTCGGCCAGGAGGCATGTGCCGATGCTAGCTGCGGAGAGCAGCCGTGAGTGGCATGACAGACGCCAATCGTACCAACAGGAGGCAGAGCCGGAAACCAGATCGGCATGGCATGGCCGGTGCTTGCGACTTGCAGGGTCCAAGCCCAGGGCGAATTTTCAGCCACGGGAGCCTTCGGACTGCCCAGCCTCAGTTCCAGACCCGGGGCCGTCCGTCTCAGTACCGTAAGGAGTAACAGACGGAGGAAACAAGATGGATGAAAAGTTCCTGAAGGTAGTAGGTAGTTCTAGAAAAAGCGGACCGTCTTGGGGCTCGCCTCGGTTTTGTAAGCGCGGCCTGGCGCCCCGGCCTATCACAGCGGGCAGGGAGCTTTTGCTCCGGGCTCGTTGCTGTGTCCCATTTGGACGTCGGATCACACATGGCTCAAGCCAGCACAAAGAAATGCGGGTGGTGCACCGCGATTTTATCTGTCAAAATGGCTCTCCCTCGCCGTTGCAACAACCGTGTGCCTTCTGCCGGCGAATCTTGCATCTTGGACGGCGCAACGGAGGGGACACGGCCACTACAAGCCCGCCTGTCCACTCCCCCAAGTCCGCTGTGGCCTGTGGCTTGTCTCTAGGACTCCAGGACCGGGCAGTGGCAACGGTTGGTAGTTGTCTCCGTCTCCAATTCGGATAGGAACCTCCAGTGCTCTCCTCCTTGCCTGAAGCCACATCCTGGCCCGATCCTCCCTTAAATCTTCAGGCCCGTCCGTCTCCTCGGGACGCCTGTTTTGCGTTGCTCGCTGGTTGGCTCAGCTTCAACGGCTGTATTACCGGGAATACGCCCTGCCGCTCTCCGTCGACCACTTTCAGCAGCTGGGGACCAAGCCTCGTCTCGCTCATGTTGCCAACACCAGGACCAGGACATCGCCCTACCCCTTGCCATCTTTTGACATCCGTCTCCAAGAGTGCTTGACGGACAATCTACTCGAGATAAATGTGCACGGCGCATATGGCTGAATGCCCAGTCTGCGGGAAAGAATATCTTCTCTTGGTTGCTCTGTGTCCGAACGCCCGGCCGCCTTCCAGCGACTGTCCTCAGGGGGTCACCATCGTCAACGAGGAAATGCGTGAAGGCGGATGTCCGAGTCCCGTCTGTCCCAACAGCTTGAGAGGAGGCTGCCAAGTGATGTAACGACTAGCACAATTACAATCGAGGAAAGACACCCAAGTTCAGCCGAAACCAAAGGAAATACAGAGAGCCACGACAAGGACGCGACACTCGGACGCTCCGGGATTTGACTGACCCCCTTGGAATGAAACTCGATCAGAGTTTCTGCTCAGATGATCCTATCTCAACAACCTGGTCGACACCCTGGTATGGAGGAACCTCGAAGTTATACTTTTTGGCAATCGATGGAGACACGAACCTGTAACCGCTGGTCAGTCCGCCAGCCTTGAGAAACCTACCTATTAGAGCATCCATCAGCCCAGAGGTACGTACCGTCCACCAACAAAGTGCCGGCCAGTGAAATGGTTGACCAATGGTTTAGGAGCCGTCAGGCTGACAAGAGCTGTCGGCATGAAAGAGCTTCCTAATCCCGTCTTCGGGGGGCCGTTTTCGATATCCCACGACGACGGCGCATCCACTGAAGTGACGGGGATTTTGGTCTCCTGGAGAGATTGGATCACGGCCGGAAATGGTTCCCGAACCTCGCCTGAAAAGCTGAATCCTAAAGCAAGCGTCAATCAAGCAAGGTCATCTTTTGGGGTTTAACGAAGCAAAAACAAAAGGCACCAACCGAATATCGCGTCCACTATATGGTCCGTTGATTTCATGGCGGACGGAAAATCATCGACAAACGGAATTTCGAGATCTTCGAGTTGCTTCGTCAATCGCTGCGAGCCATGGTTAACGACTTTGGCTCCTGTGGGGGAAACGTTGAAAGAGTCGAAATTCAGAGACAGCAAAGGGAAGACGAGGGGGAAAAGAAAGGAAATTGAAGCAGGGTGGAAAGCAATTGGGCCATCGACGATGTACCATCCACGAGACATTTCGAATGCCAAAGAACCAACATTCTCCAGGAACGCCCACTCCTCGAGGGGTGGGTGACTTCAGAAGATCGCATAAGATACCCAGAAGCACGTATTGATAAAGAAACATTGTATGAAACATGGCTTGTGCTCGCTGATCCAACAATCTACAAGCGTGGCCGAACTTCAGCAGACGTACCTGGTAGAGCTCATTCTTGCTTCTCTTGGGGTAAAAGATGGTTGGTCTGTACCCGTAGTAGAACAGATGTCGTGCGGCGACAAGGCCATCCCCGCCTCCAGATCTCGGTCAGATCTCTTGCACATCGGCAAAAAGGAGATAAGGCGCGGGACACACACCATTATTTCCAGGCCCACACGCCACCAGGATTCTTGGGCCTTTGTCCAAGGGCTGGACACGGTAGACTAGTGAGTGTGTTCTCTTAGCAATCCCGAGGCAGTGAATTCATCGTGGACTCTCCCGCCCAGCGACGGCTGCTCACTCGCTCACCTGCTTGTGACACCGCCAGCCCAGCGAGCTCCATGAGCTGGTCGATTGAGAATGCGCCAGTGCTCATGAGCTCCTGGTCCAGCGCGGCGGCGGCCTTTGCGCCGAGGGTCTGCGCAACACGGTTAGCGCTAGCAAGCGACGCAAATGCAGAGAGTCATGGCAGACCTTGATAGCCATGGCGAATCCGATAGAGTCGAATGAAGCAAAGTTATGAGATTCCTGTACCCAGAGGTTCAGTCTTCGAAGGGCGAGCAAGCTGCTTTAAGACTGCTGCTCCTGAGACGCATTCGGGTATTGTCATGATGTCGTGGGAGCGAACTTTCCCATTTATAACACCTGCGTGATGTCAGCGATTTTCGGGTCCTGCTCCGCGGCTCTGTGATTGGCGGGGGCGGCGAAACTGCAGCTCCGGCTCGAATTCGTTTTTTCGGCCAATCTGCAAAACACCAAAGATTGGCCAATCTCAGCTGCGCTTGTGGTTACGAGATTTTGCTGTTCTCTTTGAAGCCTTTGCCTTGCATTGCCCTACCATAAACCATGGTTGTCAAGATCCGCCTTGCCCGGTTTGGGCGCCGCAACTCGCCTTTCTACAACATTGTCGTGGCTCATGCTCGGTGCGTACACATGCCGATCCAATTGCATCACCCCGCCTCGAACAATGCCAGCCGTATAACCCGGACGAATCTTGACTGACTGATACCTCTTCAGTACCGCGCGCAACTCTCGCCCCCTCGAAGTCATCGGCACATACGATCCTATCCCTAAGCCCGACCCCTACGACAACTCCGGCAAGCTGCACAAGGACATCAAACTCGACTCCCAGCGCGCGCGATACTGGATCGGTGTCGGCGCCCAGCCCACGGACACGGCATGGCGGTTGCTATCCATGGTGGGCATCTTGCCGAAGCGGAACTTTGCTCCCAAGGAGAACGAGTCCAAGGGTAGCGTCAAGGCAGGCGATGTGAGGATCCGATAGAGGGTGGAGAGATTGGAGAGATTGGAGTCGACCAAGGCAAGAGGCTGTGCAAGTTCGGCTGTGGGATGATTTGTATGATATGTGATTTTGGGCATTTAACGGCGTTGATTTGGGTCTGACATAGAAGGCGAATACCACAAGGAGCTTGTTTCATGTCGTGTGAAGCTTCCTCAAATTGTACCTGATGGGGGATCGAAGCGGCATGCCTACTGACGAATGTGACATGGAGTTCTTTGAGAGGCGTTGGGGAGCCATTTCCTATGCGAACTCGTCAGGGTTTGGCAATCGACGGAAGATGTTCAATTCGCACAAAGAATCTCCTCGGACACTTTCTCCTAGCACGGATGTCAAATTGCAATCCAGTCCTTTCATGACTGTGGTTGTGCCGAAGAAGTGCTGATATCAGCCTTTGCCATTGCTCTTGGTTCGCTCTGACGAGTTAGACGCAGCGCGGAACTTTCTACCTTGATCTTTCACGAGGCTAGATTCGCGCTGGCGAGCAAACAAATTATGACTTATTCGTTGTGCTTTCTGGCTTAGTGACGCAACGGTCAGGGTGAAGACGCTTTTGACTGGCTAATCCTATCCAATCTGGAGACAACCCTACCTACCATTCCTTCACGGCCAAAGAACGAGAATGACATACTGGTCAATACAAAAGTAGTCAATCACATCTCCAATCGGTATACAACATTCATGTCATTCTGAACATATCCATATCCCTATGTGGCTCATGTCAATCACATCTCCTCCGCCAAGGCATATAGCGTTTCGACATCATGAATCTCATCCCCATAGAATGTTAAGTATATAGTTTCGCTGTACGGCTTCGTCAACAGTATGCCTGGTGTGTCCAAATAAAGGAAGGAAACCCAAAATGAAGAAAACGATGTGACGCCAATGACTGCCCTTTATCAAACTCCACGCATGTCGACAACATCTGCAGTAAAATTGTAGCAAAAACCAAAAAGGAACGCCTCTCCAGAAGAAAAGATAAAATCTCTCCCCCTCCCCCTCCCTCCCTCTCGCTCACGACCGCTATGCGTGTTACCGGCTGAGAGCAACATTGTTCTCAATCATGTTAATGAGAGACGGCGAAAAAGATGTTCATAATCAGGCAGACCACCATAACAATCATTCCGTAGATCGCTAGTGCCAACGCCATCTTTCGCAAAAGGCCGTGATCCACGTGCTCCAGGTCCCATCGCCACTTTCTACGCGAGCGCCAGGCAGTTGGGCTCCGGTTGCTCGCGCTGCTGGTCGCACTGCGAATGCTGTGGCTGCTCTGGGCAAGCATCCCGGAGTCCTCAGTGTCGGATTCGTCAGAGCCGTCTATGTCGTCGTCCTCCTTGGCCAAACGCTGGTGATGGATGCTTTCGGGATCACTGATTTTGTAGTAGAAGAGACCGGGAAGAATAAAACTGATAGACGTAGATCCTGTGCTCCCAACAAAGGCAAGGACGCGGTCAAGACTGCTGACTGAGAGAGCCGTGATGTATGCAAAGGTTAGAATCATCGTAGTAATGAGCGCAAAACGAAGATCGGACATTGGCGCAGTGCTGCCGTGGTCACCCCGTTGTGCCGGTGCTGAAGTGAGCAGGGGGGAACCAGCTCGGCCACCGCTCGTGTTCCCCCGGTTCGGTCGCCAGTTGAAGACGGCATCAAGAGAGGCACGGCAAGGATGGACCTGTAGAGGGATGGAAAATAGCACAAGTATGACAATCGCAGCCTTGCCAATCGTGGAGGCGACTCCAGTGGGGTCTGAAATATAGTGCATTAGTACGAGGCGCTCATCATGCTGATCGCAAGGAGTTCTTACACATTGATACAATGTTTCCAACGATGTCGTTACCGAAAGTGATGTAGCCAGTAATGGCCACCAAGACGTAGATGGACGCTGCGGATCCAATACTAGATCCGACAACGCGGACGACGCTGAGTGGGGTGTTGTCCTTGATCTCGTTGAGAATGGAGAACATCTGAGAAGAGTTAGCGACTTCACAAAACCGAGAGAGAGCAAGAGACGCACGTTTTGGTGGCAAGTGTAGGCGAAGACGACCACCGGCAAGGCACTGAGCGTCTCCACGGCTCCAGCCCATTGAATAACGCGGATGTTGCTAGGATCGGCATGGGGGTCGACGGAGAAGTGATAGATGACCAAAACGATGAGATATCCAATGGATACCAAGGCAACTATGCTGGTATACTTGAGAGAGTCGAGCCTCTTCAAGAAACTCAGGGGAATAACCAGGAGCATAAAGGCAGTGATCCAAAAGTTTCGGTCGACCAGGTAGGGGATCTTTTCGGCATTGCTGTTGAAGCCCAAGGCCACGCCAGGCATAAGGTCGCCAATGATGATCATGTACGAAACTCCGACACCGAAGCACTTGATGGCAATAGCCGCGTCGAAGATGACGGACGCATTAGGATACGTCAGCTGGGACAGAGCGAAGAATGAGGATGATCCCCGGTCGAGGTAGCGCGCGCAGCGGGACTGGAGGTAGAGGCCAAACGCGGAGGTGAAGCCCGACCAGAGTATAAGGAGGACTCCCAGCATGATTCCCATGTGCGACAAGACGGAGGGCATGGCAAGCGTGCCGGCTCCAACGACTACACGCCATCAGGTCAGTATATGTGATTGCAGATGCGAAATTGAAGCTTCGAACTCGGAGGGTCGCGCACTGGTATTCAGCAGGTTGATGATGCTGCTAATCATCGTAGCCTGCCCGCCATGGCCATCTTTTCCACCCCGGCGCCGCGATCTATAAGCCAGAAGAGGCGAGTCAGTCGGCCATTCAGCATCGAAATGCGCACAACCGCGGCCCTCTTACTCACCTTGACATGCTGCTGGAGCCCCCCGGAGAGGCGACCCTGTCTGGAATGGTTTGGTAGTTGGTCATAGCCAGTCTCGCTGGAGCGTGGACAACGGGCAGTCGCGCTGCTCAACGGCCCTAGATGTACTTTGCAGCGGGCGTCTCTCTTCCTCTGAGACGCAGCTGGAAGTCTGGTCGGGTGACGAGCGGTCGATGCGAATCTTCGGGTGTAGCAGACGGAAGCGCGGTCGTGCGACACCAGCAGGGAGGCAGTAGTATCTGGTCTCCGGCGGCGCTGCGATGCGTCGTTTGTCGGAGCAGCGAGCGAGGGTCGGCAGGACGAGCGGCGATGGCGAACGAGCGGCGGCTGGGTGCCCGTGCGGCCAGGCGAGGGTGAGGTGAGGTTGAAGATTGCGGTGGTGATGGCGGCTCCCGCTGCTATATTGGCCCTGACGGGGGCGGAAAGGCGCTGTGCTGGCCAGTGACTGCATTTTACAGCGGGGGCGTGCCCCGGACCCTGGCGGCCGGCACCCGCAGCCAATCACAGCGACCGGCGCATGTGGCTCTCTGACACCGAGCCCGATTGCGATCAAATTGCGCCACTCCGTGTGCTGTCCGACGCATCTGGGCAGGACGACGACGATGAGTAGGTATGCGGCTGGTGTTTGAAGGTGAGATTCCAGAGCGTAGATCCTGTCTGTGTTGTCGTCGTTCAATGGCTCGTGTGCTGGTGCTACAGGCAAGCTTATTGCTACCAAAGGCCTACTCAAGCGCAGAAGTCGTCTAAAGCCACAGTCAGGCACAAAAGCATGGAGGGTAACAACTATAATAGCATGCCTGGTGTGTGTATTCCAGGCAAACTGTCTCATGGCGATCCATACCCTCTCCGTAAAGACGGGAGATCGATGTAGCACTTTGGGGTGTTGGACTCATGGAGGCACGTGTGTTCTGATACACTGAGGCTTGGCGATATATTGCGATACTTAGGTACCTTGAACGTTCCCCATAAGCTGTTCCTCCAGGTGACGATGAATACCCCAACGAGCATTTTGTTACAATTTAAAGTCATTACAGGCCCAAACTCTTTATAATTGTAGGCAAGTAATTTCTTACAGTGTACTCACTTATACGAAGCTTCAATCTTGTTTCCAAGGACCTGGAGCATCAACAGCGCACTTAAAATCGACAAATCACAGCGCACGACACTAGCCCGCCTCTGCCCGCTAACGGACGGGGAGCTCCAAGCCGAAAGCGACAGTGCAGCTTCTCCTCCAAAGCGTCATAGTGCAACCAACCACATCCGAATTGCTTCCATACTGCCCACCTACTCACAAGCTTCACGGAACCGTGTCGCGCAAACCGCAGAGCAAACGCATCTAATCGTCACCCTGATACGCAGCCTATCGCGGCCTGGATTCATCCAACACACAATGTCGGCGGAAATGGACGACCCCCTCGACAAAACCACTCTTGCGACCATCTCCCTCCTTGAATCGCGCCTCCTGCGAATCGAGCATCTCCTCTACGGCACCAGCGCCTCCCCCTTCTCCAGCCAAAACCAACATGAGTCCGCGCTCCAGAAGATGGACGCCTTGGAGCGGCGGTTTGCCAAAATGACGTCCCAGATTCGCGTCTACGCGGAGCTTCTCAAAATCTGTCAGTTGCAGCTTCTTCGCGCCTAATCACCTGTCCTCATACAAGCGCATCTTCTGACAATCTTCGCATCTGCAGACAAATCCAATCCAGACCTCTTCCACGCGCCTCCCCCCTCGCAACCCCCGTCCCAGCTCGACTCAGACGCCGTCCAATCCATCGTCCTCGCCTCCGCGTCCTCCTTCCCCGCCACGCTCTCCGCCCTCACCGCCGTCAAGGACATTCCAATTCCCGACTCTTCCACCAGCGCAAGCCTGATCTCGCTCACCAAGCGCATGAAGGCCATTGAAGCCACGCAGATTGCGCAGACCGCTGAAATTTCCGCTCTCCGAAGTAGAAGCGAGGCGCTTGTGCGATCATGGTACGAAAACGGGGCAGTAATGGGCTCTCAAGTGTTGGCGCACTCGGAGAGCAGAATCCAGAGGATCGAGCGTGAAGTGAGGAGAAGAGAGCGACTACTTGAGGAGGAGAAGCACGAAGAATGAAACGAGCTGGTTGAAATAGTGCATGCTATTCAACCCTGAGCAGTCGACACGAGAGCTGCGACGCTGGGTACGAAGAGAAACGCATAATGAAAGACAGATACCCCATATAGATTAGAGACCGCCGCGTCGCCCGGCTTCGAGGAATCCCGAAGCTGAACACGATAGGACGTTGGCCAGGCTCAAACCTCTGCAACTCGCAGTTGTTGGTTCATAAGAGCGCAACCTGTCACGCTGCCACACTAAAACACGAACAAGCAAAGGTGAAGCAACAAACCTCTCCTCAATCCTGAGAAGCCTTCAAACTCATGACGCATCACGTCTGTATTCGCGTTTCGTCAAGTCAGACAACTTGAAGTTGAGAGACCCTATGGCATAATCAAAGGCTTCCTACCATAGTTACGACTATTAGGAGACCTCCCGTATCCTCTGCCGACTGACCCAGATTGAACGGCCGCGTGATACACATAAGGTAACTTCTCAAGCCCAGCGAAAAAATCACAACTCTCTCACCCACCAACAACATAAGGAAAATCGGAAACCAAAGAAAAGACGTCTTCTGCCAAGGACAATAACTTGTGGCGTCTTGCTTTCTGACCAAAGGTTCAACCTTCGGCCAAGGGCAACTCCTTTGAAACCTTGTCTGAAAAGGAAAAAGCCGGAAAATTCTCCACTTTTTTAGCACGTGCCTGATCAGCAGCCAATGAGACTGGCGGGGCGGTACGTACCCTCAGTTCCCGCTTGCTAAAAAAACCTTGAATTCATTGCAAGAGAGGCCGCCAAACGGGTCTAGTCAGGGGTACGATGGAGACTGGGCCAGTTTCAATTTCGACGATGCGAGTTTTGAAGTTGCTTGATGACTGTGAAGTGCTGTTTCCTCTGCGCAGAGGAAGAAGAACCGCTGACGATGTTACTTAGTGATGAAATTATTGAAAAGTATTTGATTCTTGCTTGCTATCCATTTCTTGTGAAAGCATCACTGTTTTCAAGATATACCCGGCATGACTCTGTAGTAAGCATCATAGGTGTATTGGCGATTCGGATGTGATGAACTTGAGAAGGTGGTAATTGATAAACCTTATGAGACTGGCGTACGAGTATATTCAAGAGTAACATATTGACTGTGACAACATCACCAATAGTGGCATTCGGTCAGGGATGGCATGGCCCATACTTGTAGGCTTATGTTGTTATCGAAGCGTTGATATCACGTCCTTGCGTCGCGAATCGCGTGCTTGTCTCACATCGGATGCATACGATACTACACCACGAGCATCGTGTGCCACTACAATGCTGACAATGCAGCTGAGTATATCGATATAGTACGTCTTTCTGACGAAGCGCCCAATGACTCCTCGGAATACTCCAGCTCAAGCGCCTGTAAGCCGGAACACAGGCCGCGCAGCACGACAGTCTCATGCAAATCTGCTCCGTGCCATAGATAGTGCAGTTGGGTGGCAGTCACTGGAACCTGTCCAGCCACGGCCGCCCCACGACTGCCGCTGCGTCAACTGAGGAGAGTAATGGATGCACGACATTCTCCGCGCATCAAACTACTAGGTATTAGGGAGCCGCCCAAGGCATGCGGCACTCCGGGCCAGCCATTCGGTGCCATCAAACAGTCTGCTGGCCAGTAAGAAACAGCTCAACGGCTGCGGGAAGATTACCGTTGCAGTTTCTGGGCATCCGATTCTATGGTGACTCGTACTATCTGTGCACAGGTCATCTTCATATCACGCCCATCTTCTCGAAAGGCCGTGCTGGTGAGATTTAGTATCAATGTGCCGTCTGCACTCCGCACAAGTACACTCGCTGAGCAGTCCAAGGCCTGGACTTTATTGGCTGATGGTTCTTCCATGTCTGCAGACCCGTGTTCGGTGGGGCTGCCCAGACGAAGCATGAAACTCGGTGTGGAGGAGGCGCACGACTCCCCTGCATTCTGCTGGACCAGATTGCCAGGGTCGCCGTCGAGTCGTGAGCCTGTTCCTGTTAGTCTAGTGCCGAATCTCAAACCATCTTGCCATGGCCATGGCCAGCGCCCGATTGGAGGGAACGGGTGAAGAGACAGAGAGGGTGTCATTGAGCGTGCGATGAGGAGGAGGATAGTAACATGGAAACCCCTCGGAAGCGCGGGAGAGTATCGACGATTACTATCGGGACGGAACACGGAGCACAGGTGTCTTCGTCCAACTGTTTTTAGTGTAATACTCGCATGTGCTGCAACCTTACTTGTACAAGTATAAGCCTCGTCTCATGGATAGTCGGCACTTGGATGTCGGTTGGCAGGGCATATGATGCAGGCGACGTGCGCGAACCTCTCAAACCCAATCCGCAGCGTCCTTTCCCCGGCGTTTCGCTGGTGTGCATGCAGTGCGTAACGTGGAAGGCGGATCTAACGTCTGGTGGAGAAGCGAATGACGACAGACGGACGCGGGAGGGCGATTGTCGCGTTGAAGCAATCGTGGGGTGCATTCCTGGGAACGGCGACAGCTTCGAGACGGGAGAGCCTCCATGCGCTGTCATTCCTGTCCCAGGCTGATGTCCGTGTAGTATTCTCGTGGCGCGTCATCGGGAGACGTGATGGACTTTGGTACCGGCATAGTATCTCATGTCATCAAGAATTCGAAAAGAAAGAGAGGCTATCAAGATAAGAAGAGAGCGAGATGGTAGACTAGAAGATGCCTTGTGGTATGAAGATGGATGCCATCGACGTCGAAACGCGCAGCGTCCTCCACTGTCAAGGCTGTTGACTGCGTTACTCATCAGGCTCCATGTCTGTAGCTCCCAGACTTAGCTCACGCGTGCATGTACCACCAAGTAGTCCGTACCTGCGCTGGACGGCATCCGACCTGAGCCTCCATGATGCTTGCTGAGCCCTTCATTTCGCACAGCCTCGATACGACACGACCGCATCCTGCAGAGCACCGGGACACTGGCACTACTAACAGGCAACCCTGCCGCATCGACTGCAGCTCCAGACCCTGTACTAACCGCGAGCCCAGGCCTCATCCCGGCTGGCGAAGCGTTACGGGGCTGCGGACTCCTCCCGTATCTTACAGGCGCAACACGAATTGCGTTGCCTGTGTGTCCCGCGCTGATGGCCGGTACCTGCCCGGTACCTCGTTTATTGCTTAGCCCCAGCGCACAGGGCTCCCCACCCGCCACGGCCCAGGCACGAGTGGGTGCTGGACTTGCGCCTAGAGGCCCAGGCACAGGCCGCTAGCTGGCGCCGCCCCAGTGGTTGCATTGGATCAATGCAGCTTGCGCAGTCGCCCACGTCAAGTACTCTGCGCGTACCTCTCTCCTCCAATCCTCCTGCACGCCTCTCTGCCAGTGTCTGTCTCTATCTTCTCCTCTCACCCTCACCAACTCCTCACTTCTCTCCTCTCCTTGTTTCCTCGCGAAAAACACTGCACAAACCAGGGACCGGACAGGAACAGCCTCGCCGCCGGGGACTCGCACCGCCGCCGCGTCTGCTCTCCTTTCCTCTCATCAGTCAATCAATCCCTCCAGCCACAAGCGCCGTGCCCAGGAATTCTGTGCGGATCTGCTGCGAAACATCCAATCCACAGCTGTCTGTATTTTTGCCTGTATTTTTCTGCCCCCGTCGCACCAACTCCACCGGCCGCATCTCGCCCGGAGCCGTTTAGTTTTCTCTTCCTCCCCCTACCTGACCTGACAGTCCGTTCCCTTTCTCCATCCTGCAACCGACATCCTCCATTTTTCTTCTCTTCTTTCTTTCAGTCTCCATCTTGACGATCCAGCGAACGACGCGAGACCCTCAGTCGCGGTCGCATTTCCCTTCTTTTTCTTCTTCTCTTCTCTTTCACTCGTTCTCCCTTCGGCTGTGCCGGACACCAGCTACGCGGATTCCAACAACCAAAAAAATCAAAACACGTCTCTTTTCCTGAAATCCTCCGTCCGATCGACAATCGGCGCGCCTCTCGACGACACACTTTGCCTTGAGCGCACCCAATCGCGGCGTCGACTGTCGCATCCCGGCCGCTCGCCCCCCAAACCGACAAGCTGGCTACTTCTCTTATGCCCCCCTACTCGGTCACTTCGCCGTCACTTCACAAAATGGACAACTCCAACATCTACAGACGACGAGGCTTTCAGTCGGGCAACATCTTGGGCGATCCGTTTGCGCTCGCCACCACGTCCATTGCGTTTGTGCGTTCCGTCCCGCCGCCTCCCCCCTTTCTCGCTGACGGCTTTGCGTCAAAGTGGTAAGCGTCAGAGCTAACTTGTAGCCCTAGCTTGCGTGGCTTATCACCATTGTCGGTTGTGTCATCGGCCAGATCCAGGAAACTCCCGAAGACCCGTTCCCCAAGTTCGCTTGGTGGGCAAGCATATACAGCTTCTTCCTCATCATCGGCATCTTCTACGTCGTCGGCAGCGACACGATCCAGACTTACCATGTGGCGATTACGGGCTATACTGCTGGAGGCATGGTGCTGGTGACGTCGTCGGTCAATTCGCTGGTGTACTCCAAGAGCGGCGCGAGAGAGGCTGCGGCTGCGGGCTTCATCCTTCTCTCCATGGTTGTGGTACGTTGTCCCAATTCGGACTGGAACTTGCCCTGAGGAGGAGATTACGTTCTCGTTTTGCGCGTATGCTAACATGTACCGCTCGCATAGCTCGTGTGGACTTTGTATTTCGGATCTACGCCTTCCGCTACACCCCGTGCTTTCCTGGATTCCTTTGCTCTGACCAAGGAGTCTGCTACCATGGGGCGACAAACCATGAGCAACTTTGGCGGAGGCATGGGACGTCCCGAGACGTCCAATTCGGTCCAGCCGCCTCAAATGTACACCTCTGCGCAGCTCAATGGCTTCGAAAACCCTTCGCCTGTTGGCGGCGCCTCCCAGGTCGGTGGCGGACGCGGTTCCAACGTGCCCGGCTTTGGAGGCACTGGGCCAGCGCAAATCAAGGTGACTGGCCCCGACGCCGAGGTGGTGCCACCCACCGAGTACCCATACCGAGCAAAGGCGATATACAGTTACGAAGCCAACCCCGACGACGCGAACGAAATCTCCTTCGCGAAGCACGAGATCCTGGAAGTGTCCGATGTCAGTGGACGATGGTGGCAAGCGCGGAAAGAAACTGGAGAGACGGGAATCGCACCCAGCAATTATCTCATTTTGTTATGAGCTACGACGAAGAAATCGAGCGGGAAGTGCCTTACAGAGGAAATGAAACCACCCTGGTTGCACGATGCGAGCGGTCTCTGGATGGGGCTGGCAAAACACCGACCGGTCCGAGCTGCCATTTTTACATTTCCCTCTTGAACTATTCTCCCTTCCTCCTACTCTCCCGCTCTTCCGCTCTCTTTTACCGCCCTTTGATGCTGCGTTGGTTGTTTTTTGTTCACGCCTAGAGTCACGACTCCCGGGAATTTTTTGCGCAATCGGGTTAGGGATATATATTGGATGGAGTATATTTGGACGAGACCAATTACCAGAGACCGGCCTTACTGAATGGGCAATGCGTCAGAAGAACCCCTTCTTTTGGGGCTCTTGTCTCTGTTTTCTTTTATTTTTCAATGCTGATTCACCATTTTTGCTCTTCTTTTGTTCATTTTAGTATTTGACGTATGAGACCCTTTTCTTCTTGTCCCTTGTGTATTTTCACCCCTTCTTATTCCGTTGCCATTCCCTGCTGCATCCTTCTCCCGCCTCTATCCGGGCTCCCCTCATCTGGACGAGGAGTTATCAAGAGAGCAGCGAGGCGCGGTTACTTCTTCTCTTCAGCCCGCTTTTCCAGGCTACGATTGTTGTTCTTTTCTTTTCCTTGTTTCTTCTCTTCTATGGCGGGAGCGTGGACCAGGCAGACAGGGAGGCAAGGATATTAACTGCACGTACGGGGAAATTTTCGCCCCCCCTGCACAACTCCAGGAATTTGCAGGCGAAAAAAGTAAGAAAAGCAAAAAAGAAAGGGCAGAATCGAAAACTGGGCGCTGTTTTCTTCTTCTTGTTGGTAGGTAGAAAAAGTAAGGTCAAAGGGGGGTCAAAGTCTGCCCCGTACAATGCGATTTTCGGGGGGGGAGGGGGGAGTTGCTGTTGGAATGAAAGCTTGAAATGATACCTGATTTTTCTTCTTGCACTACGAAGCTTCCATTATTGTGAAAAGGTATAGCCAAGTGTCCGTTCTTTGACAAGGTAACGAATGTGCTATGATCGTAGGCTCTAGGAGATATCACGCTGCGTACCATGGTGAAAAAGGAGCGGACTTTGAGCTCATCACACTTTCCTCAGGAACAGAGCTTCGCGACAAGAGAATACCTCTAGGCAGATTATGTACGGCGTAGTCAAGGGGGGCAACATTGGCGTTGCCCAACCCGAGGGAGACATGACGAGAATGCAATGACTTCCAATCACGACCATACTTATTTCCAAATCCGGAAGCTCACGAGGCATGCACGGAGGTGTGGTAATTGCAGTCTATTCATCCAAACAAGGACAATACTACGCAAGAGCGTACTCCGTCCGGGCTACAAGCACACGAAAGGCCCAGACCGAACCCTTTCGAAACAAGGGAGGATTGCGCCCAATCCATGTCCTCACAAGCTGACAGGGCGAGACATGGTGGCTCGCCCCCCAGTGACGCGAGCGCGCAGGAGGCGGGTTTGGCCAAAGCGCAATCGGAGGGCAGACACTGCTCATCAGGCCGGTATGCGGGCAAGATTTTCGCGGAGATGAAGGCATCGTGAAAGCCGATCTTGCCGGGCGTCGTGGTGGTTGTAGAGGCTAGAGGGAGTGCCACGGCAAATCGTGGTGGTGTCTCTTGTCGTTCGTTTATCCAAGGGAGAGGGCAGTCTTTCGCTCGCCCAACCAAGATAGCCACCTTCAGATTGTCACGGGATGTTGTGTCGTATATGCCAAGCACCTCGTTATCGGCTGTCCAGACGCTTTCTCAGCTCTCTTTCCTTCTGGAGCACTTCCAGCTCCAATCTCTCAATGCCATATCGCAGAGCTTCCTTGCGCTGGCGCACAATCCGGGCGCGCAACTTGTCTTCGCCACGGAGCTGCCGGCTCTTTGTAGACGGCTTTGGTACGCCGCGCATCGGGTCGTCAGACCTGGCAAGCCGTCCTTGTTGCAGCTCCGCGCGAGCCTTGAGCGTCTCGATGCGGCGTTCTTGGCGCTCAACCTGAGCATCGGCACGGCTGAGGAGAAATGCGATGTAGGGCCCAATCTCGTCGCGCAGGGAAGCCTCTGCCGCAGCGAGCGTGGGTTGGGGAATGAGCTCGTAGTGCTACAGGGGATGGAAGCAGAGGGGTTGGCCAGGTCAACGACGATGTACAGTGCATTGCATTGATTGCAAGCCGGGCAAGAGGGGGGGAAGCACATACTCGGACTGTCTTGAGGACGGTCATGAGGCGAGGGAAGTCGGATACGCCACGATCAATCGTGTCCACGGACGCCTCGAGGAATTTGAGCGAGTTGCGCAGCGAATCGACGCAGTCGGCATAGGTAGCTGCGCCGCCGGGGCCCGTCTTGGAAGCCATTGGGCCCGGACTTCACGATGCCGAGGATCCGGGAGGAGTTGTGAGGAAGAGGAGGCAAAGGGTCGACCCCAAGCCCGATTCGTGGGCAGGGTCTTGCTGGAGAATGTGGGGAAGATGCCTTGGATTCGTAATGATTGTCTCGCGGGCTGATACGCGTCCGTGTCGGATTGGGAGTCGGCTTCAAGACTGGGCCGCCAGTCGTATCCGGGTTATCTGGATGTCGACGTCTTAGTCCAGGTGGCTGTTGCTGTCACGGCATCAACGCCGCCTTGACATGTGGCGAATGGTGACTTGCGCAGTTGGACACTTGAAGCTGGCTGGCGATGTTGATGTTGACGGAGGAACATGAAGTCAGGATGCCCCGCCAGAATCTGATGCCAAAAGCACATGCAACGAACGTCCTTGCCAACTCTTGTCGATTAGCACTAGCACTACTACTAGTAGTAGCAGCCCCACACCAGCTGCCGTGCTGCTCGGCAGGTGCGTTGCGTCGCTGTGGGGTAGCCTCCTTCCTCGACGTCGACAGACAGACAGACGGGGAAGGCACCGCTCGATTCCGCCAGCACGTGAGCTGCGTGATACGAGATCTAGAACCTCCAGGCTTAACTCTTCTTCTTGTCATCTCTGCCCTCTTTGCTTCAAAGATACCATCACTGCCACGGTCAAGAAGCAGCTGTTTCTGCTTCACACACCCCCATTCAAGTGCTCAAACGGTCCCTCTTCATTCGCCGTGTCTCATCCCCAAGCCAGCGCTTGACTGCTCTGGAATGTTGCCACTGCATACCAGATGATGGTCTTCACTCTCATGCGCTCTCGAGGAAAGCCGCGTTGCTCCAGATGCCCAGAGTCAGGTCGCTCATCTGGTGTCTTGATGCGCCCTCAGCCTCTTGTTCCAACATCCTTTACCCGACTCTGGGCAGCTCATTGTTCATCCTGACGCAAGACGGCGAAGATCCTTATACTTGATACGAGATTCGGAGTCAAGCATCTCGATCCTCGAGAACAACGGTGGAACAGTCCGCATCAACGACAACTCTCAGCCTTGTGTTGCTCTATAGGGCGCTGCTTCTCTCCATTCTCTTTGTCAATGCTGCGACAGATGGCTTTCAGTGTTTCTGTGCGGGAAGAGTAGCCTGGATGCATCGTGAAAGCTCATGGACAGATGTCCCTACGGTTGGCCCAGTGGCAGCACCACTGATTCGAGCCCCTTAGGTACCTCGCGGCACATATGCTACTGACTCTAGTCGGGCATGCCAGCGAAGCCATCGTGAAATGACCCGTGTCTCTTTAGATGGAGCTAACAAGCGATGAGATACCATCGTGACCTTGTCCAACCAGAGAAGCGCTTTGTGCCGCTCGATCTGTGCGCTCCATCTTGTTCTTTTGCTCTTTTCACGATACTATCACCCAGTCGGCGACGCCGTTCTCAGTCGACACCCCCCTTTCGGCACTTGACGCCCCAACTCCGTGGCTGGATGCGCAGTGGTTCTCCCTTGCCGACTGAGACGTCTTGTGCGCCAGCCATTCTCCTATTTCTAGCCTTTCAGCGGCCGCTGCAGTGAAGATCATTACTTTAAAGCCGGGCTTCCTGTTTTCTCCAGCTACGTATCATGTTCCAGCCAGTTCCAGCTCGGGTACCTGGTGCTTGCTCGCATTGCAGAACAAAACTGGTAAATATTGCCTCCTCAAACAAAACCTACCGGCTTCCACGGCTTCTTTTACGGTAGCTGAGGTCTCTTCGCGACATGACCATAGAAGATCCGCAGTATGAGCCATAGACCGGATAGCCTCACTGGACCTGTCGCCGAGGGGATTGGTATACGATTTCTGAATGAAGAATGGAACGACAGTATATCAAACGGCCATTTGTTTACGATTAAGTGGAACGAGTCGCTCGATGAGGCTCGTTCACCAGAGCTTGGGCTATTCAAGATTACATATCCTAGAGACGGCGATGTTGTATATGAGTTGGTGTCAAATCTGACAGGTGCGTATTGCGAGCTCATTCGGACGATGGCACTCCTACTCACGTCAATTGGCTCCTTCAGATGGTATAGACACCGCAAATTCAACCTGTTCATGGACACCGAACCACTTGAGTGATGAGTTATACACGCTATGGCTCTCGTCTTCACAAGATGCTCGCTCAAACTGGACGACGTCTCCGCCTTGGAGGCTAAAAGAACATGTGAGTTTTGGATTGCTGCTATCCCTATGAGCGTCAGGATATTGACCAAAGAACCAGTCACGACATCCCTCCCGTCGCTGGGCAGCACCTGTTGTTATCCCTATCCTAGTCATGCTGACAGTGTACACATTGGGGCTCACCGTCTGCATGGTATATCGACGCCACCGAAATGCGAGGCGTGAGAGAGAGAGCAGCGAAGAGGGGGAAGCAGAGAAGGAGGATGCAGAGCCACCTGGCCTCCTTGGGGACGCAGACAGGCATCCATCGGTCGACACCGCTATTACACTGACTGTCGATGACTCGGAGGAAATCAAGAAGCATGATTCAGACGAAGTCAAGGATCACGATTCAGAGGAGGTCAAGAAGCCGCACATTTGGCTCCTGACACAGTCCGCTTCTGGGTCTCTTCTGTTGGCGTCTCCGGGCAGGAAACATGCCAATTCGGATGCCACGCTGGTGTCGCCCACGTTGGTCTCGCCCACGCTAGTCTCGCCCACGCTGGTATCACCCACATCGCTATCCTCGGAGCCCCTCCTGGTGTCCCCCATCAGCTTGGCAGAGCAGAGCCCTACGAACATACGATACGAGAGGACGTTTATTGCCCTAGCAGATCCGAGAGACCATAGGGCTGTCGTTGCCAGTAGGCTGGGGCGTTCGCTAAGAGTGATTATCCCCTCTGACGATGTACGAGAGTGAGTGGACATACACCGCACGCGTCTATCCGCACCAGCAGAGTTATAAAGAATCTTTGTCTTCTTCATGGATGTGTAGCTGGCGGTGTATTGCTAGAAAAGGGTGGGTAATGTGTGAAGCTCGACTTTTAGAGACGATGATTGACGGAATCTTGGTTGTACAAACACGATGGATATATTCTAGCAAGTAATGATAATAATTATCACTCCTCGATTGAAGCCCGTAATATAATAATTGTCATCTCTCGGTCGAAGGCTATAGTTGGTGAACCAAGAAGCGTGAACCTCATCTCTTACCATGACCAGACACACACAGGGGTAGATTGCACATTTGATCTCCTTGGGTTGTTCAACTGATTCTCTTGTTATTGCTGAATAACAAATCACCCCCTTCAATCCCCATCACCATCGCCATCATCTAATAAAATAACCAAAAAATCAAAATTGTCAAAACCTATCTCTCACATCATCCCTTATGTCCCAATGTTGAGATTAGCCGGCGCTTCCATCCTATATAACCATGTTAAATAAACGTAAAACCCCCCAAATCCCATGCGATATCTGTCTCTCTCTCTTTTTGAACAAAGTTTTACAAACCCCGCTAATGCGCCGTGACTATGAATCTGAATGTTGTTGTTGAAATATCAAACCATGTTGAACTGTGGTTTACTCCCTTTCCCCCCGTCCCAATTTTTTATCAAGTGTTCCCACCTTTTTTGGCCAGGAATTGTCTATTTACGAGATGCTGAAATATTCAAAGAATGAAGAATGTCGTACGCTGAGAAAGCTTCGACAAGAGACGTTGGTTTTAAGCTGACCCGGTGGTGTCCTCCACGGGGGGGCATGTGCAGAACAGGTTGGTGTCGCCATAGGCTGTTGAAGGGGTGTCAGTTAGCACACACACACTCTCTCTCTCTCTCTCTCTCATTCTCAGAAGCAGAGGTAATAAAAGGGGCAAAAGAAAAGTAAAAACTCACTATCGTCCACACGACCAACCGTCGGCCAAAACTTCTTCTCCAAGAGATACGGCAGCGGGTATGCCGCCTTCTCGCGCGAGTAGGGCCTGTCCCACTTGCCCTCGGCGTCGCCCAGGATCAGGTCCCGCTGGGGATGCGGCGCGTTCTTGAGCACGTTGCCCTGGCGCGGCTGCTTGCCCTCCTCGATCTCGCGGATCTCGTTGCGGATGCTAATCATGGCGTCCACGAAGCGGTCCAGCTCCTCCTTGCTCTCGCTCTCCGTCGGCTCAATCATGAGCGTGTTGGGCACGGGCCAGCTCATGGTGGGCGCGTGGAAGCCGTAGTCCTGCAGGCGCTTGGCGATGTCGATGGCCTCGATGCCCGCCGTCTTCTGGAAGGGGCGGGCGTCGACGATGAACTCGTGCGCGCAGCGGCCCTTGTCGTTGGTGTAGAGGATGGGGTAGTGGTCCTTGAGGCGCGTCAGGAGGTAGTTGGCGTTGAGGAGGGCGACGGTGGTGGCCTTGCGCAGACCGGCATCGCCTGTGACAGGTATATCGTTAGCTAAGGATGATTCAACAAGTAATAAAACGGCAAAGTTGTAAACATACCCATGGTGGAGATGTACGACCAGCTGATGGGGACAATGCTGGCGCTGCCAAAGTGGGCGCTGGAGACGGGCGTCTGCGTGCTCTTGTGAGGCAGGTAGGGGACGAGATGCTTCTTGACGCAGATGGGGCCGATGCCGGGGCCACCACCGCCGTGGGGGATGCAGAACGTCTTGTGCAAGTTCAGGTGGCAGACGTCGGCCCCCAGGGCGCCGGGTGACGTGAGCCCGATCTGGGCGTTCATGTTGGCGCCGTCCATGTAGACGAGGCCGCCGTACTGGTGGACAATGTCGCACACCTTGCGGACCTGGGGCTCAAAGACACCGTACGTGCTGGGGTACGTGATCATGATGGCGCCCAGCTCGGCAGCGTGCTTCTTGCACTTGGCTTCGAGATCCTCCAGGTCGAGGTTGCCCGTCTTGGTGTCGCACTTGACGGGCACGACGCGCATGCCGACCATGGCGGCGGACGCAGGGTTGGTGCCGTGGGCGGACACGGGGATCAGGCAGATGTCACGCTTGCTGCCGGGCTGCTGCTCGTGGTACTTGCGGATGGCGCGGAGACCGGCAAACTCACCCTGAGCACCCGAGTTGGGCTGCAGGGACGTGGCGTCCATGCCAGTCAGGGCAGCCAGCTGGGCAGAGGTGGCATCGAACAGTCGCTGGTAGCCCTTGGTGCAGCTGTAAGGCGCGTGAGGGTGGATGTTGGACACGTTCTCCAGGCCAATGAGCTCCATCTGGGTGGTGCCGTTGAGCTTCATGGTGCAAGAGCCGAGAGGGATCATGGAGTGGACCAGGGACAGGTCCTTGGACTGGAGGTGGTACATGTAGCGCAGCATCTCCGTCTCGCTGTGGTGGGAGTTGAAGACCGGGTGCGTCAGGAACTTGGACTCTCGTCGAACAGACGCCGGGAGGCTCTTGATGAGCTCTTCCGAGGACTGCGCGAAGCCCTCCTTCCAGTACTTGGCGGAGACATCGAGGTCGCCGTCGCTGTGGTTCTTGTAGGCAACCGTCTGGAAGGCCTTGACGATGCGGACGTAGAGCTTGAGGGTGAAGGTGGTGGGGACGGCCAGGACAATCTCGTTGGGCTGCCAGGCCTTGCCGCTGCTGATGCCCTGATCCATCAGCTCGCGACGCAGGGCGCGGCAGACGACGGGGTCGTCAAAGTGGAGGGAGACGGTGTCGGAGAGGACCTTGCCGTCGGCGTCGACGGAGCGGGTCGAGACGTTGAGGCCGTAGTGCCGGGCGGCAGCCTGGATCATGCGGGCGTGGCGGAGGTTGTTGACGGCCATCTCCCGCAGCTGCTCGGGGCCGTGGTAGATGGCATACATGGCCGACATGTTGGCCAGGAGAGCCTGCGCAGTGCAGACGTTGCTCGTGGCCTTTTCCCGTCGAATGTGCTGCTCTCGGGTCTGCAGAGCCAGACGGAGGGCCTTGTCTCCTCGGCGGTCCTTGGACACACCAATGAGGCGGCCCGGCAGACGTCGCTTGCTGCCCTCCTGAACAGCCATGAAGGCGGCATGGGGTCCTCCGTAGCCCAGAGGAACGCCGAAGCGCTGGGCGTTTCCAAAGGCAATGTCCGCACCCCACTCGCCGGGAGGCGTCAGGAGAGTCAGGTTGGAGAGATCGGTGGCGGCGCTCAGCAGCGTGCCCTGCGCGTGGGCAAGCTCAGCGAGCCCGCGGAAGTCGGAGACGCCTCCGTTGGAGTCGGGATACTGGACCATGACGCCAATCAGGTCGTCGCCGAGGGCCTTGATCTTGTCCTGCGCATCGGGCGCCGCCAGGTCCAGCACCTGGATGTGGATGCCGAATCCCTCAGCTCTGCCGTGCATGACCCGGATGGTGGCGTCGTGCACCAGGTGAGACACCACGTACGTCTTGCCGGGCCGCTTCTGCCTCGAGGCGGGCAGGCTGGTCAGGGACATGGTCATGGCCTCGCTGGCGGCGGTTCCCTCGTCGAGCAAGCTGGCATTGGCCACGGGCAGGCCCGTCAGGTCGGACACCATGGTCTGGAAGTTGAGCAGCGACTCGAGGCGGCCCTGGCTGATCTCGGGCTGGTAGGGCGTGTAGCTGGTGTACCAGGCCGGGTTCTCGAGCACGTTGCGCTTGATGACGGCGGGGATCTCGACGGGGTAGTAGCCGCCGCCGTTCATCCAGACGCGGACGTCGTTGTGGGCGTTCATGTTCTTGAAGGCCTTGACGATGCCCGACTCGCTGAAGACGTGCGACTGGATCGTCTTCTTCGGGGGGTCCAGCACGTCGGCCGGGATCACCTGCGACACGAAGGCGTCGAGCGTCTCGGCGCCGGGGCCCAGGGCCTTGAGCATCTGCTCGATCTCGTCGTCGCGCGGGCCGATGTGGCGGGCGCTGAAGTCCTTCCACGGCAGCTTGTTGGCCGCGCGGATCTCGCGCATCTCCTTGTAAGTCGGGTCGTCCTGCAGCGCCTCAAAGGCCTGTCGCCGGTCGCCGCGGCGCACGTCGGCGGCCGCATTGGCAGAGTAGGCGAGGCTGCGGGCAGACACGCAACCTGAAGACAGGCGAGGCGCGCAAAGCCGCGCTTCGTGTCGGGCCACGGCGAGCGAGGGGCGAAGGGAAGCCCCGCGGGCGAGGACCAGCCGGGAGGCCATGGCGGGCCGCGATAGTTGCGCTGAAGAGGGACTGGCTGGGGGGTGAGATGCTCGGCAGCAGAGCCTCGAGAAAGCAAGCGTCTCCCTCGATCGATGGCTGGAAACAAAACAAGAAGAGACGAGACGAAGAATCGATGACTAGAAGAAAGAGGAGAAGAAGAAGAAGAAGAAGAAGAAGAGAAGGAAAAGAACAAGTACAAGAACGGATCACTGGCGCCTGGATCTCGCTCGCACAAGCCGCAGCCCGCCCCAAGAAATTTGAACCGACGCCAGCCCGGACGGCCGCGATTGAAGTAGCTTCGAAATCCTCGAGCAGCCCCCAAGAAATTTTCAGATGACGGTCGCCTCTCCAGGCCCGTGAATGGCTGTCCGTGGCGGATCTGTCGTGGGGCAGCCCGGCAGCCGTGATAGCGCTAAAAACGTTGAAGCCCTCACCGGCAGCGGACCAGGAGCGAACGCAGTCCGTCTTATATTCGTCCTGTCGGCAGATCAGGCCACTCGCGAGGGATTGGGAAGGGGCTAGATCTGGTGAGGAAAGTCACGAGAAGATGCAGAAAAGGGAAGCGAAGAAGAGAGAAGACGGTGAGGCCCTTTTGCCGTTCCCTTTCCCTCCGACTGCTGGACCTCGCGGAGGATCAATGGCCGTTCTTATCTGTCAATAAAGCGCCGAACGGATCAGGCATCACAGGGGCCTTGATGGGCCTCTTTTTCTTTGTTTCCTTTTCTATCTTTCTTGCTTTACTTGATCCGTCACTGTCCCTCGCCTTCTCTTTACAATTGCTTCCTCATTCGCTCGTTACCATCCATCCCTCTTCCGCGTTTCCCCCAGAGCCGAAGATCGCAGCATTGACTCGCTCCGGGCCAGCCCACGGCATGTCGTACCTTGCCTTATGTATACCGGGTACCAACAATTGTATTACACCTGATATTTACTCCGTACTCCGTAGCTCCTCCTATCAAGCCGGACATACATGCAACAATGATACGAAGTACATACGGAATAGGCAAACAGATACCTTGGACCTGCAGATCAGCTTCTCGCACTGCTGCTCCGTAAATACTGGAGATGCTCGTCTCCGCAAAGTCCCTTTGGCTTGGATGCTTCAAGCATAGCCCCAAGCGTTAGACAGTCCAAGTGCCCATCCATGAATCATGCCCACATTGATATCAAGGTAAAAGAGTCACCATCATCAATCAGCCGGGCCAGCTTAATCTTTCTCCCGATAGGAAAAAAAAGCTCAGACTCATCAGGGCTAGAAGCTTTTGGTTAGATGATGCTTCTCCATTGCATACAGTATCATTTCTCTGCTGCATCTTTTTTTCCTTACTGTGCGCGCTTGACCGCAAACGACATCGGCCATTCACGGCCCGACGCTGAGCGATCACGCCGCCGCCTGTGATTCGCCAGCCCGGATAAGCCCAGCTTTTTCTTGCTGCATCATATTTTTTTCTCGAATGCATGTGCGAGGGTCCGTCAGATTTCTAACCCAAAAAAAGAACCCTTGACTTTCCCTCTCTCTTCTGACCAACTTCTTGCAATTCACATATCGTAAAAAGTCTGTCACAGGACTCGTTCTTTTGTTGCTTTCTTCTTACCGCACACTGTACCTGTACTCCTAACCAGAGGGGGCGCATCCGAAATCGCACACGTTTTACGTAACGTAACGATCCCGTCAACCTTGGAACTCAGCGTCACCAAACAGCTTGGAAGCTATCACATCATATCATCATGTTTGGAGGATGTACGTACTACTATCTAACTCGCGCCGCCCAACCCCGATCAGATCCAGCCCAACTCCGAAGGAACAGGATAACCATCCCTGGCCACGAAGAGCTTCGCGAAGCTATGGGACATCGTTCTCCTGAAAGCCCCTTGCTATCATGATATACCTATGATACGCCAAATGCAACAAATGCTGACGTTGTCGTCCAGTCGCCCCCCCGCAGCAGTCGCCCGAGGAGATTCGCGCCATGGAGGCCGAAGCTACCTTTACCGTCCAGCAGGTCGCTGCCACGGCCATCATGCTCTACCTCTGTATGTCTTTCTCTACCGACCAAGACGAAAGCAATCGACGTCTTTCAGGATCGTACATGTGCGCCGTTGCTGACCGCAAGAAATCAGCTCCCTTTGCCGTTGACATGATCAGCCGCATCTTCTAAACGGGCAAACAAAATAACGAAAGAAAAAAGAAAAGAAAAGAAAGATCAAACGTTCGTATATAGACCAACGAAAAACATGTAACACTACACCGCATTGCTTCTCGCTCCGGCACATGATCCATTGGCGGATGCTCGCGGCGCCGGATTTCCGATTGGCGAAATGTTGATATATACCGCCGAGGGGTCCACGACCCCAAGCCAAAGGCAACCCTCCTCACTGTACGATAGATTTGAGACCACTCGAGGTTGGAACGACAAGAGATGGATGCTCGTGTTGGTCATCCGCGACGAAACGTGAACGAACGACTATAGAAATGGGAAATCAAGAAACACACGGTCCATCCCTGCTGGGATGAATATGTGGTGATTGGCCTCGAACGCTGTCCAATTCGCGAGACATGTATGCAAATACTTGAGGGGCAACAAAGTACTGGCTATGCTTTGAAATTCGTTCAATCCTGCAGAACCGTACAGTTGCTGAAACCAGTTGGCTCAAAGCCTCCCCTTCTATGGCATTAGAATACTGCCTACCAACGTTCCAATCCTGTTTACGTCAAAACAAAAACACAAAAAGAGTCTCCAAATGAACACCAGTAGCATCATGCCTTCGGTAAGAACCACCCCTCCTCGCAACACCTTCTTTTCAGATATACACAAGGAAAGCCTTTATCGGGACCGTGACGTCGAGTTTCTGCTCTTTTCCCACTCCTGGTAGTCCGCATTCAGCGCCTCGAGCTCCTTTTTCAGATGCTGGAGCTGCTTCTCGTAATCTTCCAGTACCTATAGTTTCACATGGTCAGCCCATCAGACTCTATAACCCAGTAACCTGCCGCATGTCAACAACTTACCCGCTTCGCTTTCGCCTGTGTCTCCTCGTCCAGCCCCTCGCTCTCAGCTCCAGCCGGCTTCTCCATCTCCTTGTTCAGCCGCTCAGAGTACTCCCTGAGAACAATCAGCCTGCTCCACAGCTCCTCCTCCCGCGCGCCCACGGCCGGGTCCTGCACGTCGCGCTCCAGCGCCTGCAGCCTGCTCTTCAGATCGTCCTCGTCGCCGCTGAGCGCGTAGCCCCTGTTCCTCAGGATCTGCACCTTGGCGGCCAGTGCCAGGCATCGGTTGGAGATCATCGTCTGCCGCCTCCTGGCCGCCAGCGCCCGCGTCTCCGTCTCCAGCTCATGCCGCTGCAGCAGCGCATCCAGGCAGCCGTTGATCTGGTGCAGCCGCGTGTTGAACTCGGAGATGGCGCGCTTCTGCGTCTTGAGCCGGTCCGCCACGCCCGTGTAGCCCGCGCACAGCACGGGCATAAAGCCCGGCGCGGGCTTGCTCTGCAGCGCCTCCTCCCATTCCCGAGGGTCCTCGTGCGGCTGGGGCTTGTAGAAGGGGATGTGCGCCTCGTCGACCTTGTTGTAGAAGTAGTGCTTGAAGACGCAGCTCGCGCTGGCAGGGTCCCATTTCTCCGTCACGAGCTTCATCTGCTCCAGGATCGGCTTCTGGTCTGTCCACATCATCAACCACCACCAATGGCTCGTCAGCAAAGAAATGGTCACGGTCGCTTGTCTGCTTGTTTGCTTGTTGTTTGAAGTAATGGATGAGGAGAAGCTACTTACGCGGCGTCTCCTGGCCGGGCTGCCATAGAGAGCTCGACAGCTGGGCTTGTGACTGCGACAGCGCGGGCACCTGCTGTGTCTGCTGCTGCTGGGCGAGCAGCGAGCCTCCGAGCGCCGGCGCCTGTTGGCCTGCACCCAGAGTCTGGCCAAAGACGTTGCCGGATGTCTGCGTCTGTTGGGCGGGCTGCGCCGTCTGGGCCGAGCCAAAGAGCCCTCCCGAGCCCAGAGGCTTCGTTTGTCCGAACAGCGACATGGTTTGGCAGAGGCAGACCGCAGGATCTCGAGCGTGTGCCGCCTTAGCTCCTCAAGGAGCTTGTGAGGGACGAAGAAATTGGTATCGCGGCGCGGACTGGGATCAGAAATGTCGAGATTGCGGATCTCCGAGGGCGGTATCGTCGGCGGATTCGCTGGCAGCGTCGCAAGGCCGTCCAAGGTTTGATGCGGCGGATGTTTTTCCTCGTCGCTGGGCAGTTTTGTTGACTTGCTACAAAAATGCTGCAGGGTCGCGCTCGGCGGTACATGGAGGAGGTACCCAGGTACCGCGCAGTGTCAGCCTCGTCCACCACGGAGCCAATCACAGCTCGTCCTCAGAGTAGATGCGCGACCTGCGCCTTTGATGCGCGCAACACCTGAATGGCGCATATACCAGGGACAATTGCAGAATGGCAAAGCTAAGAGACCCAATCGCTGCTCTGTCTAGGAATTACTTCTTAACGGTAGTTGAAGACGAGGGAAGATGCATCAAGTCAACGCAAGAGAGCATTCTGGCTTGGATGAGTCAGCAGTTCTGGAGATCGTTCGACGAAGCTACTTGCAGTACCTGCCGTTCTTAATCAGCAACCGCAAGCCTGCTGAATTGCAGAGACTACAGCACTAAATCTGAAAACGCTCTGCAGCTACAGCGGGCTTCAGGCACCGTTGAATGATCGCATCTTCCGCAGGCCAGGTACTCTCCGCCCATTCGAGGTACCTCTCGACAACACCAACAAGGCTGCGCTTGCTGACCCCCCGGTCGCCTCTGATTGGCCACGGCAACCTCCAATCTTTCAACTAAGCCCATCCGAAGAGACCTCAAGAGCTTCCAATTGTCCTCCCGCAGGCTTCACACAGGTGTCGACCACAAAGTCCCCGGCAATCATGGCATCACGACGGTCTCAGTACGTTCACCGACCCCTCCGAGAAACCAGCAGCGGGCAACCATTGAGTCGTCCCGGCGCCCTCAAAAACCGGCGACAATTCCCCTCATCCAGCGCATTACCAGCAAAGCTAACAGATTCGGATCTTGTTTGGCAGTTTCCACCAGCAGGTGCTCATCGACACCACGCCTCTCCCCGACAGCATCCCTCCCGTCCAGGAGATTGGCGCCAGCTCCGCGCCCCTGCTGTCGGCGTCCTTCTTCATCGGCGCGCGGTGCCGCGACTACAACGATGACTACATGCAGTGCAAGACCGAGAACCCCGGCAAGGGCGAGCTGAACTGCCTCAAGGAGGGACGAAGGGTCACCCGCTGCGCTCAGAGCGTGTACGTTGTTCTCTCTCGTCATCTTGCGAGGAAAAAGCCACCAATTCATTGGGGATGGGGAGCGGCATATATATGCCCCGAGGGCTTTGGGGCTGGAAGAGAGGGGGGGAGCAACCCGTTTCTTCGAGGAAGGGATAACTGATGGATGAGATGCAATCTAGGCTCACGGACATCAACACACACTGCCTGGCTGAGTTCCGCAAGCACTGGGAATGCCTCGACAACCGAAACCAGCAGCTCTGGCAGTGCCGCCCCGCCGAGTGGAAGCTCAGCAAGTGCGTCTACGAGAACTTGGTACGTCTTCACAGAAGAAGAAAACGCCCTCTCCATAGTCATTCCGTCATCAAACTGCATTCACTGTGCGCGGACGTTTGTTAATCGAATTATCGTCAAAACCAGAAACTGGAGAAGAAGATTCCCGATCAGCCCACCAACGTCACCCCCGTTGAGCTGAGGACGAAACAGATCTTCGCCGACGTGAGAATCGGCCCTGGAGACGGGAAGCCATTCGTCGCCGCGCAGTCTGGTGCTTCACAGTGAGGATGAGGAGAAGAGAGAGAGAGAGAGCGCGCGATGTTGGAGTGCAGGGGGTCGGGGGATGATGCTTCGTGTACAATTTTCCGTCACCTTGAGTCGAAAATAAGAAAAAGAGACGAAAAAAAATAAACTCATCAACATTCTGCATACGATGCCCTCTGCAGTTTCCTTCCTCGGCAACATGTGAGCCCCATCCCATCATGACTTCTTCGGTACTACGCGAAAGAAAGAGGGGTATCTCGAGTGATATATGAGAGTCAGGACCTGTCTGGTCCAGAACGAAACACCCTGAAGCAAGGCCGTTTGACGCAGAGACATACGACACAAAACACACAACCCAGACACTCAAAATAGAAGGTTAACAGGCAAAAACCCGCGTTACACGAAATTCCCATCCTCCCCTCCGTCAGACCGCCAGAAACCTCCCCAGGGCAATTCTTACCCCCATGGCGAAAGTTGTGCAGTCGCACATCCACAAAGACTATTACTCAGACACAACCAGTTCACGAGATCTCGGCCCTTATGCTGTGCTGTCCGTCGGCCAAAGCTTCCCCGGGCATCACAAAGACAACTGATGAATGACGAATCATACCTTGACACAACAGCTGAAAAAACTCTAAAACGACCGAAACTGGGGGAAAAGGGGGTAAAGGCAGGCTCCCCTCATTCTCTCTCCGAAAGCTCATCGCCAATAGTGCCTCCGTACATTGTGAGGGCGGGCGAGGAGGGGGAAACTGTCAGATGCCATTCGCATAGGTAACGTAGAGGCTACTAGCATGAAGAGCCCGAGACATTTCGACATGGAAGATATATCTCGTCAACGGCTTGTGAAAGCGCCCGGGAACTTGCTGCTCTCCTGCTGCTGCTGCTGCTGCTGCTGCTTGCTGCCACCTCTTTAGGACACAACGCATATCCGCAGCGTTTGTTGTTGTTGCTGTTGTTGGTGACACTCGGGGGGCAAAAGCTGACAGCCAGACTACATCAACATCATCAATCTGTGAAAAATAGCAGGTTTGGGCAAAGAGACTGCGGGTTTTTTTTATGTTCTGGTTTGAAAAGGGGTTCTTTTCTCTGCTTTTGGGGACTCGGCCTCCGCTGTATGGCGGACGTCTCCGTTGGTGTTTTTCTTTTCTTTTTCCTTCGTCACGAATGCATGTATTTTCAGAGTATCTTCATCAGGGACGCCGCATGATAACGGGAGCGGATGTGGCTGACTAGGAAAAAGGTACAGAACAGATGCTTGATCCCTGATATGAGACAGTCGTCGTTATTTGCCTGGCAAGCCACACGCAAATCTCTCGAGTAAGATAATGATTTAAGTTTTGTATGGAAAGGATACGACTTTGGGTGTTTGCCGTTGCGCGCAGGCATTGCTACCCTGGAGCATATCCGGAAAAGGCCGTGGGCAGTTACCCAAGCAAACAATTGAACAAGATGCAACGACAAACTTATGACTTCGATGGCATAACGAATCTATTCAACGGGTTATAAAATCGTTACTGGTAGTATTGGCTGGTTGATACAGTACGTGGCAGTAGACGTCTCCCTGCATCCCACCCCAACGCCAAAGGCTCTCCGCATATTCACGAAGCAGCCTCCCCCCTTCCAACCCAACAACACGCCCGGCAAACGCAGCTCCTTTTGGGCTCATTCCACCTCACAGAAAGAACACAGTGTAACTAACTCATATAGATAGTCCCTAGGGTAGATGTGAAAAACTCTGAAAGATGGCTTAAGATGAAACCGCCCGGTTCCACAACGCAGCGCTTTAGACAAGACCCGTTGGACGGGGACGGGAAAACACGAGCGTATGATCACCGAAACAACAACATCGAAGACGGCAAGAAACGACTGGACACATCACTGAGTTTCGTTTCAGCCACATGGCTCTCGCATGGCGCCGGCTGGGGACTATTTGTACCTTGTCTGCCGTGGCAAAAAGAAGTTCAACTAGACTTTAGCCAACGACGTTGATGTTCCTCAATACCTAGTGTAGAGCTATGTGTGGATGCAAGCCTCAGCGCGGCAGCACAAAGACCATTCAGCTAGGTAGAGAAGAGTAAAGTTCTCAATTACACAGAGGCTTCCTGAGTTACTGCCTTTTGACATGCACAAGCGCAGCCACACTGAAGAAGCTGGAAAGGGGTGCGACAGACTCAACTTGCGCCTCGGTTCCCTAGCGGCGCTTATGTGCAGTTCCCATGGCCAGGCTGGCCACGTCAAAAGAGCCCACAGGCAAACAGAAGGACAGAAGCGTGAGGCAAGTCAAACGAAAACAGGCGTCGGCGACGGCTCGTTTCAGATACAAGACGTGTAGCCAGTCCCGCAGGCCTGGAAAGCCCGCGGCCTGGGAGGGAGTTTTGCCGCTCGGATTGTTACCAGTTAAGTGTTGCTTTGGCTGACAGTGTGAGGTTCTACCAGCACCTCAAATCAACTCTCATAAGAGGCGGCGGCATCGGCCTGGGGGTGAAGCCAAGTCTTGTGGATTCGTGCCCGTCCTGGCAATGTTCTAGAAGGACCGGGCACCCTGCCAGGAGGCTGACTTTGGTCGTGCTGGATATTGATGGAAATTGCCCGGAGTCCCTTCATTACGAGAGACTCATTTATGTAAGACACAGTTGCCAGCGTTCCGGGTAGGAATGCTGAACTATTGTGAGCCATGTCCTTGATATAATTGTCATATCCAGGGCAACATGTAGATGAATAGATATTGTTTTGGTAATAATTGCCCGATTCCCAATGTTAATCACGTAAATGACGGCCATCGTGCGGTTGGTGGAGTCAATCTTACACTCAATCTAGAGTGGCGGACCGAGGGACGTCGTTTTGCAGGTCAACACACACCGCTGCTGGGATTCATATGTACAGGAGGCGCCTGTAAGACTCCAAAGAGCCCCTAAAGGCTTCTCGACCGCGGATGCGGAGCTGAGTCCGTGGGGTGTCGAGTCGAGTCAAGTCATTCCGGGCCGGCCGTAGGAGTTGTGCTTCCGAGCGGCGCTGACATGGGAGACAGGGACCACTGCATCGCGGCAGCACTTGTCTATCTGATTCACCCGGGGACGCGGACAGACACGACGGCTGGCACCAAGCGGATACACTCGATCAAGGCTGTGGGACCATCAAAGGAGATGGGCCGACGTACCGACGGGCTAGTGAGAAATGCTTCGTCGTGATGGTGCCCATGAGCAGGAGCCGATAGTTTGCAGCCCGAGGGAAACAGAGAACCACCAGGGAGTGACGGCGGCTACTCGGCCGGAATGGACCACGATAGTGGTGTCCATAAACAAGGAACACTAGGAGTAGAGTAGTAGTACGGAGCAGCGGTTTGAATGGATCAAGGCGCGCAAGGGGAAACAATGAATGTCTTGCCCTGGATTCCGACAGCCATGTGCTGCATGTACCGCCCCGCCAATAGACGGCTTCGGAGACTTGGGGGAGCCATCCATTGCGTATGGACCTCAATCAACTTGCGCAAACGGTGGGAAAGACATATGAAGAAGAGAAAAGCGACGGCCGTTCGTTGGTGTATCCAGGAGCTGGGGCCTCACTCGGCCTCGTGTGCCCAGACGGTGCGCTTGATGAGACGCGGGAGAGGTACAAGAGGCTGAGGCAAGCCATGTTCTGGGTACAGGTACGGATAGGTGGTAGGTGCAACGGAGCAGGCTGAAGTCCTTGGAAGTCCTACTTGGTAGTAGGGTTTCGATCAAAATGAGAAGGAAGAAGAGGAAAAAGAAGAGAAAATGAAGCAAAAAATGTTGATGGGAAAAGGTAACATACCTACAGAATAAAGCCTGCCAACAAGCGCAGTGGTTGCCGTTCTGGCGCACCCCGCATCCTGGACAATTGGGATCTGCGTCTAATCAGGCAAGTCCTGGCACTTGAATCGAGTCTCTGGTACGACAAAAGCACTCCAGAATGCGACGCTGTTTGTACATGTCGGAACACGCGGCCCGAGAGCGATGAAATGCCCTCATGTTTTGTTTTGATCCTCTGCTTCCTGCCGCTGGGAACGGCTTCCTTTGCCGGTGCCTTTCATGTACAGTAGCATCCATCGCCCCGATATCCGGGGTCCGGTCGCCTGTTGGTTGAACCGCTGCTCCAGGAGATCCATAGGGCAGGGCAGGTATGGGGGTCACAAGCAGCAGCAGCGCCGAAGAATAGGAGATCCAAGGGTGAAATGAGTGACATTCATCGCGCCTCCTGCTCCATGGATTCCATACTCCGTTTCTTCATCCAAGTTCGTCCAGCTCGAGCCCAATGGCAGGCCGTCGATAGGCTGACAAAGAGCGCTGGAGATGAGGTAGGGGGTGACACAGCGCGATTAGTGCCGTTTCAGGGATACAAAGTCCCGCAAGGCCGCCTGGAGCTTGTTTGATGGGGACGCCGGCGCTGGTTGGCTGCGGGCGAGAGTAGCCGCTGGAGCTGCTGCAAGGCACAGCGCCGTGAGAGGAGGAAAAAGATGCATGTTCACGGGCTAAACAGGCGCAAGGATGATGGGGGGCGTGCGGGTAGCGGTCTGGTACCAGCGAGGAAAGCAAGACAAGATGTCGACGGATGCAAAAAGTGCCCAGAAAAGGGCCATGCCGACGTCTGATCCCCAGCATTTGATCTTGTAGGACACACGAGAAAGGCGGACTCGGCGAATAATCGCGCCGATTCAGGGCTGAAAAGACTGCTAGTACTACTACTCCAGCCTTGAGCACATTACGGAAGGGAAATGGAACGTTCGGTGGACGGCGGGTCAGGCAAATCAAGGGGCAAGGACTTGACGACACCAACGATGCGATGCCATCATCTGCGTGCGTGCCTCACCGTCGATACAGAGCACGGACGGGAGGCGAGCAGGCAACGGAGAGTTTGTCAACGCTCTGCAGAAGCTGTATGGAGAACGGAAACCTTGTAGCCATATCCAGACCTTTTCAGCCGAGTGCAGGAAGTTGTGGTGCGTTTAGAGTTACCGAAGATGCATCGGCCAACGACAGAGGTACTCAGTGCCAGCTACGCGCATCGCATCTCCATGTCCGCAATACGAAGCAACCCTTTTCACTCGTGTTGAGTAGTACCTTAGTATTAGAGCGCAAACGTGACGGCGGGGTGGTTCACGAGACCTCCATTAGAACCAATCTGTCTTTTCTCTCTCCTCTTCTTTGCCCTCTCGCTACTGCGGCTGCGCCATCCGATCTCAAACATGAAAGTAACGTTAATGATGTGCGTAAGCATCGTGAGGCCCGGGCTCATGATGCTCACAGTCCTGAATAAGAAGGAACGAAAGAAAGAAAAAGAAGCCGAGGCAAGGGGATCATGTCAAAAAGAGACTTATTTGGGCGAGTCTCCCATCTCGGCTGTTGGGCCTGGCCAAGGCGGTAATTTCTGGCATTTGGGGGGGAAATCTTAATCTTGAGCCTTGTCGGGGCAAGATGAGCGCGGGCCCTGAGGCGGACGCTCTAGCAGGAGGCTGCGATGAATAGTATTCGGACTTGAGACATTGAAAAGCAAAGAGATAGTATGGTGTTGCAGTTGGTAGCCATGAGTATTACTGTACTAGTAGTGTAGTAAGGCAGTAAGAGTAGCCCCAATCGAGTCAAGGAAGGTTACCTGATCGAATGAATGGAATCGTCTGCTGCTGGTATCACGTCCAGCTCATCATGTTGCACAGGGGCCTCGTGCCACGTCTCCTCCCAGGTTTCTGCACTCCGCGTATTCGTGGGTGCACCAGAAATCAAAGTCGTTGGCAAATCTGAGACCAATCTGCAGCTGCTGAGCCTGCGCAGATGCCGGAAGCAGAACCGACTGACTCTGGGCTGGAATGTCGCATCTTTCAGGTCTCTCTTCGATTGATCGTGTCGCTACAGCCACGCCCTGCGCATCCTCCCCCGCGAGCCCAACAAGGCTAGACCGACGGTAATAAGGTGCAGTGCTAAGCAACTTGGCTGTTTCGTAGCGTCAGGCACAGGAACCGGAACGTGATTTTCAGGAACCGGCCGGAGTGTTTCTGTTTGTTTGTTTGTCTGTCCGTTGCAATTGTCGTCTGTATAAACCAACAGCTGGTCAGTGCTCGTGACCGTGAATACTTGGTACCTTCTCATCGTCACTATAATCAAGCACCAGAATGATGTCTGCCAGAAACAACATCGGCAGAAATAAGATGATAGAAATACGGTGAAGAGATAGAGTTCATGTCGTCACTTCTCGGATGCACATGCACGCGCAAACGAGGCTTCACCTTCTGCTCAGCTGGCTTCCAGCAGCCCTCCAGCAGCCCGTCACTGAATCGCCTCGCTCTGCAGGTACACTTACAGGGCCCTCGCCCCCGGCACCTCGTATGCAAGGCACCCAAGGCCACCTAAAGACACCCAAAGACACCTCAAGGCCTACAGCACCCCCCCGGGGCCCTGGGCGGGGGCGTGCGCATCTCGAAACACTGCAAACTCCAGCAATCCCAGCTTCATCTCCCCTCCCCAGTAGTCTCCTCCACCTCGTGCCTTTCGCTCTCCCACGGTCCCTGCCATCAACACGCTTCTGCACTCTACCTGGTACCGCCGCCTCGTTCGTTCTGCGCGCCTCCTGGTCCGTCGATCCGCCTTTCGTTTCCTTTTAACGTCCATCGCCCGCCTGCCGCTGCGTCTCCTTGTCCTCCACTCCTAGAGAGCGAACTTCTTCTGGCGACCATCTCTTTTCCCTTCCCTCCCCCTCTTTCCCCCCCAGAAACGCTCCTTATCCGTGTCCTCGACGGCACATTCCACTCCTTTCCCTCTCCTCTTCTGAGACCCGATCTGATTCACTTCGTTATTTATCGGCCTGGTTTCCGGTTCCTCCTTCACGTTACATACAAGGTCGAGTGCATCCAGCCGCCGACTGAACACGCTCCTTTCACTCTGTCGACCGCGCTTCGCCAACAACAACAACGAGCCTCTTCAGTTGCCTGCCAGTCTGTCCGACCGCAGCAGCTTCCGCCCCCGGATCTCGAAAGCAGTGCTGCACCAGACTGGTTCTGACGCACGTTCGATATAAATCCTCCTCGACCGCCCGTCTGGATTCCAGCCTTGCGTCGCTGCATCATCAACTCATCAAGGTAAGGCAGTGATCGACAACTCCCTCTGCACACCTTGTTTCGTCTATATATATATCTACCGCGCCTCATGATTGGCTTTTGCTCTTTTGCCGCGCCACCAGTTACAAAGTTTGAATATCTCGTCATGCTACATGTGACAGCTTCATCATCCTCTTCTTCTCTTCCCCCCTCTCTCCTCCCTGGCCCTCAGGGCAGCTGGGCAAGTGCCTTTGCGCAAGTTGTCCCAGCATCGCCTTGTCCATTCCTCGAGATCCTTCTCCCAACGTCTCGGTGTCAGACCGTGGCACAATGTTCCGTTTTCGACGGCTGTGTCCTGGTCCTACATTCCACATCAGCCCAAGCCGCGTTCCAGAGGGCATCACCAGCCCTCTGACATTTTGTGGGATGACGCATAACCTATCCATTGAGCAGAGCCGCCATGATTCACTATTGCTTTCAGAGCCCTATATAGCCAGTTGCTTGATGTTTTCATCGTCTGCGTGATATCCAATATTCATTGTCTCTATTGAGATGTATGCTCAAATACCTAGACTCGACAGCTAACTCTTCACTTAGCAAGTTCAACTTGACATCAGCAACCCCAAGCGAAGAATATTCAGCTGTTCAACATGAAGTCCGCTGTCCTTTTGGCCGCGGGTGCCCTGCTGGCCTCGGCCGTGCCCCTTGAGAAGCGAGTTATGGAGACGGACTGGGTCACCGACATTGTCACCGTCACCGTGACTGTCGACCCTGCTGCCAGCGCCTCTGCTACGCCAACTGCCGGTGGAGTTTTCATTCAGAACGTCTCCGAGCAGCCAGCCGCTGCCTCTCCCTCGCCCGCAGCCCAGGCTCCCAAGCCCGTCTTCGCTCCTGCTCCTCCCCTCTCCTCTTCCGCCGCGCCTTCGGTGACTCCTCAGGCTGCTCCCCAGCCGGCTCCCCAGCCAGCTGCACCGCCAGCGGAAGCCCCCAAGCCGCAGTTCACCACCGTCGTCGTCCCTGCGAAGCCGTCTCCTCCTCCGGCCCCGGCTTCATCCCCCAAGCCGGCTCCTTCTCCTCAGCCTGTCGTGGCCAAGCCCTCCCCTGCGCCGTCTCCCAAGCCGGTTACGTCTCCTAAGCCTGCTCCTTCTTCAGCTCCGGCTCCGGCTCCGGCTCCAGCTCCGTCTTCGGCTCCCGCCTCCGGAAATGATTACGGCTCCATCATGGTCAACCAGCACAACGTCCACCGTGCCAACCACTCCTCGCCCGCTCTTGAGTGGGACGACACTCTTGCCGGATATGCCCAGAAGACCGCTCAGGGCTGCGTTTTCGCTCATGACATGTAAGTAGACGAACACTCCAAATATAATGAACGGATATGAGCCTGTGATGTTAACATGAATGATAGGACCGAGGGTGGCGGTGGCTACGGCCAGAACCTTGCCAGCTGGGGCTCCACTGGCAACATTGACGACAAGCAGATCGAGGCGGCTCGCCGTGGCGTTACCGACCAGTGGTACAACGACGAGATGGAGAACTGGACCTTCTTCGGCCTGGCCAACCCTCCCTCAGGCTCCAACCTGGATTCCTGGGGCCACTTCACCCAGCTCGTCTGGAAGTCATCCACCAAGGTCGGATGCTACACCGCCAAGTGCCCTGCTGGCACCGTCCTCTCCATGCAGTCTTGGTACACCGTCTGCAACTACAGCCCTCCAGGTAAGCCCAATTGATCCTTGTCCTGACTGGGCCCTCTGACGAAACTGACGCCTGATTCTAGGAAACTTTGGTGGCCGATACGCTGAGAACGTGCTCAAGCCCCTTGGCCAGCCCACCGTTCGCATCTAAGCGGAAACGGAAACATTCATCTGGCACTTGCCTCTTTCTCCTGTCCACGCAGACTCTGTTGGGACTCGGTCGTAGCATACGATGGCGGTCGGGCTCCGGGAAGAGATGTGTATGGTTAGGGTTTCGGACTATCGAAACGGTTGACGAAATCTCTTTTTCGCTTCTCATTGTATCTTACGCGATGTCATTTTGACAATCTGGACTTGATTTACTTCTTCCCTCACTTTCACACAAACACCAGGAGAAGGGCTCCCTTGGCCGACGCTCGACTTTTTCTCCTTGGTCCTCACGGTCAATTCAAATGTGCATGGCGTCGTTTCTGATGAGTATACAGACGGATCCAGGCTGGTTAAAGGGCGCTATCGGGTTGGGACGATGCCCAACGGTGAGCTGGTTTTGCACGGGGGGCAGTTCGATTCGTTTGCCTGCGGGGAGCCGTCGAAGACGTCGTTGGTGGATGAACAATATTGTCCTCGACGGGGTGTTGCCGATGGGGTCCTCGTAGGTCATGATACTAGGGGCTTGATTTCCTGGATCATTTTATATATGAAGGCACGGCTGTGCTCATTCTTTGTTTCTGTGAATAGATGCAACGACCATAGATCTATGCACGCACGAATGCATGTTTATGGCAAATTTTCGTGGAGGAGAATCCGTGTTCCAAGAAAGGGACAGCGTGTCGCCATGAGGCTGGTGCGAGTGACTTGCTCTTCCTATCGGGTTCTACAGTGATAGGCGTAGAGAGATGTATTTACGCAAGTGAGTAGAAGGCAATGTAGATGTTGTATGTCGGTCTTGAGGCGATGTAAAGCACTCTCACATGTCATGGAGCATTTGGTAATCGGCGGCGATTCCTCTTTCGTCGAGACATATACGTCTGGGACGTGGCTTACAGGTCTTGAAGGTGTCCCCTTCTGGGTAGCAGTATGAATGCTTGTTGGATCCCGCATCAAGCTGGGATTTGCTTGTGGTGGTGTATGAAGGGAGGCGGGGGGGGAGAGTTGGAAAGTTCGGGGTGGTGTTATGCCGAGGGGGAGGTTGGCTTGTGTTTTGGCTACGTGATGGCCGGGGGAATGATTGCATGGAAAGCCTTTCTGAGGGGGAAAAGTGAAAGGCTATTCCTTGATTATGGGTACCCAATGCAAAGTTACGTTGAGGGGGGTCCAAGAACGGGAAGGAATCCTGTAGTGAGGCGAGGACAGTATAAAAGCGAGGGAGTCCAAACTGGGGAGCTACATAGAACTTGGGGTGTGAGGATGATGTCGTTTGTTGTGGTTTGGGAGAGTTGCGAGGCTTTCTTGCGAAGGGGCATCCCCTTACTAAAAGGATACAGGAGCAAGAATTCCCGAGACTATGGACTTAGCTTGACGGGGAGGGGCCTCTGAACATGACATGTGAGTTGTTGCTAGTAGGCGATAATGCTTAGTTTTTGGAGATGTTAGGGGGGGTAAATAGTCTATATGACAGCTATCCCCATCTTCTTCAGAGAAATTGATACTGTATTTGGGGAGGGGGGAGGAGATGGGAGGAGACTAGCTTCGAACGAGAATCATGTCCGAGGAGAACTTCTTGGATGAGAGCAAGTACATGATACCTTGTAAGAAACGGCCGCTGAAGAGAGGATTGAAGATTGAGCAAAAGCAGCCCAAGTGGGACTGAAGGGGGGAGGGAAGCTTACAGCCAGAAGAGCGGAAGTTGCCGCTGCCCTCCCCGAGGGACCGGAGATGATATCTAGGCAATGGGGATGAAGAGAGTGGACGTTTCATGTCAAGTGGCATGGGAAAATCCACGGAGCATGAGAATTTGTAGACGAGACTTGTATAGATAGGTATAGGTAGGTAGAGCAGGCACGGATTGATCGTGTAAGTTGATCCAGCCAAAATCCGTTTTTGATCAATCAAGGTAAAATACGTTCTCTACCTCAGCAGAGTGTGGAAACCGAAACACAAGCAGAGGATATTAAAAGATGGGCAGCTTTTCGGAGCTTAGACACGGTCCAGATCGGACATTTGAGAATGTGTCCCTCCTCTCCCACCAAACACACACCACAAAGTCCGAAAAAATTCTCCAGCCCAGAGGCAAGTCAGAAAAAGAGAAAGCCCCATTGATTGCCGTTATATTCTGACAAGGCGCAGAAGTCGGAACACGGGACTAAAGCAGCCCGGGCCCTCTTGGGAAGAGATTCAACCTCTTATTACCCATCTGCCGAAAATGACAAACATGACGGTCATCGACAAAAAGGAAAAAGCTTCTCCGCTCTTCCCTCCTCCCGACATCCGGAAGGTTTTTCATGGCAAAAGGTGGTGAGAATTGAAAGATGCCAAATCTGAAAAAGGGATATGCTGGCTGATCGATCGATCGATTCCATTTTTGCTGCTTGTTTGTCCCTGCTCATCAATGCCCCCATGATTCCACACTCCCCATTGCCTTGTTATTATGAAAGCAACACGCATTTCCCGTAAGCGGTAAGAAACGACAACAATAGAACTTCCTCCTCCAAGCTCTCACGGCTGCAGATTAATAATCTCAAGATGACACAAGGTCTACTAGAACACTCTCTGACTCGCCCCCTTCTTAGGCGTCAACAACCATAACGAAGGAAGAGAGAAGCCTAAAATCCGTACGAAAAGTGCGAATAGCACTTGTAGCCATCGTCGATTTGAGTGATGCGATTAGAAAGCACATACTGAATGTCTCCGACCAAGACAACCATCTTTCCGCACACTTTTGGCCGAACATGTGTGCGCGTGGTTGCTAGTTTGTGTGTGTGTGTGTGTGTGTATTGCGTAGAACGGCTCTGCTAAATTACTAGCAAGCAGCGCTTGGGTAAGGCATTCGTCTGCGTACATAGGAGCAGCATCATGTTCATATCAAGTCAACGTTTATTCATTGTTCGTTTCGAGAACGAGAAGGCCGCAAATAGTTGCCCGCCAAGTCTGCCGTCTTGCCCCAAGCAGCGAGGCGCGAACCTCTTCACTCTGTCCATCACAATGAGTAGCCCAACAGCTTCCAGGTCGTCCTTGAATCATGGTCAACGGCAGATGCTAAGTAAATAGTTCGGCATTTGCTGAAAAAAAGAACACCGCGTATTACAATTCGGGCATCAAGGTATCTATCTATGTCATAAAGCCAATAGTAGACAACGAAAGGAGATGGGACTTGACGGATACACGGATACAAAAACGAACAGCGTACAGTATGTCAGCACCGCCAGCCCCGGAAAAGAAGTCGAGGGGAAATACAAATACAGATACATACCTTACATACAGAACGAGCACTCCCTTGTCGGGCCCGGACTTTTTTGTTTGCCCAAGCGCCGGCAGTGTGTGTGTATTGTAATTCCGGGGCCGGCTTTGGCCTTGGGTGTTTCCTCGTTCTGGTACATACGAGGCCATGATTCGGCAAATACTTCAATTCCACATCTTGCCTCTCTGGCGATGAAGTTTGCTTAACACCGAGAATACGCTTTACTACTTCGTAAATACACAGTAGCTCCAATTCTCCGGCCACCTCTGTATTAATCCAACAGCAAAGTCCTGATGTGAGCATGTACATAGTTGCTCTGCCTCATCTGTTCTGCCAAGGCTCCCGCATTCCTCCTCCTCCTCCTCCTCCTCCCCGTCCCCGCAACGCTCGGGATGTGGCAAAAGGCCGACAGGCGAGATGACGATGATGCCCGGAAAAGAAAAGAAAAAAAAGAAAGGAAGGGGTGGCCAACAGTGTCTCTGTTTTTCGGTACGACGGAGCGAAGGATTGGGATTGTCAATGCATGCACGTAACCCATCTGAGAAGTATCCGTACCTTATTAGGGAGGGAGGGAGACTCTGTGTGTGAGGAAAAGGAGGAGTGAGGAAACGGGTTACACTGTTTTCCCACCTCGGGATCGGATTGCAGTGTCATTGGAAGAACAAGGGACATTGGATATGGGTCTGTATGTGTGTATGTATGCACATGGTTCCAGCTGAGCAGATCTGAGTCGAAACCAGCAATCCAAGATTTGATCAGGAAAAGAGACGAACGAGATGGCCAGGGCAGGATGGGGCCTCTGTTCGAATCATGGACAGTTCACCTACATACGCCCGCTTGACGATATCAAACAAGTACTTGAAAGGTACATGCGGCGCCACCTGAGCGGAGATGGATCCCGAGAAAGGCTGTCATTCTCCGAAACCCCCTCCAAACTGCTGGGAACTGGCATGTCACTGCTGCCAAGTAGCCCATCTTGGAGCACAGTTCTGTTGACTGTATCTTGCGTATGGAGCTGCTACAAGAACCATCTCCTGTAGCTATTTGTATCATCTTTTCGATGAGAGTAGCTTTCCACAGGCCTCAAAAACCCACATCTTGGAGACAGAAGGTTGCTCGGGAAGTAATTCGTATGCACTCCAAATATCCCCATCACATCCCCATGTCTCCAATCTCGGACTCCCGAACTTCCATCTTCCCTTTTCCCTTGCCATGCCATCACACGTGCAAGTACTGGGTATCCCTCTCGTGCGTTCAAGCAGACGCATCCCCAATCTATATACCTACCAAGTACGCATGAAACAGAGTCGCAATCCCGGAAAAAGCAAAATCCAAGCAAACCACCCAATCATCTTGTCCAACAAAGCAAACCACCAACTGTCCATCCCATCTCAAGTACCCTCCGTGTACCTCCGCCCCAGGCCCATCGGGGATTACCCGCCCTTCCCAGCCCTCTCCGTCATTACTACTTATCTACCTTACTAGTACACAAGTCCAACGCTGTCTGTACTCTCCGGGTTGACAATCGCGCCGAAACAGCCTTGGAATTTTTCACCTTCTTCAGAGTTCAGAATGCTCCGACGAAAAGGGGAAGGAAAAAAAAAAAGGTACAGCAGCGGTACTTTATCCGCCATCTATCCTCACCCGCACACACAATTCCACCCGCGACGCGGCCGCTGCAAATGTTGCTGGGGCTTTTTCACATGGAACTTCCAAATTATTACATGCCTGTACTACAATGGACTTTTTGTCGTAACACGACCATGGCAAAAATACTTGGAGAACCTGGAGCTTCCTTTTACTCCGAGAAAGTGTTGACGAGAATGAATGTTTCTTCGCGTCGGCGCAACATACCGTAGTATGTATGTACACAGATGGGAAGAAAGTTTGCATGGAAAGGGTAGAGAGAAAAGAGATTGACTTGATCTGTGCTCTTTATGCTTTCCCCCCATGCCCACCCATCCATTTTCCATGCAAGAGATGATGGTAATATCCGTGTTCTTTACAAAGATGCGATGCCACCATCTGCAATAAAGGCAACAAGGGGGAGGGGCCGCTCCTTGGCTTGGCTTCTCCTCACATAGGTACATAGGAACGATACTACTACTATCCCATCTAACAAATCTTCCCCTAAAACAAACAGCGAGATTTCATCCCGACCGCTTAAACCAGAACCCACCGAATTCCGGGGTAAAATAGCATGATAATTAACAGAAGCATCAGCCTTCAGGTAAACCAAATCTCGATTCAATATGACCTCTCTCTCTCTCTCTTTCTCTCTTCTTTGCCTGGAGAGTATGTACCTACCTACTTTCGCACCCAGCTTGATCGATCCATGTTCCAAGTTTCCTTGTACCGCTTTCCATCCTCGGTCCGCAAACCCGCCGGTTCGGCACCCCGAAGTCACCGCACCGGCCACTTTTTTTCTCCTCCCACTCATTCTCCATTTCCCTTCTCCATTTTCATCCGTCTAGTTGTGTACTTGTATTCCACAGTGATAGTACCAATTCCGTAGCACACAAACGCGCACGCACTATCGCCCATCTAGAGGTAACGGATATTATAACTCCGCGAGAATACACACACTACTATCTCGCCCGTCTTCTCCAATCTCCATTTTTCACATCATCACCTCTTACCCACCCGATAAGTAGTAGATCTATATATGTAAGGAACATATAAGTTTCGTGTAAGGGATACAGGTCTCCATGGAACTATTAATCCTTCGTCGTAAGGAAAAAGGAAGTACATACTAGTCCGTGGAGATTTCGCAGCCAATTCGCCCTCCGCAGTCCTCCATCATCCCGCACCGGCCCATGCAAGCCCACCCACCTCGGACACCGAAGAACAACGCACCACCAACTTCCATGTACACGTACTACTATACTGCATAGTTCTTGTTTTCTCCCACTTTGCTGCATTGCTTTTGTTTTCTTTCGCAAGGTACGGGTACTACTATGACCTTTTACAAAACAAGCCGTGGAAAGTATTACTATCCGCCAGGTACCGCCAATCCCAGATTTTCAAACGGAAACTCCCCAACAGCAGTCCGACTTGTTATCCCCTCGGAGGGAAGAAACGGTACAAGTTTCGCACCACGCAAGGGAGGACTTTGCACACACACACGCGCCAGCCCCAACCCACGGGAGCCGATTCGGCCAACTTGCTACAATAACTAGCAGCAGTAGTATTGGCAGCTTGCAGCTTGCAGCTTGCAGCAAGCACCCATTTCATGACATCAAACCGGCAACTTCTGCATGCATGCATGTACTTTACAAGTAGTAATAACCATCCAAGATAGCACAGTAGCAGTCGCAGCAACACCATCCCAACCAGCGTAGCACCAACAGGGCAACATCTACTATACAGTACTATACGCTTTACTACTAGGCCTCGAATTCTGCACTCCGTATTACCTGCAGCAAACCCTTTCAATCGAATTCCAATTCATCCTCCCCATCGCTACAACTTGTCTCTCCCTCTCCCTCTCTCCTAAATCCAATTCAACTGCGCAGTAATAAAAAGGAAAAAAAAAAGGCTAATTTCATCTTCCCCCATCCTGCCACCACCACAACACGTAGCGCTTAGCTTTCGCTTATTACCTAGATTAGTACTACTGTACCTTTCGCACATGCTGCGCCCAATCCGCGACCCGCATTTGAAATCATTCTTCGGATTTTATATCACAACAAAGTAGCTGACAAGTAGCTCAAGTAATAAAGGCGGCCAGGGTGCCCAGGTTGCCAGCCTTTGCCCAGACCCAGACCCAGACCAGGGAGCCACGCACTTCTCGCTGCAGCAGTGCAACTGCACAGAGGCTCAAAGACAAGACAAGGCCTGACACGCGCTGGTGGATTTCCGTGCCAAGTAACGATGGCGTTGGGTGCCCATCCTTCCGCCTTACCTTATCTGACTTGCCTCTACGGCGGTGGCACCTCTTCTATCTAATACGAGTGCTAACTTGGTGGCTTCAGACCAAGGCACGGGAGTCCGGAGGACCCTCCCAGCTCCGACAGACGTTTGCCTTCGTTGGCAAAAGACACTCCAGTCCCGTCCGCCTCCCATCTCCATCTCCCCCAAAAATACACACACGCGCGCGCGCACGCACTCACACGCTATTATTACCACTTAGACACGACACGCCGCCACACGCTCTCCCATCCAAGACACATTTCAACTTGAGCACCCTTTTTTGCATTTCTAAAAGCCCTCCCTGCCCAGCCTTTCCGCTCGCTCGCCGCCTCGCTCTTGCCCTCGTTGTCATCCTTCTTCTCTCTCGGCCGGGACAAGCGGACATTCGGCAATAGCAAGCTCCTCCAACCTTTGCCCCGTCCCATCCAGCCCGACCAAGGTCCTCAGCTGCCCCTCCAAGTAATCCAGTATTACCAATTACCCAACCACGCACCACGCACCGCTCACTCAGCAGCGACAGCGGCACCCAGCTCCTCTTTGGGCCGTATAAATCGAGTCGGTCCCGGGACGTACCGGTTACATACCCTCGTACTACCTACCTTGCCTTACATTCGCTCATAACCCCCACCGGGATTATCCAAAAGCGGAGCCTGATTGTGAGATTCATATACCCATCTCTCCGCTGCCGACCAGCCTTTGGTCGAGAACACCCCCCTCCCCTACCAAATACAGACGACATCCCATCATCTCGAGTCTTGATGCGCTCGACCCTACATCACCGGCAGACGACAGTATCGTAGAGGTGACGGCGCGGATTCTCTCATCAACTTCCATCGCTCCTCCCAGGCCGTCCTGGGTTCCGTGACAGGGCAGTGTGCGCAATCACCAAAGCCGACCCGATTACCAAGCCCGAACCCATCCTCAGGCTCAGCTCAACCTCGACCTCAGCTTCAACCTCAACCTCAACCCAAGTCAACACGCGCGCATACAGGCACACACACACACACACACAGAGAGAGAGAGAGAGAGAGAGACAAGGTCGGCACCACATCCTCGACTGGATCTGAACATGGCGACCGACACAGAGACGCTCTCTCTGCCGACCACGACGGCCCCTACCGAGGTCGCCGCGTCGACGTGCCTGCCTCACAACGAGCACCAGTGCCGAGGAGTCAAGAGAGAGTGGTGTGCCGATGAGTGGGACACGGGCATCGCCGCCAGCCTTCACTTTCCCGCCCAGCTCGGCGGCCCGAGCAACTGCAACTCCGCGACGAGCCCCCAGCACCAGACACAGCAGCCTCAGCACCAGCAGGACCAGGGAGGCGATGCCACGGTGACGGGCAAGTACGTCGCGCAGCTGAACCCCGACGAGTGCGAAAGGCCTCTGAAGCGCAGGCCCAGCTCCGATTGTTGGCTAACATCCAGCCTCTTGTCCTCCTACAGGAGCGTAGAGGAGGCTTGCAAGCGCTCGCTCGAGCACTTTCCCTGTCCGAGCGTCTCCTTCGCCATGCCGACGCTCGAGTTTGACTTCCGCATCGCAGTCGCTCTCAACCCGGAGCCTTCCCGGATCGAGAACCGCGTGCAAAAGGAGATCACCACCATCAAGGGAGGCAGGTGGTCCGGGTCATTTGGCAACGGCCGAGTCATGGTATGATTGCACCCTGGGCTTCCCGAACCGATGCCGGCCCCCCGACGGAAATGGAGGGCGATGGCGAAAATGGAATTTCCAAAAGGAACAACATCAGCTGACAAATCGTTAGGCGGGCGGATATGATCTCGGGCAGGCACGGGGCTTTCGTCCCATTCGCATCGTCGAGGGCGCATTTGTCTTGCAAACCACCGACCAGCCTCCGGCCATGCTGGAGATGCGCACGCGAGGGTCCTTGTCGGGCCCGTGTGACGTCCTCGATACCCTGCTCAGCGCGCGGGAATCCAAGGACAACATCGATCCCCGGCAGTACGGCTTTCGGACCTTTGCCACGGTCAAGACTGCGGACAAGCGCTATGCCGAGTTCGTCAACTGTGGGCTCTGGGTCGCCAGTGGTGTGTGGCGAGGCGAAGAGCTGATTATCGAGTGAGTTGAGAGACAATCACCCAACCGTGCCGTGATCAATGCCGTTAGTCAGGTTTCGATGCAGGGGGCTAACCAATACCCAAGCGCCTATCGCCTCACATGAATATGGCGCCATAAGACCATTCATCGGAAGACGACGCATGCCGCGAGCATGAAAACGAAAATATCTTGGAAAGACTCGCGATTGGAGGGCGAATGACACAAAGCATAGGGAAGCGGCGCACAACGGATTGAATCTCTTTTCGATTTCTCTCAACGGTATGGCGGGTTCGCGACGAATTGTCGGGGTGACGGGAGATCTGCGGAGTTTGGAAGCGTTGGAGTTTTGTTCTCGATTTTTTCTCGGTATTTGTTGGCGTTAAAATGGCTGCATCGGCATCGGAGTTATGGGTCCTCTACTTGATATTGCTTTGCTCTTTTCTTCTATCGTCTTTAATGGGGCGGCATCGGTTCTGGCATGTTGGATTTTGAAGAGAAAGATATCTCCTTCACTTGACGCTTCCGGAGGCATCTGCTGGCTGCCTATGTGAGGTTCTTTAATGGGCGGTGGCGTTCCCGGGAGGCTGGTCAAGATACGTGTGTCATCTTGGCTCATGGGCGTTGTTCGATGCTTGCTTGCTGTTGACTGGTTGGTCAGCGATGAGATTCGTGCAATGATTGCATGCGAGCTCACTGCATGTCCGCATCGCTAATAGACATCGTCATTGAGCGAGCTTGGCCATATCGCCCCTTTGAAGATCTTGAAATGTTTTTCGTCATGTGTCAGAAGTCCAAAAGAGCTTCACTTCAAACTGATGGCAACTTCTAAGCAGTTCAGCTTCCTCAGTCGGCTTTCGCTGTCAGCGCCAAACGCGTCGTCCGCATCGCCTGTAACCACGTCGTCCACTGTTCCGATAGTCCGTGTTCTAATCTCGACGTCACAGTCTCCTTGCTGCTGGAACCAGCTTGCCACGTTTAGTGTCTTTTCAATAGCTTTACCTGTGCCCATGACCGTCACCACGGCTCCACGAGCAGTCCCACTGCCGCTGCCTCGCTTCAGTGCCTCAACGCGGGCGTGCAGCGACACGTTCTTGGCGGCAGAAGCATTGCTGCGCAGGGCCTTGTCCAGGAACTTCCTGGTCCGCCTCACGACAGACATGAGGGGGGAGTTTGAGGACACGTAGATGACGGGCGTCTTGGATGACGCTGGGAGCTGGCGCCGAGTGAGGGGACGCTTCTGAATTCTGGCGCCTAGTGTCCCGGCCGTTAGCAGAAGCTCAACGTGTCCTGACCGGCCGTGAAAAGTGTAACTTGCCCTCTGGGATTGGGGCCATCTTCCTTGTCTGCCCAGGCACCAGCTTAGACGGGGCGTTTTCTGGCTGTGTCATGGTGAACCAGCGGTGGTGGTTGAACAGGGGATACAGATGATGATCAACAATGACGAGCAGTTCCAGTAGTTACAGAACAGAGCAAAGTGAGTGATAATTGCCGGAAGAAAGGTGATGATGGAAGGGTGTCTTCTGGTGGTGAAGCAGCGTTCAAAGTAGGTATGAAATAATGATGAGGAGACTCTCATCTACGACTGCCTGGCACTTGCCTCCTAGTTCTTCCCAGCCCGCTTTTCCTTATCGCTGCCGTTATCGCACAGCCCCACCAGCGAACCTCGCTGTACCTTGTAGCAATCCGGCAACGTCATTTACCTTTTGCTCGCGACCTTTCGGCTGAAGCTTCTTTTTCCCCTTCCCCAGACCCCTCGAAAACTGGCCTCTTCTTGTTCACCAGGAGGGGAATGGCTGCCTGCGTGCCAGGCGCCGACCATTCCCAACTCGCGCGACGAGCTGAATAGCCATGTCTTTGGACATCTGGCCTCCCGTGTCCCCAGAGGAGCTCACCATAAAGGTTGCCGAAACCCAGGTCAGTAATAGTCCACAACCCTGGGGCAAGAATGAGAAGAACAGAAGCAGCGGGATCGAAAGCCAAGACCAATATGCTGATATCATTCAAGAGGCGCGAGCTGGCCTGGATCGTCGAAAGGACCCTTGAGATATGCGAGGAGCTCAAGCATGGCCTGGAGGACTGCTACGCCCTGCTGGCGCCGGTCGATCCCGGGAGCACGCTGGTGATGAGCACGCCGCGCAACGAGCGGGTTAAGGGCACCATCACACGGGTCGGCACGCGCATCGTCAAGGGGGTGAGTCGGCCGTAGCATAAACGCTCTCTCTTCATATCGTTCTACTTACACAGCTTTACTTGCGACATACAAAGACCCTCGGCCTCCAGTTCCGAACCATCCCCCCACAAGCAATCACCCTCTCGCAATCCGTCCCCATCCACATCCACGCCCTCGACACCGTCCACACCCATCTCAACGAATCAATCGACCTCCTCGGCCTCCTCCTCTCCAACAGCAAGCCTTCCACCCCCGACGCCGAAGCCCCCACCTCCACCACCGTCAACAACATGGCGCAATCCCTCTCCTCGGGCCTCCGCCTCCTCGCCGACTCCATCTCCGACTCCATCGCCCTCCTCAAGGGCCCGCCCATCAACGAGCCCGACACGAGCTGGACCACGCGGTCCTGCCCGCCGGGGCACTTTTCGCCGCCCCTCATGCCCAACTTTAGCCTCTACATCACCCTCCAGGAGTGCAGCATCGTCCTCGTCCTGCGCGCCCTCGAGCCCGTAGACGCGCCTGTCCATTTCGGCACGAAGCTCGGTCTCGCTATCGGCACGTACCGACGCCTCGAGCACGACGAGGCGGACATCGCCTTCAAGTGGAAGCCCGGCGGGGACGAGCTGTCCGACACCAAGCGCGTGTCCGCGAACCACACCGTGGAGCCGCCGGCGGCGTCCAGGAAGCTCTCGGATAGCCAGCTGGAGGAGGTGTACGTGCGGGAAAAGGTGCGGGTGGAGAGCGCGGACCCGAGTCTCATCTCGCTGTATTCGAAGCTGGGGTACCTCAGCATCATGCTGGACCAGGCGCGGTGCAACCTGGATGCCGTAATGAGTGTGCAGTTGAAGACGTACGCGGAGGAGTCATGAATATTGAGCAGTATACGACGTTGCGGCCTTGGTTGGAACTGTACATATATATAACCTTCGCTCTCAGGTTGCCTGCAGCGTACCTATGGATACATGTATACCCCTTTCACAAATGCAAGTCCTCGTCCCATTTGGATATGCCAAGTCATGGTCTGAGCAGCCAGGAATAGCGAATTTTTGATTTGATTTAGAGCAAAGCGAATAGACAGACAACAAGTCTCAAACACACATGATGCTAAAGTCACATGCCTATCTCTTGCATATGAAATGCCAACTCCTCCATGCATAAAGCCCTCCTTGACGCCGCAAATACCAAGTTAAAACGCACTAAACATAGATCTGTAAAAGCACGAGCGATGCTGCAACCCCTTATGCTACGGGCGACCAGGGCATGGGAATCAGAATCCTCGATTGCATGGACTGGATCAGGGGCACCGTCTTGTGCACCGTGTCGCTCCAGCCCTCAACCGACCAGCTCTTCTCTCGGCGTGTCCTCCGCTCCTCGAGGTTGGCAAACTGCCAGAGATGGTGGACCGTGTTAAGCTCCCCAATCTGGACAAACCATGCGCCAACGCCCTCCATGACCTCCCTTCGAGCCTTGAGGCCCCTTCGCCAGTGAGTCTCCCACTCCAGCAGGTTGCCGGGGTGCAGGGTGTATGATCGGAGCTCGAAAACGCCTCCCAGTTGGCGTGGGGGAGTGGTGGGCCAGAAAGAAAACTCTTGCATCAATGATATCTTCTTAGACTTGATCAATTTGCTGAGCTTCTTGTTGAAATCGGCAAACTCGGGGTGGTGGGAGATGGAGTATCGCGATTCGTGATAGCCCTCATACCGCTGGTACTCCCAGATATGGACTGTAGTTGAGAAACGTTAGCGGAGATCAACGCACTGCGCGCAGCCGTGCCTACCAAAAGTGTCGCAGTCGCCAACCTCTGTCCGCCAACTGCCGACCAGATGGACCTTGTTCTCGGGAGCGTTGGCCATCTTGGGGTAGAACTTCCCCGTGAGCTCGACATACTCGTCCACCTTGTCCGGCTGGACCTCGTGGAACACAATAGAGTGGACGTATTTGCCTCTCGCAAGCACCTGGCTGAAGCTGGCCTCCATCTGGGCCTCCATCTCCCTGCCTTCCTTGGTGCCATAGATGAGGTTGGTCAGCGGGCCCTGCTTGCGATCAGGCTCGTCGCCCTTGACAGCGGCCGTGGCGCCTGCATCAGTTGGAGACGAGCTTTGGTTAGGAGTGGTCGAATCAGGGAGTTTCTGGGAACCAAACGCACGAGCTCCCCGTTCCTTCTGCGCTTCCACCAGCTGCTCTCTGAATGCTTTCTGCTTCTCGTTGAAGGTCTCGATGGATGCCGGTGTGGGATTGATGTCGCCCATTGACGGCGTCCGCGTCTGCTTCAGGCCTGTCGTGGCCAGAGCCCGCACGCCGACTCGCGGAGCCACCGCGGCGGCGCGGCGATACAGCCTCTGAGAAAGCATGATGACGTCGCGGCGATGGATGGGAAGTGTAGCGTGCTTTCGAACAGAAGACGCAAGGGCGATGCGCGAGGCTTGAGACAAGGAACAAGTCTCAGAGACAAGAGGCGAGATGTCGCCTAGAGCTGCAGCCTAAAAGCGTCGAGGCACACAGTTGCTTTGTTGCTTCAGAGGCGGCACGTCGATTAATCGAGCAGGGAGCAGCGAGCAGGGAGCAGAGCAGAGAGCAGTTTGAGTGGCGGGAGGCACAAGGCGGGCAGCGTTGATGGAGGGCAGGCTGAAGGGCCGATTGGATACGGTGTCAATTTGGCGCGGTGGCAGACGACGCCCTGGACAAACCGGGGAAGAGGAGGTTTGGGGGAGCTCGGAGCAGCCAAGAGGAGGCACGTTGCAGCCGGGGGAGCTTCACCCCGCACGATCAGATATGCCTGCGAGGCTATTGGATGGCGGCTGTTGAGTGTGTGCAGATGGTGGCACTGATGAGTGTGATTAATCAGAAGGGTAAATTGCTGGAGAAGAGGCGCAGAATGGCAGACGATTGGTAGAGAGGATGAGGCTCTGGTGAGATGCAGGTTGAATGTCTTAAATAATGGCGAGAAAATCCAAGGTCCTGAAAGAGTCGAGGCAGGCGCAGGAAACCTGGGGAAAGATGGAGCTCAATGGCGTTTGTACCAGCTGCGCCGCTTTTCGGTGCGGAGAACAAGGCACAAGCAGGATTAGGGGGCATGATGTCACATTAGCGGATGTCAAGGCAGGGGTCGGAGAAGTTATGTAAGCTCAAATCATGTGACCAGTCATGTGCCTGATCAAGGTACTCCAGCAGATGTACCTTCAGGCCAGTCGATGCCTTAGGCAGGACACCCCGGTCCGCTAAGCCCGTTCGCATCAACTGCTCGGAAAGCCTCTTGGTTGGACCAAAGGGAAAAAGGCTCGTTTTCGAAAGACCTTCAACCAGCAACTCCGTCCACCCGCCCGTTCAATTCCTCAGCCTCTTTCGCTCCCTTTCTCGCGCAACAACCGCAGTCATGTCTTGGTTCGGCGTCGCCCCCTTCAAGAAGTTCCCGGCTCCTTTCCGTACGTTCGACAGCTGTCTTCCGAGTTCGCGGGCAATTCCGCCCAGAAAATAACAAAAGCATTGGATAGAGATGGGGACTGACAATTCGCTGCAGTGAAGCCTTACTGGCCTTTCTTCGCCGCCGGTATGTGAATTGCGAACTACGATCGAGGGTGTTTTTGACGGCATATGATTCGACTATGCGCCGATTGCGCCGGATTGCTGCTGGTGTGCTTGGGAACGAAGATCTCGACTGACATGGGAAATCAGGCCTGGTTATCGCTTATGGCGCCAACTCTGCCCAGAACGCCATGATGGCCTGTATGCGACCCCGACTCACGTTTGCTGGAGCTCGAATCATACTGACGATGATGTAGCCGACGAGTGGAAGAACGACCCTCGCAACCCCAAGGTCAAGGCTGGCAACAAGGCCCACTAAGTCATACAAACCAAAGAGGAATACAAAAATATGGATTGGAACGGAGGCTGGAAGAAGGAGGGGGGATCTGCTCGGACGACTCGAGAGAAAGGCAGCCCGGTATTGTCGCTGCACTGTATCATAGACTCGCATTCAGGGCTGAATAGACCTTTGTGATCAAGCGACGAAGACTACGGATGACGGCCTTGATATCCCTGGTGGTTCTGGAAAAAGAACTGGTGATTGGGTGCGTTGCCTCTTTTCAGCTGCATCATGTCTCAGCGAAACGCATGCTGGCAGGCTGGGACCATCAGGGACTGAAGGTCTTTGATATGAGCTACCTTACCCTGTGATTTGCCTCATCTCGAACTTAGGGTAGTCAACACTGATTTGGGCTGCAGCAAGTAATGTATAAGGTATGCTAAAATACCAATGTTGAAATGAACCTCGAAAAGCAACGTGGAATCCCCAAGCTTTCAGCCATCAATATCGTAATATCCGTCCAAACAAACTGCAGGAGTCATACCGAGCTTATCGGAATCCCGCACGGAACCAACACAAGCCGCAACTCCTAAATTTTCCCTGCCTCACCCAATAAGGTATTACTAAGTCATCAAACTCCGACTCACACAGAACTTCTTATCAACCCAACAAACACCATCTCGCCTCCCAACTCATACACTCCTTTACAACCACACGTAAATGCAATCTTTCCTTTCCCGAGCTCGCATATATAGACCATCTTGCTTCTTCTTGTCTTGCGCATATACACCGTATACTAGATCCCGTCCACCGACGTCCCATCTCCGAACAATGTCATCCGCATCCACGCCGATTGGCACGCCTCGGCCCGAGCAGCAGGCTCAGAAGAATGGCGCAAAGAAGGAAGTCAAGATATTGATGATTCACGGTACGAAGAACCTCACTCAAGTCACATAAAATCCCTCCTATCAAATCTCCCATATATCCTACCCATCTCAACCGAACAACCCATCATCTCACTCTCCCATCCATTCCATCTCATAACTCACACCTCGTATCATCTCCGACCTCACTCTCCCTATATCAGAACCAAACATACTAACAACCTCTCAAGGCTACACCCAATCCGGCCCCCTCTTCCGCGCAAAAACCCGCGCCCTCGAGAAACTCCTCGCAAAAACCCTCTCCCCAATCTCCCTCCTCCCAGTCCTCATCTACCCAACCGCCCCCAACCGCCTCCTCCCCTCCGACTACCCCGGCTTCTCCTCCTCCTCCTCCTCCGCAGCACCCCAAGAAGGCGGCGACTCCTACTCTCCCTCTTCCACCGCCGCCAACGACGGCGAGCCCCTCCCAGACACGTGGGCCTGGTTCCGCAAGGACGACGCAAACAACACCTACCGCCTCTTCAACGAGGGTATGGCCACCACCGCCCAGGCCATCCGCGAAGCAGGCGGCATCGACGGCGTGTGCGGCTTCAGCCAGGGCGCCGCGATGGCGTCCTTTGTCGCCGCCGCGCTCGAACCCGCGCGCGCCGTCCCTGAGGATCCCAGCGGTGACTGGGCGCGTGAGCTGCGTGACGCCAACGGCGGCAGGCCCGTCAAGTTCGCCGTGTCCTGGTCGGGCATGACGGCGGCGGGCGTCAAGGAGCTGCAGTGGCTGTATGAGCCCAAGATTGCCACGCCGACGTTGCACTATATCGGCAGTCTGGACGTGGTCGTTGACGAGAGCCGGAGTCGGGCGCTGGTGGAGGTGTGTGAGGACCCGGTTGTTATAGTTCATCCTGGGGGTCATCATGTTCCTGTGTCCAAGGAGTGGGTGATGCCCCTGGCTGGCTTCATCAGAAACCATGTCAGCAGCAATGAGAACTGAGACCTGTATAGACCAACATGATGACTAGATTAGATTTATTAGAGGTCCGTCCGTATATATGTATTAGAAGCATGCGGTTCCTTAGACAGGGCAAGGCCGGGCAATACATGGCGAAACATATAAACAGATGAGACGTGAGCACCGCAGAAGCTTTATATGGCCTCAGATTTCCTTCCAAGGACTATCTAACCTGTATCATTACAAGCTGTGTCAAAACCCCCACCAAAGCCGTGCATGTATTCGTGTGATGTTGCTCCTTTTTCAATGCGCCGCGAGCCGTTTGCCCCCCTATTCCCGTCTCTCTATTTGGAGCTTGTTGGCTGAATGCGTGCCATCATCTCCTCCTTGGTGATGAGGTGATCGATCCTCTCCAACAGCCCCAGCAGGCTCTTCATGTTGTGGCTCCACTCATTCAGAACATCGTCTGCGTCTCTCGGCTTGGCGAAGCTGACGATTCGTGCCGGCCTGTCAATCTTCGCATACACAGTCTTGGACGTCACCAGCTCGCTGATGTACTTCTCCGTCTCATCTTCCGCAAGGTCCAGGAGCTCGGTCAGACGGCCCATCTGGATGCGTGTGTAGTACTTGGCGATGACCCGGACGTTGTGCTCGATGACGCGCTTGCGCAAGTCCTCCCACCTCTGGTTGGCTTTTTCGTCTGCAGACTGTCCAGGCTGTGCGTCGAAGACATCAGTCTCGCACAGGTGCGGGCCAAACTTCTTGGCGATTTCCGGCCATCGCATCAGCTCGTGCACTGTGAAGAGGCGGAGGAGCTCTGCATCGAGAGGAACCTGAGAGTTTCGAGAGTCTCGGTGTATGCGCTGGAGGAGGTCGTGTTGTTCATTGTCGTATGGTGCAAGGATGACAAAGTAGATGATGCGTTGTAGGACCTTGACGACAACATGTTAGCTTACAATCAAGGGGGATTGGTGAGTGAAATGGCCTTACAGGACGCAGTTTGGCGGGGTCTTGCTCAACAGCCTCGGTATCGAGCACCTGGCGGTAGTGTTTGCATGCGTCCAGGTACTTGTCCTCGTGCTTCGCCAGTGTGATCTGCTGCTCGTAGAAGCGCAGCTTCAGATCCGTTGTGTCGTCCTCCTTCTCTTCCGGAACCTCCTCTCCGCGAGCCTTTTTCTTCTCCCGCTCCTTCTGTTCCTTTTCCAGCTGCTCAGCTGTCTTCTTGGGCTTCCGTGCCAGGTATCTTGTGCTAATCTTCCGGCCCAAGATAGCCGCCTGCGTCCAGTCGCCGCTCTCAATGCAGAGTTCGACTTGGGCCAGGATAAACTCCGTCTTCTCCCGTCGGTCCATGGATCCAAAGGTCTCTACCTGGAGCTCGCAGAGGATCTCTGTGGCCGCCTTGACGTCGCCCTGCTGCTTCTTGATGTCGGAGAGGATCTTGGTGACGCGGGCGCGCTCGACCTCAACAAAGATCTTGCCTTCAGTCACCGTCCGCAGCGTCTCGATGACGGAGAGCTTGGTCTTGAGGTCGGGCGTTTCGTCGAGGAAGCCGACCACGGTCTGGACCATCTTGGTGATGGCCTGCTTGAGCTGGCTGTGCTTCTTCGACATGACCAGCGTCTGCTCGTTCATTAAGCTCCAGTCGCCGGCATTTTTGCATAATGTGACAATCGCCACGAGAACCCGGGATGTTGAGGCGAGGTCAGAGGCCTGTGGAAACACGTCAGGGGAGCTCGTTCGAAGCTAGAGCCGATGCTGGGTGGCTTACTTGACGGGTCTGCTTTTCAAGAGCGGCAAGCTTCTCGATTGCGCCCTGGAGGTTGGTCTGCTCAAACGGGTCAGCTAACGAACGCTACCGACGACGGAACCCCCAAGAGAGAGCATTACCTTGGCCAGAGCCTCGGCCTCTGGAAGCTGCTTGTCAACCTCCTTGGAGAAGTCCTTCTCGGGCTTGAGGGTTGCCTCGGACATTGTGGCGGCGTGCGGCGTCGACTTGGCGGAGGGGAGGAGATGCGGTGCGTGTGTCTCGTATTCGGGATCTGGGCGTCTTTGACCGCGAATTGGGGATCCAGAGTCGACTCGATGGTGTTTCTTGGAGAGGACGAGAGCGAGAGAGTTGTTGGTGCTTCGTTGATTGGCGAGGCTGCTGTGGGTAACGCAAGAGGCACCTGCCTGACGTTCTCAGCCAGCAGCAGCGTATGTAATCCCGGCCTCGACCAGCCACCCCACTCTGGGAGCTGTGGGAAGAAAGTAACCCCGGACACAATCGATAAGCCAGCGCTCAGCTACAGCATCACGAGCAGCGAGTCAACGAAAAACACATGCGTTATGAGCTATCATTACCTACTGTTCGGATAATACGTAGGTATGTCAATTCATTGGTGACAACTTATATCTGCCCATGTATAAGACAGACGTGTTCTTTCTGGATATTGCGGCTTATTGCAGCCAAACTTTCAGGCATTTCCTTTGCCGGGCGATGCCTTTACTTTAGGCCAAGGACTGAAGCCAGCGTATCTCACAAGCACCAGCACTTGCAGACCAAATGTTATAGACAGGCAAAGCCGTGATTCAATATCTAGAGCCAAAATAACAATGCGATGTCAAACTATTCACATTTTATACTCCTACCCCCTCAAAGCGTCTATTCAGACTCAAAAACCAATGAGATACCGTCATCACCAGCCGTCACCACTCGCTGCCCAGTCCCTCCCTGCACGAAATCCAGCACGCCGCCTCCATCACCCTCTCCCCTGTGGCCCTTCCACTCCCGCAACAGGCCGTTATTTCCACTGTTGGAAGAGTCTGTGGTCCCACTGGCCCGCACATCCCATCTCCGCACAACGCCATCCATGCCGCAGCTTGTAAGCACCCATGTGTTAGGGATGAACTCGACCTTGACAACGGGATACTCATTGTGAACGGCTACGAAGTGCTTTCGGATGGAAAAGCTGCGCGTGGCATCGAACACGGTGATGCCGCCGTCCACAGAGCCGGCGGCCAGTAGGACGGTGAGCGGGCTCGTCGAAGCAACTGATATGGACAGCGTCTCGACGCTATCGGTGTGGTTTTGAAGGGAGGCCAGAATCTGTCCTCCAGCGGTGGCTTCGGCCCCAGACCTGCCGCCTCGACCGCCTCGACCGTTTGTCCTCGCCGGTGCCGCAGCAGCTCCAAGGCGGGGAAGGGACACGACCTTGATGGAACCGTCACCACCGCCGACGGCAATGAACGTGTCTCTAGGGTCAATGGCAATGGAGTATAGGCCACCGAGGACTTCGAATCTCTGATCCTCGGCGGTTAGAGACACAATGGTCATGCCGTTATCATTGGTAAGGCCCTGCGCAGCAGCAGCTCCCCAGACATCCCAGACATATAAGCTGCCATCTTCAGAGACGGTAGCCAGAAGCTGGCCATCGTGTGTCCACGCGCCGGCAGTGCAAGGGCCACCGTGCAAGAAGTAGGACTGGACAATTTGGAGGGCGTTGGAAGGGTCGGAGGGATCTATTGTGTAGACCCAGACGGAGCCGTCTTTGGCGCCGAGGGCAATGGTGTTGGGATGTGACGGCGAGGGGCAGGCCGCAACCCAGTTGACCTCGTCGACTTCTTGCGCCTCGCCAAGGGGAGTCACCTTGACCCCGATGGGAGGCTGCACGTCAGTCTTCCAGGCCTTGACCCTGCCATCCAGGCCCGCGCTGATCAGGACCTCGCCCTGCGGAAGAGTCCAGGTCAGACTGGTGATGGAATCCGTGTGACCCTCGAGGGAGAATAGGCTCTCGAGTCGGCTCGTCTCGGGATCGGTAACGGGGCCGCTGTTGTAGCTCGGGGGCAGCACCGGCCGCGAGGGAGCGGAGGAAATATCGAAGATCCAGCCCGCGCCAGGCGCATCATCTTCCTGGCCGGCAGAGCCGCCAACGGCGACGAGCGAACCCCAGACGGGGTGCTGCGCAACGGTGAAGAGGGAGTCTTGGGGCAGGTCGAAGTATGCGATCGAGTCGTTTTGCAGGTAGAGCTCCTCATCCTCGTCGTCAGAGTCCATCTCGTGATCTTCGTCATGGCCATCCTGGTCAGCCCCATTGGCGACCACCTCTCCCACCTCTTCAGCGTCGAGGAGGTTGTCGTCCAGCTCCTCGTCGGCGTGGTTTGAAGCAGACATGTTTTCTAGAGATACACAGGCGTTATCGAGCTAGACAAGAGATAAGTGTTGGAGTCGGCGCAAGAGGAAATGCGCGCCGTATGAATCCGAAGATGAAGAAGAAGAGTAGATCGATGAGAGAGGAGAAGAGAGAAAGATGAGGAAAACTGAGATTCCGGAGAAGGATTCAGCTGGCCCTTCCGCTGAAGCAAGATGTCACTTGCTGCTTGATAAGCAAGAAATCTTTCGGCTTCTTGATGCTGGTAAGGATTTTTTTTTTTTTTTCTTTTTTCCCGGCCTTGGACCCCTCCCCCGCCATTGGATAAGAACCCCACTAGATTCTACCTACTCAGGTACACAACCTGGGACTGCTGCTTTGCTGCTGCTTTGCATGTCAGCTACTATACCTGGAATATCATCATCAAGTTGAATTCTGATGCAGAAGAGCTCATGAGAGCCCGAAATAGCAGATACTATTACCTCGCGTCTCACATGCTACATATTAATGGACAAGTATAAAGCACCAGCGACTTCCGTCTTATACAACATATAGACACGCGATGAGTTACCTAGGAGCATGTAAATCAGGAGGCAGATGCTTCATTCAACCGAGCTCGTCCTATCCTCAACGCCAAACTCCCGTAATCTTTTTGTAATAGTCATTGAAGAAGCAAGTCAGCCCAAGTCCCAATCCCGTCACCACCTCGCACCGCTACCCATCCAGCACCTCCACCCAGTTCCTCTCAGCCTGTCTCCTCCTCCACCTCTCCTCTGCAGCTTCCCGCAGTATGCGCTCATCCTCGCCCACCTCGGCCGCCTGGTCGGCCATCTCCTTGATCTGGTACTTAACAGAAAGGAGCAGCATCTTATGCCAGCCACTGTGTATCTTGCACCGCTTCCGCTCGCACATGCCCCGGACCTCATCGCCTTCTCCCTGGGGATCGTCGACCTTGGACGCCTGGAAGATGGCCTCACCCTCGGGAGACTTGACAAATGCGGCAAACGCGTCCCGGGCTCCGATAGAGTCGAGTCTCTGGTCGTACCCGCAAATGTCCTCTGCAATACGGCCGGCGCTGATGGCTGCTCGGCGGCGTTCCTGCACCATTTCGACGAGTGCTATCATCTTCTGGCAGAGAAGCGTCTCTTCCGCGAGCTTGAACCGCGCTTTTGCTTTCCTGTCCAGATACTCTCGTTCTTCTTCTGTCAGAATCTGCGAGAGACGCTCTTCAGCTGCTTGACAAAGGTTAGCCGGCTGGTTGCAGCAATCAAATCTTGATAGACATGTACCTGTATCGTCTCCATTCACCTCGGCTGGCTTTCCCGAGAAGGGAGCCCGCAAAGTCCACGACCCATCCCCACCGATAGTGGCAAGATCGCTGCTTAGCAGGGCCATGAATTCCTCTTGGGACAACTCATCGCTCAGAGCAGACTTTGTCCTGGCTTTGGGCAGTTTAGCCAGCATCCGCTCCCACCACATCTGGGCATGCTCATCCGAACAGAAGACGCTCGGCGGACTGTGAGTCAGACGAGCCGCCTTGCGACACGAGCTCAGCGTGCAGGTCTTCTTGTAAATGGTCACCAGCTTATCTGTCGTGCAGTTCGGGCAGATGAACTTCTCGATGAGGCTCTCTCCTATGTCTTTGCTGATGTGCACACACTCGCCGTGAAACCAATCCTCGCATCTCTCGCAGCAAATCATCCAGCGGTGGTCGTCCGGCCCTCGGCAGATGCAGTATGGCCCATGGTCAGACTCGTCGTCCTCGTCGGATGCATCCTCTGCCGCGGTGCTGTTGGCCTCGCTGCCCAGCGCTGTTCGCGCCGACTTTGGCTTCTTGGGCTCCCGTGCAGACTTTGGTCGCTTGGCGTTCTTCTTGATGGCAGAGGCTGTGCCCTTTTTCTTCTTTGTCGCGGATGGGCCCGTCATTGGAGGTGCTGCATCCGTGGCATCTGCCAGCTCTGTGGAGGGCAAGGGAGTCGAGGATTTAAAGGCTGGGAGGGCATCGGAATGCAGTGGAGCGGGTGAATTCACCGCGCTCTCACTTTTGATGTCTTCATCGATGAGCTCGAATCGGGTCTCCATGATGAATGGTCCTGCACCCGTCCGTGTCGCATCCATTGGCATAGAAGTTGCTTGTGTGAGTGAAGAAGCATCAACGTTTCGAGATAATTCGCCCCCCAGCTAATAAGGGAGCTGAATGACCCAAGCTTTTGCAACAAAGGAAGAACTCAGCACAGCCACACAAGAGACATGGCCGTATCAGTAGAAGAAGAAGTCTCTAGAACAACAGCTTATTGAATTATACACGAATTGTCTCGCATTGATCTTGTCCAGACGCGTTCAGAAGGACGGTTGATATTGAGAAGACGAGGATGGAGTCTCAGCCTGACTCAGCATCCAAGCGGCAAGGGTACCAAGAGTGATTACTCAGCCAAGGTCCTCCAGCAAACTTGCTCACCTCACTGAAGTCGATGGTGGGGCAGCAGCTGTCGATATTTAGCAATCCGACGCTCTCGGCCTCGTTTGTTCCATCACGAACGCAGCGCAAGAACAGCCATTGAGGCGCAAAAGAACATGTCGCATCCAGTCGCCTCGTCAAGGGCTCTCCAAGGCGCCCTCAGGAGCCTCCCTGCGCAGCAATGCCGGCGTTGCTTCTCCAGCAGCGCATTCCAGCCGAAGCAGCTCCGGCCGGTCGTCCCTCGATCACCGGTCCAGTCCAGACAGCCGATTACACAGAAGCGAACGAAATACAAGACGATCGAGCAGGCCAAGAGCCGGTATAGCACGGGGGTATGAAGGAGCGATGCTTGCGATCTCTTGGTGTAAGCGATGTACTAATGTCCTGGGCAGCCTTTTTCGTGGAAAGCGGCCGTCTTGTTCGTGATTACATGCGGTGGCCTCGTCTGGTACTTTGAGCATGAGAAGGAGCGCATGCAGCGGAAGAGGATCGCAGAGGCGACCAAGGGCGTCGGCCGTCCCAAGGTTGGAGGATCCTTTGAGCTGACGGATCAGAACGGGAAGCCCTTTACCAGCGAGATGATGAAGGGCAAGCACTCATTGGTAAGCAAAGCCTCGCAACGGGCGAATTACTCTCTGGTGATGAGGCTGACTCGACCAGGTCTACTTTGGATTCACGCGCTGCCCCGACATCTGCCCCGAAGAGCTCGACAAGATGGCCCGCATGCTGGATATCGTCGACGCCAAGCTTCCCAACAACCAGCTGCTCCCCATCTTTGTGACGTGCGACCCGGCGCGAGACGATCCCGCGGCGCTCAAGACCTACCTCGCCGAGTTCCACCCGAAGCTGATCGGCTTGACTGGGACATACGACCAGATCAAGGACTTGTGCAAGAAGTATCGCGTGTACTTTAGCACGCCGCGAGATGTGAAGCCTGGGCAGGACTACCTGGTCGACCACAGCATATACTTTTACCTGATGGACCCGGAGGGCGATTTTGTGGAAGCGCTGGGGCGACAGCACTCGCCGGAACAGGCGGCGCAGCTGATTATTGATCATATCAAGGATTGGAAGAACAGCCATTAGTACTGCTGTTGCGGAGCTGGGAAAAGCAATGTAAAATGGAGCTTGCCTGTAACAGTAGTGTACCACCAAGTCATGGAAGGAAGGATGCCGAACCAGCAACAAACCACTCAACTTGTATATACTGAGTTAAATTCACCGTGCCACGTATTAACCACCATTTCGATTCACTTCATAAGCAAAGAGGCCCTACCTAAGGTTGTATGTGAAGCTATATCGGATTCTTCGGCTTGGTGAATACCGGATTGCTGCCGAAGAGCTCATAGTGGGGATACGGCGCAAATCCCGGCCAGTACCGGCGAGCTGCGACTCGCGGCCAGTCTGGACTTGGACCTTGCCCCAGAATATCCTGTCATTTACATCATCGTCACCGGAGTGCATGCAGTGTAAGATCTCTTTGGGAATCAGTATTTTTGCAACTCATAGACGGCTGAGATTGAAAGGCTTTAGTTCAGTTAGATGTCGCGCACACGAGTTTTGGGCCGATGCCGGCCGATGTCCGCATCGCGACTCGGCCCTGTCACCCGGTCATGGCCAGCCTTCAACAGCCTCAGCGTGAGCGCGGCTCGGGCGAGCACCGACAGACGGAGATTCCATGCGGCATCATGCTTGCACGAGAAAGTGACTGCGCCTTCTCGGTCACTTCAGCAGCGCATTCTGGACGATGTCGCGCGGAAAGCCTTGTCTGAGATTGCGTTTGCGTTTGAGTACGTGGTGAAGCGATCACTAACCCCTCGTTTATCCCTTTCCCACCCCCTCTCTCTATAGCCTGTATTGATGGACATGTCATGAAGAGCATGTGGCGGCTAACAGAGGTATATCACAGCATTGATGGAGTCTTGTATCAAGGCCACAGAGCAATTCCCGGAGCCAGGGAGATGCTCAGGAAGATCAGGTCTCACGACATCCGATACGTCTTCCTGACCAACGGCGGCGGCACTCACGAAGATGCCAAGTGCAAGTCTCTGTCTAAGCGCCTGGGTCTCTCAGAAGACGAAGACGTGATCCGCAACAGGGTCATCCTGTCTCACACGCCGATGCGCGGCTGGGACGAGCACGTCAAGAAGCACGGGACGGTGCTGATTACGGGATCTCACCCAGAGATTGCCCGCAGGGTGGCCAATGAGTCGGTGCAACCTCATGACTCCTCTCTGCGCGGCTTTTTCAAGAGATTATGCTAACGGGGAAGCTTCTAGATACGGGTTTGAAAGAGCCGTGACGCCGGCGGACATCATCGCGGCCAACGACAAGGTGTATCCGTTTGACAACCTGCGGGAGAGCCTTCACCGAGAGTCGCGGCCGCTGCCGGATGGCAAAGTGGTGTCAAACAGCATCGACCCCTACAGTAAGGACGTGCCAGCGGACGCGCTCAAGATTGACCAGATTCTGGTGTGGAACGACCCGCGGGACTGGTCGCTGGACATCCAGGTGATCCACGATCTGCTCATCTCGCATCGCGGGTATCTGGGCACCATCTCCGACAAGAACGGCAACGCGCAGCTGCCCAACAACGGCTGGCAGCAGGACGGGCAGCCGCAGCTCTGGATCTCCAACCTGGACCTGCTGTGGAAGACGGAGTACCCGGTCAACCGCTTCGGCACGGGGGCCTTTGTCGAGGCGCTCAAGGGCGTGTGGGCGGCGTCGACGGGCGGCGCCGAGCTGAAGTTCAGCGCGCTGGGCAAGCCGTCGCGGCACACGTACGAGTACGCGCACGACCGGCTGCTTCACCACGCGCCGGAGCAGCCGCACGGCAAGGGGGACAAGAAGAGGCCGCTGCGGAGGGTCTACATGATCGGCGACAACCCGGAGAGCGACATTCGGGGCGCCAACGAGTTTGCGCCGGAGGACGGGACGCAGTGGGTGTCGGTGCTGGTGAGGACGGGCGTGTGGCGGGAGACGGCGGCGCAGAGGGAGCCGAGGCACAGGCCGGCGGTGGTTGTGGACGATGTGCTTGATGCCATTGTGTGGGCGATGAGGAACGAGGGGGTGGATGTGACGAGGGAGTGGCTGGCCAACGAGGAGGACTGGGTGTGAGTAGGACTGGGTGTGAGTGAAATAGTAGTACGTCCCCTTGTTTACACGTCCTTTTGTTGAGCTAGGTACTGTTCTTGTTCCATCACATTCTTGTCCATCACCATGAGCCCTAAATGGCCTGATTTCTACACTTCATCACATAGAGCCGATAGAGAGCCCCCCAATAGAGCCGATAGTTTGTATGAGAGAGCGCGCACGCGAGCAGCAGAAGAGACGGGAAAAGTGGGTAAGGACAAGGCCTCAGCCCTTTTTGTTGGCAGAGGGCGAGGCACGCTTGGGATTTCCTCATGCGGCGACCGAGAGGACGGGGATTTACCAGGATGTTTTGCGCAGCACATGCTGTTGCAGCATGCAGCAAGGAGGGGAGGAGACTCAGCTGGTGCTGGTGCTATCATTCGTATGGACAAGTAAAGAGTGATGGGCAGGGACAGGGAGTAAAAATGAGGTGTGGATACAGAGTCAAAGTCCCCCAAAATCACATGTTTGTGCTTCTGTGTCCGCCAGCTACAGTAGACTAAGGCAGAGCGAATACTAATAGGCCCAACTGGACACCTTGTCATTCATCCATTGCCTACGCGACGGGCCGTTGATCCATGGCTTGAACCTTGTAAGACAGCAGAAAAATAAGACAGACGGTGCCTGAGAATATCCAATGGACAGTATCAAACACATGAATTCAGTGTATAAATTCGTACGAAAGAGGGAACCAGGATGACACTCAATCTACCCCCCCTACGTCATATCCTCTCTGTTGCCGTCTTGTCCCTGAGTCGTTTATCTCGGTCTATCCTCTGTAAGCCCCCTATCAATCCAATCAACTAATAACAGACCCGAACCACACACAAACTGGAGCCAAACAAGCACAAGGCAGAAAATCCCTTATCACAACCACAACAACGAACAAACAGCACGGCCCTTTTTTAATCTAAACTCTAGAGCGGACTAGCACTGGAATATTATAGTGACACCCCATAAAACAGCGTGGCGTTCGCATAGGTACAGTAGTGCCGCTCCTCAACATTTGGGTCCAGTCTGGACCTTGAGCTGCTTTCTTTTCCCCAGCCCGCCTTCGTCACAGGTCACGAGGGCTGCTTTCGTCCTTCCCCAGATCCTTCTTCCTCCTGCATCCTCGCCAGTCCACACTCCTTGTCTCTCCTTATCTCACACTCACTACTGCTTGAGACACTGTTTCTTGTTTATTGGATTCTGTACTTTTCAGCTTGAGCCCCCCGTGTGTCACCGCCGTCATTGGTGACGTCTGGCGATTCCATCCTGCAACAGGATTTTGGTTAGCTCGAAACATCGTCTTATCAGCCGGCGCCTCTCTATTTGTTGGAGTTGAGCTGTCTTTAACCAATTCCCACGACGAACTCTTTGATCCTCCGAACCCTGATGGTCTGATTCGAATCAGGCTACGCAACTGCGATTATTCTCGACAAAAACTTTCACCAGCCCGACTATTTAAGAAGAGCGCATTGTCCTGGCTGCCATGTCCGAGACACCAACTCACCCTCCCACGGCGTTGCGCTCGGCTCTCAAGATGGACGACGAGGCTTCGCGCACTCCGCCTGCTAGTGGCACTCTGAAAGGTACGTTGCTGTGGAAGCGAATGTTCACTTGAACGGGTCAAATGGGGCTGTGTCGCTTGGAAGGACGAAGATATCCGTCGAACGCTGGAGAGGGGATTTCGCATGCTGTTTTGTGCGCCGCCCATGCTGGTTCGATGACGATGGATTCGCTTGCCGTCGCGGGGTTCGTCTGGTGGGGGAAATGACTCGTCGCTTTGTGTTGCTGTGTTTGCATAGCCGAGAAGGGAAAAGGAAAGGAGGAGGGAAAAGGAAAAGAAGGGAACTGGTGCGAGGCAAAACTACGAGAGATTGCGATCTTGGGCTTACGACTGGAACAGCTGTGCAGATTGCCGACCCCGTCCCAGAGGACTATATCGAGGACGATTCCCACCATGCGAAGCAGCGCCGGGGCCACACCACGGCTCCTCCCACTCGCCGTCTCAGCGGCAGGCTGTCTGCCGCTGCCTCGCCGGCTTTGCGCCCTGTGGACGATGCGACTCTCCCGGGGCACCACCATCACCACCGTCGGAACCACCAGAGCGAGAGGATCTTGGCCCAGGTTGGAGAATGGCTGGAGCGCGAGCGCAAGAAAGCGGCGGCCAGGAAGCTGAAGCCTCGTCGACGCAAGTCCAAGTCTCCCCCGTCCGACCAGACGCAGGCCGCAGAAGGCGCGGCTGCAACTCCGGCTCCCAGCCATTCTTCGCGCGAGCGATCGGGTTCCACGAGCTCGCAGTCGAGCGACATCTCCTTTGACGGCCTGGAGCACATTCTGCGAACGTCAATGGCGTCCATTGGACTCACTTCGCTGCCAAAATACAGCCCGCGAGCCAGTACCAAGCACAGGCGGCCGCCTTCGCGCACGTCCCTCCATCGCGCTGCTTCCTCGGACACCGACTATGTCGACGGCGACGCTATCGTGCCCAGCTGCGATGCCTGGCTGGACAACTCCAAGACGATGAGCTACACTGGAGGAGCCAGCATCAGCACGGACGATGTCTCAACTCAGGCCACAAAGGTCGAAAAGGAGACAGAGGCATGGACCATCTTCAAGAATGAGATTCTACGCATAGCCCATACTCTGAGGCTCAAGGGCTGGCGCAGGATCCCTCTTGGTAGCGGCGAGGCCCTGTCTGTTGAGCGACTGAGTGGTGCTCTGACAAACGCCGTCTACGTCGTCACCCCGCCGGCGGACATGCCCCAGCTGGAGGGCAAGAAGCCGCCGGCCAAGGTGCTGCTTCGCGTGTACGGACCGCAGGTGGAGCATCTCATTGACCGAGAGAACGAGCTTCAGGTGCTCCAGCGACTTGCGCGCAAGAAGATTGGCCCGCGGCTGTTGGGGACCTTCAAGAACGGGCGCTTTGAGCAGTTCTTCAATGCCCAGACGCTGACCCCGACGGATCTGCGAGAGCCTGAGACTTCGAGGCAGATTGCGAAGCGTATGCGAGAGCTGCACGATGGTGTTGAGGTGCTCCTGCATGAGCGAGAGAGCGGGCCCGGTGTTTGGAAGAACTGGGATCAGTGGCTTGATAACGTCGGCCGCATCACCACCTTCCTAGACCGGGAGCTGGAGAAGACGCCCGAAGCTGCCCGCAAGAACTCTCTCGTTCATGCATGGAAAGCCAACGGCTATGTGTGCGGCGTCCCTTGGGAGCAGTTCAAGGAGATGGTGAACAAGTATAGAGCCTACTTAAACAACTGCTACAAGGGCCACAGGTCCATCAGGGACCGTCTCGTTTTCGCACACAACGACGTGAGTAGCTCCTCTTTGCTTGGGATCACCGCAGTTGCAGAAGGCTAACAGACTCTACTATAGACTCAATACGGCAATATCCTCAGGATTCGCCCCGACGACGAAAAGTCGCCTCTCCTTCAGCCTGCCAACAAACACAAGCAGCTGGTTGTCATTGATTTTGAATACGCGGCTCCCAACACCGTCGGACTCGAGTTTGCCAACCATTTCACCGAGTGGATGTACAACTACCACGATCCGGTGGTCCCCCATGCCTGCAATCCCGATCGCTACCCAAGCCTTGAGCAGCAGAAGCGGTTCATCAAGGCCTACGTGGAACACCGGCCCTATTCCCAACGGTCCGACTCGACACCTCGCCTGACGCCCCTCGACAGCCAGAATCCCAGTGCCCCGGCCACGCCCTCGCTTCATCCGACAGCCTCTAGCAGCTCGATTGTCGACTTTATGCTCGACGCTCGCTACCCCGGAGGCGACTGGAACGCAGTCGAAAAGGCACGCGAAGAGCAGGTCGACCAGCAGGTGAGGGAGCTCATCGAGGAGGCCCGGCTGTGGCAGCCGGCGAACAGCGCTCAGTGGATTGCTTGGGGCATTGTGCAGGCCAAGGTGCCGGGCCTGGACGGAACGCCTGCGGACGAGGAGCCTGGCGCAGACGAGTTTGACTACCTGAGCTATGCGCAGGACAGGGCCATGTTCTTCTGGGGGGATGTTGTGCAGCTGGGGCTGGTCAAGTTGGAGGAGTTGCCTGAGGCCTTGCGGGCAAGGATCAAGCTTGTCAAGTATTAGGGGCTGCGCAAGTGACCGGATATTCCTTGTACGATAGGGGGGTGCTCTCTTGTTCTGCACTCTTTTCTTTTCCGTCTTCTTCTGTTGCCCTTTCGTGGTTGACTTGGGTCGTTGATGCGGATTCTTTACCGTTAGGAACAAGGATTATGCCAAAAGTTGTATAGACAGCGAGATGAATCCACAATGCAAACATTTTGATATACCTCAATCTCTCCGCGTTGGTATCCATGTACTTCTGTATAATGCAAGCGAACGCAACTTGTATAGACATGCCATTGGTAGGTATGAACAGCTCTCGACGCTTTTTTTTTGTAACAACCTCATGCATCCAACTTCAATCCCTCCAGCATGGCATCAATCTTATGCAACAGAATCTGGTAATTGATTGCATCCGACGCAAACTCATCCTCCGCCGCCTCCCCATCCAACGTCCTCACCCCTTCTTCTTCTTCTCCCCCTTGTTGCCCCCCCTTATTCCCCTGAGCCTCACCATCACCACCATCGCCCTGCTTCCCACTCTTGTCACCAACAACAGCAGCAACATCCCCCGAAGAGCCATTCACCAGCGCCGCCACCATCTCCGCGCTCATCTCCCCCTCCTCATCCATCATCTCCTCCAGCCCCGCGTCCTCGAAGCGCAGCCTGAACCGCTCGGACAAGTAATACCGGATGTCGTCGAGCAGCTCAATGGTGTCCGTCTCCTCGCGCTTCTGGATGCGGTCGGCGCTCTCGCGGATGAGCTCGTGGAAGTCGGGCTCGTCGATGTAGTCCTCGAGGCGGTGGGCGAGGTAGCGGGCGGCGAACTCTTCGAGGCGCTGGACGCGGAGGTCCCATGCTGCGTGGATGACGTCGTAGATGTTGATGGGCTCGACTTCGACGAATTCGTTGGGTTCGGGGTCTGATTTGGGGGTGTTGTTGTTGTCGGTTTTGTTGTTGTCATTGGTGTTGTTGTTGTTGTGGGTGCGGTCGACGAGGGCGTTTGCCGTGCCGCTTCCGAGGGTGCTTATTGCAATGGCGGCCTTGTTCTTGAGACTGTCGAGGAAGAGCATGTCGGCGGCGTACAGCAGATCCAGCGCATGTTCGAGCGGACACGATGCGTTCTCCGTGTACAGAAACGACAGGATGAGCTCCAGCACGGGCGGCGAGCAGTCGACGGTGATGACGTGCAGATGGTCCGACTTCTTGGACTCGACAAAGTCGCCCGAGAACATCTTGTCAAAGTACTCGCTTCGGATGAGCATGGCCTTGTGCGCGGGATACAGCACCGACTTGCGCGCCTTCTTGACGCCGTTGCTTTCCGCTGCTGCTGCTGCTTGACGGGACGGCCCAATGGGAATGCCTGCGGCGCTGGTGGACGTTGAATCGGCGGCGAGGAGGATACCGTCTGTGTCCTCGGCAGAAGGCTCGTCGGCGCGGAGCAGGATGTCCGCGAAGATGGAGTTGTCGTGGCGCCAGCGGACCTCGTCGACGCGGTCTGTGTCGACGACCATTTTGTGCGCGAGGACGCTCTGCTGGAAGAAGTCGGTGACCTGGCCCAGGGCTCTCGCGACTTCGTCTTGGTACCGCTGGCGGGCCAGGCGACGGTCGTTGCCTACGAGGATGGCTTCCCAGAGCTGTTCGATTTCGAGAAGCTTGCTGATTTTGTCGAGGCCCTTGGCGACGTCTTCCTCGGTGGCGGTGCTTCCCGGGGGGGCGAGATCCCTCGGTACTTCACCGAGGTAGATGTACCGGACGGCGATTTGGAAGGCTTCCACGGGGATGGTAGACGATAGCTTCCATGATGCTGTTTCGGGGTTTGCCTGGAGCTTCCTGCGGAAGTAGGGCGTTCTCGAGGCCAGCAGGAACTTGTGCAGGTTGAAGGACCTGGTCTCCGCCTCGAGGGAGATGTCCGCTGTCTGGGGGCTCTGACGGCCCAGGAGGTTGGAGATGTGGGATGACCAGTAGACGTAGGGATCTGAGCTCTTGGAGAAGTCGTACTGGAGGAGCAGGTTGCGGATTCTGTCGTTGAGGGCGTTGTATATGCAGCGCTCTCCCTGGAAGGTGTTTCTCTCGGCGAGGGCACCTGCGATGTGTCTCAGCCTTGACTCTTTTCTCCCAGGATGTGAACTTGATGAAATTGTGTTTAAGAGAAACATACCGGATTCTAATAACAGCTGTACCAACTCATAGTGACCACACAGACTGGCCTGTTTAACACGGCCGTCAGTACTCTTCTTATACCCCGCTAAAAGTTCAATTCAGACTTTATGTGCAGAAAACTCACAATGATCAATGGCGTGTAATCAAACTTGTCCTTGCCGTTGATGTTGACGCCCATGCCAATGAGTTCCTGGCACTTGCGCAAGTCTCCCCGCCGACATGCCAGCAGAAAGTCGTGAAACTCTTGACTTGTATCCAGCGGGTTCTCGTCTCGCAGCACGCCGCTCTTGATGAGGAGGCTTTCCTCGCCTAATTTGCCTTCCAGCTCGTGCTTTTTCAGCACCATTTTTGTGAAGTCTAATAGGAACGAAGCAAGATATAAAGGGAGAGACGAGTATAGAGAATGAGAGGGTGAATCTAGAAATGACAAACGTATGTACTTTCGCTATATGGGATGATTACGGTATTACATTGAATCTGAGAAGAGATGGAGATATACATAGTCAAAGTCTTATGTAAACCGGCCTCTTTTCACGGAGATAATCGACTTTGCCGCTTATCGTTTTGCACGTCACCGGAACTTGCCATTGCGGAACCGGAGCCGTTGCAGCTGTTACTCGGCGTTTGTACGAGTACCTGTATGACCAGCCTGTCAAAGTGGTGATGCCTTGTGATTCTCGACGTCTGCCGTCTTATCAGATATCTGTCGTTGGAACTTCACCTTGTCTGGCTGTTTGGCTCTCTTTGACGCATCTGCTACCCTAAAACCGAGACATTTTCCCTGACCGCCACAAATCCACTGCATCATTGCCACGCAGACGCCACACACACACACAGACGCCTCACATGATGCCACGCATTTCTTAGTCCCCACAAGCCCAGAAGTCGCCGGCGCTTTGCACTATCGATAAGCGGCAATACCCCGGCACATCCACAACTAGGCGCGTCGCCATGGCAACCGCTCGATTTGTTTACGTCCAGCTGCCGGGGATGCCTTTTTTTCTGCCGGCCAGCGAATTGGCGGAGCGAGCGTCCAATCCCGGGATCCTTTTGGCCGCTGTTGTGCCTACGTCAGTCAATCAGTCAGTTGATTCCTTATCCTGCCGCAGCAACGAAAAGCAAAGAATCCAGCCAGAGAGAGGGGAGCACAGAAGAGAGAAGAAGCAAGAAAAAAAGAGGGTGGGAAACACAAGTCCCTTGTTTAGGTTTATTTGGAGCCGTTTTCTGTCTGCTGCTTTGGTGCTAAGCTAAGCTAATACAGGGACCTGCCCCGTTTGATAGTGTGGTGAGAAGCCGCTGCTTCGTTGCTGTGCATTGTCTTACCTTGACCTTGAACCTTGCCTTTTCTCCAAGCCTCTTCGACGACACGCTTTTCCAACGCTTCCAATCGCTTCCATTATTTTACACTTCTTTGTTCCCTTTGATTACCAGCATCGCCAGAACAAACTTCCACCTAGCGCTTGTTTCTTTTCTTTCTTTCTCTCTCGTCTTTGGAGCGACGTCAGACGAAAACCTAACGCAGCAAGTCAACAGTTTTCGGGGGAGGCTTCGATTCTACACCCTCTCGCCTACTTCCTCTCCCCCCCTCCCCCCTCTCCCTCTTCTTCTCCGTCCTCGCCTCATCATAACTTTTGGTTCGCCTTTCTCGTCGGAATAGTTGCTTTATGGGGCTCGGGAGCAGACAAGCGTTATTGGTAGCACCGTTATAACGACGCAACATGTCTACCGAGGACAAATACGAGACGCTGGAGAAGATTGGTGAGTGCGCGCCCAGAATCAACAACCTCCCACCACCACCATTGAAGGATGGCAACGGGGGGAATGATGCAGACGAGAAGGAAGAAAAAGCACACCTCAAGCACTTTGACTATGGAACGGTCCTGCTAACGCTGGCCTTCTTGCGCCATTTTCTCCTTAGGCCATGGCTCCTTTGGCATCATCCGCAAGGTCCGCCGCAAGGCAGACGGCTTCATCATGTGCCGGAAAGAAATCTCCTACCTCCGAATGACGCAGAAAGAGCGCGAGCAGCTGCACTCCGAGTTCCAGATTCTGTCGCACCTCCGCCACCCGAACATCGTCGCCTACTACCACCGCGAGCACCTCAAGGCGAGCCAGGACCTGCACCTGTACATGGAATACTGCGGCAACGGCGACTTGGGCCGCGTGATCAAGGAATTGCAGATGAAGGGCCAGAGGGCGCAGGAGAGCTTTGTCTGGAGCATCTTTAGCCAGCTGGTTCTGGCCCTGTATCGCTGTCATTACGGAATAGATCCCCCCGATGTTGGCGGCAATGTCTTGGGCGCGGCGGAGAGGACGGCTCCAAAGACTCCGGCTGGAGCCGTGACGATTCTGCATCGAGACTTGAAACCCGAAAATGGTGAGAATCTCTTCATACGTGCATCTTGGGTTGTTGTGGGAAGACATCCCGTGGCCGAACCAACTAACACGATACTCTACAAAAAACAGTATTCCTCGGCGAGGATAACTCAGTCAAACTGGGCGATTTTGGTCTGTCCAAGATGATCAAGTCTCAGGATTTCGCCTCCACCTACGTCGGCACCCCGTTCTACATGTCGCCCGAGATTTGCGCGGCCGAAAAGTACACGCTCAAGTCCGACATTTGGTCATTGGGATGCATCATTTACGAGCTCTGCGCTCGCGAGCCCCCCTTCAACGCAAAGACGCATTTTCAACTGATCCAGAAGATCAAAGAGGGCCGAGTCGCCCCTCTACCTGAGATGTACTCTCCCGAGCTGAACCAGGTCATCAAGGACTGCCTCAAAGTCAATCCCGATAGAAGACCGGATACTGCACAGCTGGTTCACCTGCCGGTTGTGAGGCTCATGAGAAAGGAGAAGGAGGTGGTCGATTTGAACAGAGCGCTCAAGGCGCGTGAGGAGATTCTCCGCGAAAAGGAGACGGAGCTGAACCAGCGGCTGGTGAATCTGGACAAGGACAAGCACCTGATGCGGCAGGAGCTGGATGCGTCGGTTCGAAGAGAGTGGGAGGTCAAGGCCCGGCTGGAGATTGACCGCCAGGTGAGCGCCGAGGTGGAGAGGCTCAAGAAGCAGTTTGAGGAAGAGGTCAGGAATCGCGTGGAGAAGGAGCTGGAGAGCCGCCGCAAGAGAACGCCTCCGCCTCCGGTGGAAGAAGTGCAGATCGATTCGCCCATGACAAAGTCCGACCAAGCGCACAACTCGTCTGCGGATGGCAGCGGCGACGAGTTCCCTTCTACGACGGACATCACGGAGCTGTCATACTCGGCCGAGAGCCCCGACTTCATCACCAAGGACCTGAAGCGAGCGGCGCGAACGCCCTTTCACCGAGCGCAGACCATGTTCGCCGGCCAAATGGGCACTCCCATGGACATTGAGATGCAATCGCCCAGCCCCATGGCTATCGCCTCGCTGTCGCTGTCGCCGCGCCGCCAAGGAAAGACGCTGACGCACCAAGGTAACATCTTCGCTGCGAATTCGGCGCCCAAGGCGGCCGCCAACCCCGATGATTGGGCAAGAGACGGGCTGGAGTCTGACGGTGAAGATGCCTGCCCTCCCTCGCCAACGCAGCACAGGGCCTCGATTAAGAATCCTTTCACCAGCAAGAACCGGCCACTCCTCTCGCAGAAGTCGGCGAGTGCGGCCGCTCGCATTAGGAATGCCACGACCACCTCGAGCGGCTTCGTATCCAAGGCTGCCATTCCGCCTAACGCTCAGGCTGGTAGCCGAAAGCGGTCTCCCGTTGGCAGGTTGACTAAGATTCCCTCCATCGCCAACATGACGCAGCCGACCACGGTCAACGAGGCTAACACTCCGTCACCCATATCGTCGTCGTCATCGTCCTCGGGCCTGTCGCGCAGGCTGTCCGCTAGGAAGGAGGCAGCCGATTCGACGGGCAGGATAGCTAAGAGCAACTTTAAGGGATACACGCTCATCGAGCTAAATCAGGCCCGCGCAGGAGGCCGGCCGACGAGCATCACGGGCATGCCGCTGGGCGAGAACGTGGGCCCTAAGAGGTCCGGAACCGCGGCATATCGGGAGCGCGTGGCCAGCTCCAGTTACGGACCGGTCGCCGTGTGGGACCCGGACACGGACGAGATGCCGAGCCCCTTTTTGGACCGGCGCCGCATTGCGAGGGTTTAGGAGTCCTTGATGTGATGGGGACTTGTTCGGAGAAGTAAGGGGAGTATTCAAAGAGCCTCGGTTTGCCTACCTTTGCGATTTGCAAGTGTGGCTTCCCCCCATTTCTGGATGGCTGCTGTTGTGCAACTTCATCTCACGCGGGGCTTTGGGCGAAACCGACATGCCCCGTCGACATCACGCCACAAAAGAAAGGATCAAGAAACCCCAAAGAAGAAAAGAGTCAGCAACATACATATGGATGCCATTTCGATTTATTCTGCTTTCTTGCTTTCGTCATGCATTGCTTGGCAGCCGACATGAGCGTCGGCAAGACTCGTCATTTCCCCGTTGTTATGCATGGAATCATTCGAAACATCCAGGACCAGCATCGAACACATATATGTGTTAAAACCTTCTTTAATCGTCACTCTCCTCTCCCCCCTTTTCCTTTCTTTTGCGAATATCGAACCTTTGTGTTCTTTTGGCATTCACTCATTGGAGCTTTGGAGCTGCACCAAACCATGGAAAACGAGCCAACAAATGTTGCTCAACGTGCTCCTGACTTTGGTCTGTATGACAACGAGAGATGCAGAGGAAGAGCACATGCACATAGACACGGAAGTCATTCAGAAGCTGGCACATTCACATTCCCAAGCCACGGAGTTTTTTTCCTTTTCCATCTACCACCCCCTTTTCTCAACCTTTTTTGCTTGTTTTCTCCATGTACTTGGAGTGTTGGAGTCTCCTTTTTTGGTCAGTGTGTGTTATGAAGAAATGCGGCGCGCAGGGTGAAGGCTTTTGTTATATAGCTGGCTGGCTGGTTTTTTTTGGCTGGTTCACTTCTCTTTTTTTGTTTTCTGGCTGGTCTTTGGTTCTTGTTCTTTTTTTGGCTAGGCCTGGTTTGGGCGTTTAGGAGAGAGATGATGATGATGATGATACAGATAACTTGAAAGAACCATGAAACAAGATATTATCTCAACGAGCTTACTTGCTGGATGGTGGATGGTGCATATTGTTTCTGCTTGTATTTCGATTCGTGTCTTGTTTGCCTACGATGCTTTTATACAGGACGGGTGCGTCCTCTGTGACTGGGTTTGGTTTGTTGCATAAGGAGTTGGGAAGAGGAGACGGCATCTTCTCCTGTAAGCTGGGAAAGAACCCGTGCTATTGACTCGTTGAGCTGATTGGTTCTTTTGTCAATGATAAGTCGTATCAGACGCAATGGGATCGATAAACAAGCCGGATAAAGTCCACTGGAGAACATCCTATCTGACCTTACCTCCCTCACCTCACCTTACTCCTTACCTTACCTCAACCCAAATCCATCACGACCAAGCACCTAGAAGCATCCATTTAGTATGTACATACCTCATACACCGTATCATCACAGAAACAAAACCATCGACGTTACCCATTAAACCCCGCCCATATGGCCAGGCTAGGATACATAAAACGCCAGGACACGTAAAAACGGAAGAACAAACGACGACAGAATCACAAGTATATATAGAACCCCCATCCGTTTCTCCCGGACAAAAAAGCGGGATTCTTTCGCCAATCTTCTCTCGTCAACAGCCATGAACCAGACGTACATATATAGCTCTTCCCCTCCCCTCTTTCTCCAAGCACAAGTACAAGGAACACAAATATCACCAATTGAATGCACAAAAGGGGGGAGAAAACAGCCGCGATAGGCACCTTCCATCCGTCTCGGGCCCAATCACGACAAGTCTACAAAAAATCTTTCCCACTTTGTCCCCCAGACCAGTCAGACGGGGCGATGATGATGCTGAAATCACTTTTGTTTCTCTCTTCTTCTTTTTTACTCCCCTCGTTTCCCAACCATTGGATCGGTTCAAGTCTATCATGCAGCCATCGATGCGGTGACTGACCCTCCGCAGCCAACCACCATCCCGGTCTACACCGAAATTGACAGTCGGCCACCAGAGGGGCAAGTGGAAGAGGAACGAGCAACTGATAATGCCGGCGCCTTCGTAGTTGCGCCAGCTCAGATTACGTGTTGACTACTACTTTGTAAGACTAAATAACAATGACTAGCAACGCAGCTTAATGCATCCCGCATACCGCCATTGCTTGCCCGATTGACCAGCAGTCCATCCCCATCCGCGGGAGGGGATGAATGCATTGCGTCCTGGTAGCCAAGAGTCGAAACACCATCCGTCCAGGCTGCTCGGTGCCTGACCAAGGCCGGCTTGTGCCTCTCGTTCTGTCAACGCCTGACGCAAGACCAGAACCGCTCCCCATCACATCCCGCCCAAGGGTATAAGAAAGGAAAAATCGCAGTGAATCCGCATACGCCGTATTCCCGGTATCGCTTGAACAGAAATATCCATGTGTCTTCTTCTTTCGCCCTGGTGAACCAATCCCAACATACATGAGTGCGGCATTCCCAATCCCCTCATATTTTGTGGAGAGGGAGAGAGAGATAGAGATAGAAAGACGGGGCAAGAAGAACGAACTGCTTCTGTAAAGTGGCAAAGGATATGGTGAAAGGGTAAGGAAAAGAAATGAGAACAGAAAATGAAAGGGAGCAGCAAACGATCCGAAACCCAGAATTTGCAACTTCAACGCCAAACCAACAATACCCAAACTAAACACTGAATGACGAGCCGTGAGGCTTTTTCCCTTCTTGCCCAGCCGCGAGGCCTCACCCATCTGTAAAGAACTTCCGTTGCCGTAATCCCGCAATCTTGAGAACGATACACATTCCCCCAAACCCGGCCTGCTAGGGCATCTGAAGACGAACTTTTTTGTTTTTTTCTTTCCTTGAGAAATGTCCAATATTCTTTTGGTAATCTTGCCAGATAGCTTTCAGAGTCCGAGGACTCGTCTCCTATGGCAAGCCTGAAAGCCCCGTCACCCCATACAATTAATATTGCCGTCCACAGTTTTGGCCGTCAAAACTGTCGGCTGCAGGTCGCTCTAGCCAGTCCGTTCAAAGAGAAAAACAGAAAGAAAAAGGTAAGAAAACAAGGTGCTATGGGCACCATGCATCATTTGTGGCGAGAAGAGCTGTGCTTCTTGTGGTGATGTGACGGTGAATGTTTGTGTCGACTTGACGAGCCACCGCTGCTCTCCAAGTCTCTTTCTAGTGTTTCAACCCTCGATCTGTACCCCTTGACGATTTCCTTGATGTGTGCTATCCTGTCGAAATCGACCTCGAGTTCATCGAGCTGCCGCAGGATATCTGTGTAGCGTGCGATTTCGGCATCGGCGCCGTCAATGATGTTCCCGGCTCGGTCGTATTGGACCTGTGTGAACATTTGGGCTTGCTCGCTGAGATAGCGGATGTTTTGTTCGATGCCGGCCATCAATCGATCAAAGTATCGCCCCAGAGCCGATAGCGACGTGCTGTCCAACATCAAGAGGCCTTGGCTGCTGGCTCTGCTGGCTGCCCGAGAGCTGGCTGAGCCCGCGCCACCCCCCAGAGCGGCCTGGCCTTGCCGGAGCAGCTGGATCTCCTCGGCACTGAGCCCCAGTTGCGTGTCTGGCACGGCGTTGGTGGTGGCCATGGCTGGCTGTCGTGCGAGGCGCTACGGCGCCTCGTGGACAGGGAGAGCCACCCGCGGCCGCGACGAGGCCAGCAGCGGTATCGAGGCGAATGGCTATAGAGTCGAAGTCGAGGCTGGTGGATGGGACAATGACGGTAGCGGTGGAGGGTCGGATCGACTATATCGCAGGACGAGGAGGCTATCGACGGAGAGAGAGGAGAGGACTGCGCATGAATATTCGAGTGACGATGGCGTCTTGTCCAGCAGATCCAATGCACCGAGGGTCATGGTCTCGGGATGATGACGGCAGTGATGTGCATGACACCGCAGATTGGATCGAGAGCTGGCGGCGCGCGAGTGGTTTGAGTCCGAACCCCGGGAGTGGCCAGGTTTTGGCGCAGACCTTATCCCAGGATCTCCGAGCAGGCAGGGAGCTCGTGATTGGAGAATCAGGATCGTGGGGGGTTTTAAATGCGGTCGTTGCTTCTGGCCGGCGGCTGGCAGACGTTCACCGTAGGAGCCGCAACAGTGACGCAGCCGAGCTTTGGCAGCGGTGACGGAGGCGCTGATTCTGCTCTCAATGGGGAGAGGGAAACGAAGTGGCAGCTCAAACAGAAGCCCAAACGGAGGCTCAAACGGCTGGTCGAGGAGGTGAATGAATGGCTGAGCGCCAGTGACGGGACACGGCCTTGCATGGCCTGTTTGAAGGCAGCCCGGTTCCAGCGATGCGGGCGGCCAAATATTAGTGTCCAGAGGCGAGTAGGAGCAAGAGGAGGCATGGACCTGCTGTGACCCCACGTTCCACTAGCCAAAAGCTCTCTGAATGCCCTCGAGGCTGTCAAAGCAGTGACTGACCGACCCACGATTCCGTAACAGCTTGAGCGCAATGCCAGCCGCAAGGTTGAGCCTCTTCCGCGCTTGTTTGCACTTCTGCTGCCGGGAGCTATTCTTCGCATATTTATGCGGCTAGAATTCAGAGTTCAAAAGGCTGCGAATGGCTGCCAATCATATGGCACTAGAAGCATCGTCGAATACCTAGCCCCAGGCCGTTTGATCTTGACGGCTGCCAGCATGCATTCACTGCAGGGGTAACCGCTGCACGCCGGGTAATAAGACTTGGGGGCTGTTCTGCGCTCCGCCCATCGAGATGGGATTTAGTCTGGCCTTTCGTTTTCCTGCTCGCTGATAAGAAGCTGGCCGAGGGAGGGTGGGCGAGGTAGCCGGCGAGAATCGAAAAGGCTGAATCCATGGCTCGCGGCATCTTGCTTGCTGCCCGTCACCGAGATGGCAAGACGCTTGCTTCAAGTGGTTCAGGTTGTTGGTTCCAAAACAGAGCTGAGCGGCCATGTTACATGTACCTGGTAGGTACGAGTAACAGCAGACAAGCTGGAGACATGCTCGGGGTCAGTCACTCACAGTCGAGTCGACCTTGGTAGCCTCGGCGTCGCATCAGATCAGTCTGCAAGATGCGGGAACCGCTGCTCGTCACAGCCACGGACAGAGGCTGCAAACCGCCGCCCACCATCTCTCTCCCACGCAGAGGGATAACGACGGAACCGGCCGGAACCAGGCCATGCTATACGGACCACCGTCGACCGGATAGGAAGCTGGCTTTGAGACAAGAGGGAGCCGGGACGAAGCCAGACGGCCAGACGGCAGAAGAGGGTGTGCGACGGTCAGCGCCAAACGTTAGCTGGAGAAGGGGAAATTAATTACGGATGGCGAGCCAAGGAGAAGACGCGAGGGCGAAGGGAGGAAAAGGGAAAGAAAGAGAGGCGATCACGAGGGGCGTCGCTTTTCACTTTTTGCTTTCCACGCTCTGGCTCTGGCTGGCGGCGGGGAAACAACGTCCCAAGGCAAGGTTCCTGCCGCGCGGTACCATCATACCATCACATCACACATTCACAACTTAATGCCTTCACTCTTTGTTTCTTCTTCACCTCGTCACTGTCCTCGTTCTGTCCTCATTCTGGCCGTTTCTCGACTCCCATCTATCCTGCCTTCATCTCATCACCGTCCTGCTCCTCCTCATCCTCATTCGTCAACATTCAACCCAACCGCCATTGTCCAATTCGAATCGTCCTCCCTGGACAACAGCAGCAGATACCATCCCGGGACAGCCCTTGAACCCTCCCTCGTCCGACGCAGCTTCGCCCAACCACCACCGACCAGTTCGTCCGTCCACGGCCACAAGCGCCAAACCGCCCCTCACCTCCATCTCCAGCATCTGGGACGCTTCAACATCCCGTTTCTCTCGCATCGCCGACAGGCCTCGCCCGCCCTGCAACACCAACTGGCCTGATATGTACTGCAACATAATGCCTCGGTACCTTATACTCTCTGCACCATCAAAAGCAGGCCCGGTTCCTTACATCGCCTCGCGGGCTGCTGCCTCTACCCTACCTTGACCCCATCCGCGAGCATCTTCGATGCGACGGATAGGCACAGGCACATGCGAGAGCCCGTCCAGAGATGCACTTCCCTTCCCCTTGGCCGAGGCTACCCTCTGCCCTACCCATTACCCCCCTCCTTGCTGCTTATGCCATCTAGGTGAATGCGCGATCGTCACAAATGATATGCCTTAGCATGAGTGTGTGCTTGTTTGGCCATGAACCATAATTGTGGTTGCGCGTCCCCGCCCCTGCTTGTGGAGCGGCTGTCCCGTCTCTCTGGTACAAGAAGACTCGTGTGTCCTTTGCCCTGCGATTATACGCCTATCTTCTGCCGCTACAAGTCGATCCCTAAGAGCTCTACTACTTACGCAGATCCAGAATCCGTAGAGCCGTTGCTACTCGTCGTTGACCAAGTTGCACCGCATCCAGCCTCCGCCATATCGGGCCCCGGGCCGCCTTGCATCAGATGCGCACGCGGGATCGTCTGCAGCCGCCCTTATGCAAATCACCCTCGGGCTGCTGCGCGGCTTGCAGCAGCGTGCAGAAGCTCGATGCCAATGGTGACCCCATGTAACCACGGGAAAGCCTCATGACAGCCTCCCTCCGCTATAGCTCGACTTGATCCCACTGGCTCGGCAAACTGCAAAGATCTTCCTTTGGCGGCCACTCAGATTAGACAGTTTGCGAAAGCTGCACATCATTGTGCCACTAACAGCTCGCTTCTTTTGATTTGCGAACATGCTTCTTTTTGCGAACCGCCTAATTGCGCCGTGCCATTCTAGAATAAGACTTCACACCCTCTTCGAAAGGAACTTCTTCGGCCTCAAAGATCAGAGAACTTGTTACCCCTCGGTTCAAGACACCCTCCTGGGGAGTACTTGAAAGTCCAGCCAATGATGGCCATGCTGGTACTGGCTCCTTCTCCAGCATCAACTCGTCAAGTGACTGCTCTGAGGTTGCATCAATCGATTGCCTCAGAGCCCTGTTGTGCGACGGTGGCGTCACTGCATGTGACTGTAATATAAGCCGTATCTCGTTCGATTTCCCGCCTACTGAAGCTGTCTTGTATGGAGTATTGCTTGATATTCCGGCAGCGGGTTTCAAATTACAATGCCGTCAAGAGACAGTTTCTCCCCTTGTTTCACGCTGAGGCAGACTTGCATCATTCCACCCAATAAATTGCTTCTTGATGACGCAGCTCGTCTACGTGGTGTGAGAATACCTACAATATAGACGACGAAATCAACGGTTTTCTTGACCAATGGTTGTCTTGGTGCCCCTTTCTGAGCCTTTTAGTTGCGCTTAAAGAAAACGCATGCGACAATGTTGGTGAAGTGTGATTAATTTGAAGAGCCATACAAGCAGATTTTCACCAAACACACCATGCATGCCGCAAGGGACCATCCAGGTATTCCCATGAAAACGATTGCATTTGGTACTTGTGCTCTTTCACAAGGAAGCAAAAATCACGAAAAAAAAGTGCCAAGCTGTTGGGACCTTTTGGTCAGCTAGCAACCTACACATGCTGCCTTTCTAAGCCAATCATGACCAATGTGCAATCTTTTATCGTTTATGCCGTGATATGGATGTTGAATAACCTCATATTAGCTCATTCAAAAACAAAGATTGTCTTTTGTTTTCGCTGTTCATGCCGTTGACGATTGCATGCTCAGTTGGGTTTTGACTGTTTTTTTTTTGTGGCGGCATGAGGCTCTCTACGGAGTGCAAACATGTCCATCCCATTCTGTTGACATGCCATCATCAAGACTGTACGGCAAGTATTACATCAATATGCTAGCCAGGCTTGTGAATGTCTACCGCTCGATCATCAAGACTCTGCACTGCAACCCAATATATGATTACATCCAGATGCTAGCCAGTATTGTAAACGTCTACTGTTCAAAAACATCCAAGCAGCGAATATCAGATTCCCATACCTCTAGTATCAAGCATGCACATTCTCCAGCAACCAATCCATCGTCTGCCAACGCCCAACACCCGCTGGAACACCCTTCAAACAGCCCTCAAGGTCCTCCACATTCCAACCCGAAGAAGATACCCTCTCAACAAAGCGTTCACACTTGTCCGCAAACTCTCGTTGCGAATCATCGCAAAGCAGATGCAGCTCCTTACCGGCCAACGAAGCCGCCATCCACAGCAGAAGCACCTTTGTCCCAGGATCCCCATTGAACGCGCCGCAGCCCCAAAGCCCCGTCGACACCGCCGGTGCGTCGGCGTCGCCGCCTTTCCAAGAGGAAAACGCAGTGTACGCCTTTCGCATCTCGCGCTGCATGTTTCCGGGCTTCAGATCGGGAAGGAGTGCGGCGGAGTCTTCCGCCTCGTCGACTTCCAGGGCGTCCATGAGCAGCATTCTCCCTCCACGTCTCCTATCCGGCGCCAGCTTTTCCCATGAGAGCTCACGGCGCTGACCTAGTATCCTCAGCATCGGGCGGGCTCCATTGATGGCCAGAATCTGGTCGTTTTGTAGCGTTGGCGTGAAGAGGACCGCAGGACAGGCTTCGGGACAGTTGCCCATGAAGACTTCTTCCTGGGTTGCCGATTGCCCGAAGCCAATGTCCTTGTTCGCAGAGACTACTACGGCGCGGTCGTTCCCCTGATACGCAAGTTCCTGCTGCTCTGTGCTGAAGGCCTTGACGTGAACAACGTTCAGCTTCCCCAACCGAACATGTTGCCAATCTCCTGGCAAGAGGAGCGCCGATTCATCGAAGGCATGTAAAGAGAACTCCACTAAGCCATCAACAGATTGTGGGGTAGATCCCAGGCTGAATTCTTCGAAATATGAGAACAGCGCCGTAAGATACATCTGAACAGCCTGAATATGTCGTTGCTCAGAGCCATACCAAATGCCAAAGTCGTGATATCCATCGAGCCATGGAGGTGATTGAAAAGTGCAGAGAAACTGATGAGCCACAAGGCTTCCAACCATATCTCTTGTGAGACTCAACCTATCTCCCGGCCGCAGCGGTGGAATGCTTCCTCCCGGGAAGAGGTCAGGCAGCTTGAGCGAGAGCCTCACAAGAGTGGGCCATAGCCGTGAGAAAAAAGTGTCTCTATGATGCTCTACGGCCTCTATGAGTGTTCCAAAATCACACGCCGCGCCTGAAGAGCCGTGGATCGTGTTGGTAATTGTATCGAGAACATCTATCAGTTGAGCAGTGGTGGTGACTGGTTGCCGAAGCACATGCTGAAGCAGCGGCCAACAGGCTACCTGTCCATGTTCGTCTTCGACTTCTTCATCAAGAAGACTGAAGCGGTCAAGGCAACGCCATGACGGCGAGCATGGTAGTAGCAGATCCGGCCACGGCAGGTCCATCGTAGAGTTTTGTATTTGATACAGGACGTCTACCAGGAATCAGCAAGATCTCAGCACGCTGATGCCAGGACAAGAAGAGTACTTCGGTATATGCCAACTTGGCGATGAGTCATCCGGCCAATCCGAGCTGAAACCGCCCGGACCGGGTTGTCTCCGACTTGTGGCCCAAATTCAGCATGAAGATCCAGCAGATCAAAGTTCGACTCGGAGTAAATAACAAGGGGGGAGAATCTCCAGAAGCACAACCAAGTCTGCGTAAGAGGCTTCATGTAGTCTCCTGATATCCTTTCGACCATGCGTCGCTTCGCTTCACGGGGATGAGTAGTCGACATGCCAAGCAATCAGACAATCAGAAAGTTCATCTCCGGGTCCTTGAGCATCTGTACCCAAGTCTTGGACCCCCTCTCCTCATCTGGTAGGTTCCAGATAACTTGGAGCGTTTCCATGGCAGTATGGATGAAGCCCCATGGACATACGGTAGTCATTATTCGTAGTCTTTCCATGACAAACTTTTGTCGCTCCGGCTCCCTCGTCTCGGCGCCTATGATGAACGTTGGCCATGTGGTTGCCTTGAAGTTAGGGTCTTCCACGGGCATCATGTTCAGATGCGCCATCAAGTCGTCCGCCAAAAAGGCGGCAAATGCTGGGCCAAGCCTCTCACCAGCCGACGGAATTGCCTGTAAGATATATATGCACGCAGCCAAGCGGTGGCTGGCTCCCGCGTGCATGCGGCTTTTCATCACATCTTTTGGCAGATCGAGTACTCCTGATGTGTCGCGCGCCCATGTATAGATGTCGTAAGCTTGGGCACGGTTGATGAGTGTGATCGCAGCCGTGGTTGTCTCTTCGCTGGGCTGGTCATGAGCTAACTCGCTTGAAAGTTGGGAAGCAGCGTGTAGGATTTCCATCAGCTCCGGTGGGCAGCACAGATAGCTATTCGCCACCGTCTTTCCGAGCACAAAAGGGATCTGGGAAGACTCAAATTGGAGCGACGTGGCATACCGTGCGGGCATGAATGCTGAGGCGAGAATAAAGTAACTAGGACGGTCAGTGAAAGGGCAGGAAACAGAAGGATTCGGCTGTGGAGGAAGAAAAGAAAGGACAAGGGGGGACAGGAGAACTCACATGAAGCAATCAGAGAGCAGGTAGTCTCGCAATGAGCTATCCCAAGCCTGGGTAAGCTGCAAGGAGGACATGATCTTGGCAGCACCTTCAAGATGTGCCCTCCAGCCGTGCTTCCCAGATTCAATCAACTCCACGTTAATAAAGAAGAGCGACGCTGCAAGCACAACGTCACCATTAACGGCATGAAGATTCTGGATGGCGGCGGACATGAGCTTCAACGCCGTGTGTTTGGCAACCAAGGCATCATTGAGTGCCTTGGCCGAGGCCGCGGGGCGGTTCCTGGGGATGAATCCGCCGTCATCTGGAAAGGGCAGACCCATGCTGATTAGATTCGACATATGAGCCGCCGAGGCTGCGACAATGATGTGCTGCAGCAGCGGATGAGCACCAGTAAGCGGTATGAGGCTACGAAACGGATTGAATCCTAGCATATCGTTGGAGACGAGGTCTTTGCATACGCGGTTTGTGACTGGCGTGGGGTGACGTTAGCCCAGCGAGGACATTGAAGCCAAACAGCAATGCGACTCATTCAAGCTTATTTCAGAATCATTCAATACGCACAGTAGTCAAGATAGAAACGATGAGACGGGTTAAGATCCTGAAACAAGGGATCGACTGGCGTTCGAGAAATGCTCCGGTTCGCGATATGAGATGCGGGATGGGAGAGAAACCCCGTGGGTGACGCCGGGACAAAGGGACGGTTCAAGGCCAAGGCAGTGGCAGGCCTTCGGGGAGATACTGGCCATGTCGGCGACCCTGGCGACGATGAAGCCACTGAGACTGCCGACGACGCTCTCCTGAAGGGCAGTAGGCTGGGCGAGGTCGCTGCGTCTTTCACGTCGTTGCCCTCGGATCCGGATCCGGCCTCGGCCTCAGCCTCTTCTGCCGCCCCGGCCTCCAGCGGCGCGCTCGAGGTCCGGCCGGCGAGCTTCCCGCGGCTGGCGATGGCCCCCGTCCAGCGAAACAGCTTGCCGTATCCGAGACACTCCTTGCCGGCAGCGGCACACTTGTTGCAGTGTGGGTACGAGCGATCACATCGGAGCCGCTGGCGGCGGCAGTTGTGGCACGGCTTGGTGGGTGGTTGGACGGGCTGGCCCGAGCTTGTGCCTGAGCCGGAGCCTGGACTCGAGCCCATGGTGACGGCGACGCTTCTGCACTCGCCGGGAAGGGGATCGGTGGAGCGACTGACCACGCATGACAATGGCTGTGGTGAAGCTTGTTGGTGGTTTGTCGAGCAGCAGGTCAGGGCCATTCGATGAGAATATCGTCTCAGGCTGATGACAAGTAGCCGCTAGCCCCGGCTGGGAAGCCAAGCCGCAACTCGTGCGCTAGGCTTGCGGGAGAACAGCGCCGGAACGGTGTCCCGATTCTCCGAGGCTCGGATCGCAGCGGCTGAGGCGCACCTTTACAGAGGGCCTGACTGCTGTAATAGCTTTATATCGATAGATGACGATCTACTATATATGATTGATGGCTTCGTTATCCAAGAGATACTACATGGCAATAAGCAGCGAGTAATGTCAAATGTTCCGAGATCCAACTAGACTTTACGATATATGGTAGTTGACTGTGAATATGAGCTGTGTTATTGCACACTATTGTTGTCTGGTAGAGTCGAGAAAGTATCAACATGATTCATGCTCATGCGTCCCTGTCTAAAGCCCTATCTTAATCGAGGCAGTCAGCCGAGTATTCCTCGACCTCTGTCTAACTGGTTACAGGTAGTTAAGCGATTGAAGATCCTCTTACATCTGGTAAGACTTTGGAAAATATTACTATAGTATGTACAAAATGCTGCCCTAATACCTTGCCGTAAGAAAATTAGTTTTCAAACGATGCTACCGGCCGTAATGCCAATACTGATATTGAAATAGTTTAGAAGGAAATTGGCGTAGATTATCACCTTCCTCTGTTCCTCTTTGCTCTGTTCTCCCTCTCTTCTTTGTCATCTTCTTGAATTTGATAAATTCGAAGGAGAACGAGAAGGCGCCAGTTGTCCCTTATCGCCCTTGCACATGAATAGGTAGTTTACGGGGTATTTCTGGAGGTGGCCCAGAATACTGGCGGTGTAACGAGAAGTATAGCTGTAATTTGTTTCACCTTCTCCAGACTCAACGCACAACAAATTCAAACGCATAATACTTTATGTGAAACTCAAAAGATCAAATGGTCAGTAGAGTTGCACACCGCGAAGTTGCTGTTTATTATGAGAATGGTCCGCTCAACCGTTACGCTGCATATACGCCTGTCACTTTATCCTGCTCTTGATGACTTGTTGGTTGAGCAATTTTGAATGCTTTTTGCTTTCTCTTCCGAACCGAATTGGGAAAATTTTCTTTTCCTAAAACTTGATACAGCCTCCGTTACCAGCAACCTCGGCTTTTGGCCTGAATGAATGGCTATATCCTTTACTTGGCATACTTCATGAGGCTTTGAACTGCATATGTATACCTCACTCGCATACCATAAACAACCACCCTTCAAGATATATCCCGCTGTACTGTCTCATGAACTTGCCAGAATTGCGCCGGAAGTCTACTTGAGTAGTGGTCGCTGGGAATTACTATTACTAGACATACATAGCTCTACCGTCTCACTATCGTCCATACCCAACTTACATACGACTAATACCTGTATGGTAGTAATTTTCGAGTGCTCAGCAACAATAGTGACATCATTCCCTGCTCGCGTCTCCTATAACGGATTAACTTGCGCTCTTAAACGAATGCGAGAATGGATGCCAGGATGACATCTACCCCAAATCTCGAAACCACTGCAAACGCTGCGCTGTCACCAGGGGGGAGCTCACTCGAGCTTGCATGTGATAACAAGTATACCCCCCTCTGAATTACTCCGTCGCTACTCCGTACAGCATGATCTTGCTGTCATTGTCACATAGCACCCGATCCCAGCTCAGGACGGCCGTTGGCCAAGTCCGCCTAACAGTTTTCTCTGTTTCACTCTCCGAAGCCCGACCACATCATGCAAGGCAACCATAGCTACTACCGTTCCGTACACGTCACCTCCACAGCTGAGGTGGCCCAACGCTGCTACATACACACACGCACGCCGCTGTTTCTCGTGAGAGCCGACCAACAGCACGGAAATCGACCACCGCTCTGCGTTGATCCAGGTACGCTGGCTCATGTGACAACTGCCATACCCCTGGGCGCCATCAGATTCCAAAATGTAATATCATTAAGCTTTAGGGTTCTTAGTCGCCCACCAAAGTCGAGTGGACGCCGTCCTGTCAGAATGGTCGGCGATACGAAGTACAGATTCGGCACGAGGTGGAATCTTGCTACCTGCTATCTACATAGGTAGAGGATCAATAACGTACGTACATGCTAGACTATATGCACTGCAACCAACGTAAATACACGCCACACAGGGAACAGCCAACTGGAACTCATCCGATATCAAGCGCGGCGCAGCTCCAAGGATGCCGACTATACTTTCAGTCGATCGGTCAGATTATGTACATGTTCTCCCTACCTATCCCAAGGGGAGTGGCTGAAGTAATATCAGCACGAATACTGCTTTTCCGTCGGTCTACGGGTACTCCGTTGTTTATCTGCCGACGGACAGTTCTGCTCGCACGAGTAAGTTTCTTCGATGCCACTGTGTAAGTATGCGCCTTTGGTATCTCAGTCTTTTTGTCATGAAGACAGAGGGTGCATGTAGCCAGACTGCCGTCCATCCCCTCAATACGGGGAGTCTCCCGGCATTCGCAATGCCGTTCGCCCAATTATGGATCCCGGCCATTGGTTGAGGAAAGAGAGAAGAATCGTATCATTTGTGACAGGCGACGGGTTTAATTCAAGGAAACTATCACGTCTCAGGGCGAGGCCGCCACCAACACGCAGTACAGGTACAGGCCTGCCTGCTGACATGAGTGGACATGGGCCGCTGACATCGGCCATTGCACGCCTGCTGACGGCTTTGCCAGAAAAGGGGGCGCGAGCCGTGTAAAAAGGAAGCTCCATGGCATAGAACTTCCAACGGATGCCTGCCGGGTCCAGGATTATGATGATTACAACTGAACCAGCCGCTTCCTAGCAGCGGCAGACCGATTCGCCCAAGCGCAGCCCTCGGGCTGACAAGCGAGTCCCAAGAACCCAGCTGTCAGGATTCGCTAAACGGCCCTATCTGGCACCCCTTGTCGTCCTTGGACTCGGGGTGCAGCCGAGACCGTGGGAACGGGTCCGGTGATTTTCATCAAGGCTGCGAAAAGCGGTGCTTGTCAGACATGTCAGAAGGAACTGGGCAAGCCCCCGGCCTCGGGTCTTTTGCCTTCTTTTGCCTTTCCGTCCCATGTTCTCAGGTGGACGAAGCCTCCTTAGGCAACGCCAAGGCAGATGTAGGAGCGATCTTCTGAAGGATTCGTTTAGTAATACCCGGTGCGGATAGGCTCTTGCGGCTTATACGCGAGTCTGTCATTTCCTTGGCGATGCTACGGCTTGTGATGGTTGAAAAGAAATGGCCCTGATTAGACTCCATTACCGCATTCCTATTGTAGCTCATGTTCAAGCGGTTGTGATAATTTTCGGGCTGTATAAGAACAATTACCATGTCATCAAAGCGGGACAACAAGACATTCAAAGTAGTATGGCGTTGCCGGCCTCACGCAAGGCGAGATGTTTCCAAGGGTTTTCTGGCAAGTTAGTTGACGGTAGAATACATGCACCCCATGCTGTCCCTTGTCTATCTCATCACCGAAGGAGACTACTCTCCGGCATTTACGAGATACGGACAGCATGTGAATCGCCCAGGGTGCCCCATAAGCGACGAAGTCTGCTTCCGGTAACAGTAGTGATCACGATGTGATGTCTCTTTCTCACGGCTTGGTTTCCCGGCTTCATACAACTTGATGCGAAAGTGCCTAGCAACCCTGCTACGTCAAAGCCGCTAAGAAATATAGTACGGTAGATATAGAAATGCAATACTGAAGTAACTTGAAGCAAGTAGCTCATTGGTTGATGGCATGTGAGGCTCGAAGCAAGGCAATCTCGCCAGGCGTATTGCTGCGCGTACACCTTGTCTGGTCTCAAGTTGCGTGTGAAAGTTTCCCTTGCAAGTGTTCAAACTGCCTGCTGTCAATCAAGTACGAACATGCTTCTACTAATGAGCTCTCAGTCTAAGAGCCTCCCCAGCCATCAAGGACGTGCTGCCCTCCCTCATTGGTGATGGCATCAAGAGTCGACTCCCCGCCCACTTACCGAGAATACGCATAGCCGACTGAACACTCTTAGCATAGTCAACTGTAGTCGTTGTCTTGCCTTCAAAAGTATTACTAGTCGGAAGATTAACACCAGCCTTGTCGGCCTCTCGGTGCTACTGTACCCCTCATTTAACCTTGCTGCCTTGCGGGCGACGATGACATTCTCGCACATGAGAAGCTTGGGCTTGGTTCGCTCGATGGGAGGGTGGGTGGCCATACCCCTGCCCCTCGTAGAGTCGTTGTGCCGGCCCAACACTATTGCCAGATTATTACAGTAGTCCTCCGGATCGATCCTACCCCATGGTTGTCAACACAGAGCAACCAGACTAGGAGGTTGCTCCGCGAAGGAATATTGCAAGTACAAGTACTAAGAAGTATCGGATGTAGGGTTGTCAGGAGATCCGGGATTCATCCCTACTCTTTCATCCCTAGTCTTTCTCGGCCGAGAGCGTGGAGCTTGCATCCTACAGATAATCAGAATTCTACAGATGATCAAAATTTACAAATGCCTTTTTGGCGAGAACGGTTAAAGCTTGGTCTTGTTTCGACCTACGTTTTCGCAAGAAGCTACGTTTTGGTCGTGTACCACGACTGAAAGATGGAGAAACACACGCCCACTTACCGACAGTAGTTACTTGTAATCGCAGACGAATAGAGAGCGAGTCGTCGAAAGCTGCGACTACAGTAGATCTATTGCCCACTTCGACTGTCGGTTAGTCCTATTCGACACAAGCGGAGTGAGATTCATGTCTGCAAGTTGGGGATAGTAGTCTTGGCAGCAAGCTCCTCGATAGGCTGCATGAATTACAGGATTACTAGAGACTCTTGGACTGCCCACTTGAGAGGCACGAGAGCCTTGGCGAGTTGTCCAAGTCGTTAGGACTTCGTGGGGTATTTTCATCTTATCTTCTGCT